AGATAAGAAAACAGATTAGTTTGCAGGCGTTAGGATGGCACGCTAGCAGCCCCATAAGCAACACTTCTGTTCATGCATTTCTTTATTTGACCCAGCATCAAGCAATAAATATGTTTTACATGAATTGGCTACAAGCGTATTTTCATCTGTAACAAAGAAACAGCGGGTAATTATTTCATAAAAATTTAAATGTTGGGCTGTAACTAACGATTATTTTTGATAATAGACTAGTTTGTCAGTTATTCTTTCAATTCATTGATTAGATCTAGAAAAGTCAGTAATTATGGGATTTATGGGTCAACCAGAACAAAGCTCAAGTGATTCCCCTGGAGAAAATCCTTTTAAATAAAGCTTGTTTTACTAATATTTTGTAGACACATTTCAGTTTCCTTCCACAGCCATTATAGAATTATCCTAAAACCTATTATGTTTAAGTAAGGTTCAGACAACTATTGAAATAATCAATAAGTTAATATAAAATGGCCTAATTCATATTTAAAAAACAGTTATAAAGGCAACACCACCATCCACAAAGACACATACAACACACCATTCTTATTAACATTGATATTATTGACCACTACATGCTCCATCTGTTAAAAGATATTTGGGAAAACATGCATCCCAATTCAACCAAATTTGAATGACAAAGCATTTTAGAGCACAGAATCAGATTCATATATAACACACACCATACAACAACACATAAAAACAGTAAATAAATAGGCAGCCAAATAGTCAATAGTAAAAGCCATAGACCCCTCTCAATTTCCTGTCAGAGATATTTAAGAAAAAAATTCAAAATCAATTTGAAAATGACCACGGTGAGCCAGTAAAGAGAGGATAGGAGTTGTAACTGGTTATCCGTCTGGCAGCTGCATTTCGTATCACAGTCAGGAAAGTGTATGCATCAAATCAAATTGTATCGTGACCAATGTATGTGATATGTATTACATCAAAATGCCTCATAGCTCCTCTCAAACACATTCAAATCCACGTCGGCATTATCCACCATTAATGCCTTAATTTAATTGATTCTGGGTGTGCAGACTCCCTACCTGGCTTTCCTTGATAACATACTGTATGCTTTAAACTAAGCTTCAGCCTCCCCAGCTCCATTTTTATTGTCATGTTCAAAGTCAATCATCTTTGTGCCTACTCTCAGCTGCTCCCCTGCTCTTCGGAGCTGTGATCTTCAATACAGAAATTGTAAATTGTGATGTCCTTTGGACTCTGCCTTCCTCTCTACACAGCTATAGTACACCATTCTGAAATGGCCCACCACAGACAAAAATAAAACCTAAAAAAAAAAAAAAAACACTTAAAATTGTAATTTGTACATCTCTAGATGGAGGCAATAACCTCCTTAAAAAATAAAAACCTCAAATTAATTAAATCCTGACCAATTACCAATGTCTTGTGCAACTTCAAAAGGGGAAAACCAAAAACTTGGTCAGTCCCAGGTTTTGCACTGTAGGACAGGTCGCAGGGGTTTAATGCAAAACAATTCAAACCAATAAGCCATTGATCCATACATTTCCTGGATCATCATCAGTGTTCTTAAACCCTCCTGCACTCGCAAAGAACAACTCAAAACCCAGTGGGAGAAAGTGAAGACCTTGGGGAGGCCCACATTGAGAGAGGGATACGCCCCCACGGACAGACGGCTATAGATCCAGGACTCAGGCCATGTTCACGGAGTATACACTTACACCCCCTTTTTTTAGAGCCGCCCCCACAGAAGCCTCTGATTCAATCTCTGTGCCCAAGACACAAGCATGTGAACTATGCAGTTAACTGATGATATCTAACAGTTTGTTTTTTTCACTTCAAACATTTCACCATAAAGTTACGTTTGGGATTCAGGTCAGGTGAATTTGGTTATGGTTAGGGCTTTGGCACCCAGGCAGGTTGAACACACCAGGGTAGAAATGTGTTGAGGGCAAAAGATGTAAGTTAGTATTCAAATCCTTAAAAATGTAAAAAAATAAATGTTTTGATAATTTGTAGTCTACTGGCCTCCACAAACTCTTTAGTGATGCACAATATAAATTGGCCGTTGATATGGTCATTTTAACACATCTGTATCAGCAAATCATTTTTCATTTGCAATATTTTGTCTGTGGTGCTGGTTTGTACTAACAATGTGTAAGATTGCCAGATACTGGTTTACAGGGTCAGATATTGTAGTGGACGATTGTAGTGGACGATTGGGCAGTGGGCAGCAGAGGTGTAGTGCGGCGGTATTATAAGTGGAGTGATGTGTAAGAGGTAATAAGCATGATGATCAATGTAGTGGTTTGAGGCGGCTGCTTAAGAAATGTGTGTTTTGTGGTAGAGAGTTTGTATTCATTATTTTGTAATAATATTAATCAATCAATCAACGTTTATTTGTAGAGCGCCTTTCCTACACAAGGCCTCACAACCCATATCGCATCATGCATAAAACAAACATCTACATAAACATTTAAAAAACACATAAAGAGCAAAAGATATATTAAAAACATAAAAAATAAAATCACACAAGTAGTTAAAAACCTTAAAACTTTAAAATCACACATGGGATTAAAATAATAAAATAGCGATAGTGCATTGAAAAGATTAAAGATAAAAACACAGATAAAATCATTCAGTTGCATGCACAGATAAACAGAACTGTTTTCAGCCTAGATTTGAAAACAGAGTATTAGCCAGAATGTTAACTTTGTATTGTTAGTGCAATATATTAGGAACTATTTCTAGTAATTAGTCTGAACAGTTAAGATTAATAAAATAAAACAAAAATGACATCCAAGAGACGATAGCCCCAACGGACAGCTAAAAAAAGAATGAGCTAAAGGCAGCAAAAAAAAATATCTACATTGGTAAATGTTGTATCGGTCACAACAGCAAGATTGGTTATCGGGTATCTGCCACAATTTATCGGTGCATCACTATCATTCTCCACTTTGGAAAAGGCAAAGAATGATACTTAACCACAGGAACTTGCACCAGACAGCTTAGAGAACAAATACCTCTTTGTCAGTATTCCCAAATGATGTGTACTGCACTTGTCAACGTTGAATAAACATCTGTAGAAGAGTATGCTTTTATAATGTAACAGAGACTGTAGTCTTCTCACACAGACAACAGTGAGATCGTATTAGCCTACAACTCCAGGGAATTTTCAAAGAAGTAAATACTCAACGGCTGGCTTCCTGCTTATCTGTGTCTTTCCATATCCAGACTAAAAGAGTCATCTTGAGATATTCTTCCATCCTTTTTTAAGGGTTTTTGGTCTTCTTTTACATAATTGCCCTGTGTGAAAGACTTTTTATTGATAAAAGCTTTTAAAATTAAATTGTAGAGATAAATATGTTTAGTTGAAAACCAATTTTCCACCTTTGATGAAATGTAGAATGTAGTCCACGCCTTAGAGGCTGGACGACTAAACTCCCTTAACCAGGCTGCAGTTAGTATAAAACACGGCTGTGCAAATATTTACCAGGACAAGACACAAGGACCACATGAACTAGCCTCTCTGCACCAAGCCTCGGTGATCCAAGATGGCGCCCTTTTCAAATGAATGGCTCGTGCTCAGTAGCGCATGGAACATATGTGGGGACAGAAAGATTAGCGGAACTCGTCCAGAGTGGAGCGAGAGCAAAGTTAGAGCAGAGATAGAGCGGGAGCCAAGCAAGCAGAGTTTGTTATTAAAGTGTGGATTTATAGAAAAACAAAATATTAAAGAAAAAAAGTTCAGGATGACAAGGGACACTAAAATCCCCACATAATCTGACCTCAATGAAAGCTGTAGGTTCTCTGTCAGCTGTTTTAGGTCACATTGAGTTATAAGGGACATTTTTCTGGGTAGCTCACGTAAATTTAGTCTGCAGTACTTCGGGCCCATTGGTGGGACAGCTGTAAGCTACTAATACCTTATCCAGATATTATTTCAGATCCATGCTCAGCATTGCCTACCTGTTGCTTTTACAAACAAAAATGTAAGTTATTATTATTAATTTGTTTTCAGTCTCTGCTCAATCTGCACCATCTCACCTTCACCTTCTTCCGTTGCACAATCTGAGGAGACTGCTTTTTCTATGGCTTCTCCAAAACTGTGGTACTCTCTTCCCTGCTACTTCTGTGAAGAGTTTCAAATCGCTGCAAAATATTTTTTTTCACAGGCTTTGAACTTAAGCTGTGCAAGACCTTTTCTTTCTTGATGAATTCTCTCTTATGTTTATTGCATCCTGAGCTAAGTGTGCCACACATTGGGAGCAGAGTACCAGTTCATAAATGTGCTGTAAATAAAATTGACCTTAACCTTGTTTGAGTCAACTTTCTAAAGACAAGGCTTCTCAGCTTGATTTTGATGTGTAACCCGTGATAAGATAGAGATCAACAGAACAGCCAGCTCGATTTCCTACGAGGTAAGAATTCATGAGACAATAGTTATACTGGCATTATTCTAGAGATGGTTCTTGTTTCACTGAATACAAGAAACTACTGACTTGATTTGAATCATAATGACACCAAACGTCTAAACAAAATAAATAAATTGTGATCAGTTGTTTTATCAATGAATTAAGAACAGTACCAAGTCCCATGAAATGTCACAATGAACACTCCCTTACAACATCAATAATAGATTTCAGTGATGACATGTGTAGTGTTTGTTAGTGCACACCTTGTTTGAATAAGGATATTTGACACAAAGGAAACTATTCAAAAATGTTAACACCCTCAAAACGTCAAACTCATCCACTGTACAATTCTGATTAGGTTTTATCCAATGCATAACTTAGTGCACTTTAGTTTAAGGTATCAGTACAATAAATATCAGCTTGTGCACAATTTTCATATCTTTACATTGAAATCATGACGATCATAAATCTTCTTGGACTGGTGTTGCACATGACTTTTGTACTATGTGGCAGTCAAAAAATATCGCGTGCTTTGTTTACAGTATTTCCACAGAACTTCATGAACGCACAAAGAAAGCATGCAGAGGGACTCACCTCCTCCACAGTGAGAGGCATGCATATCCTGTACTCCTTCAACAACATCTTCCGAAGCTTGTGATTCGCTTACTCAACAAAGTGAAAAAACAGCCCCCGTAGAGAGCAATCCGTCAACCCGGAGATGTTCAGCGCATGGGAGCTTTGTCTCGGGTTTGGAAACACGACTCGAGTTGGGCTGAACTTCTCTCATCGGAACCAGCCTATTTCCTGCAGTCACAGCCAGGCAGTTATGAGCTGGCTCCAGCGGTCATCCCCTCCTCTCACTCCTGCGTCAAGCTGCGGCTGCGCAGGAAGGGCGCAAGCGGAAATGTGGAATTATTTCAAAGTAAAGTGGTAGAGATATCAGTCAATATTTTTTATTATTTTATTTTTGTTCCACGATCATTCTGACACAATTAAGCTGGAGGTTTGGGTTGTTTTTATTCTGTATTGATACTCTTAAGTTTTATACTCGTACATACATTTATCATGAACCGGATACTTTCATTATTACACGTCCGACGTCTTGATGGTACAGCTAACTGTTATAGCATTTTCATCTTTTTAACCAGTTCATCTGCTTGAAAACAAAATTGCGTGTTTTAATTGTGTTTATTTCGAAAATATAAAATTATCCCGCAGTCTTCCTCAACATAGTGGAATTATGCCTTTCCTTCCACATTCCCTCATTCACAGCCTTTTCGGCTGGATGCCAAAAATGATCAACCACTAAACCGGACGTGCGCCACCGAGCATCATAATAGCATATTCTTTAGTTTATACCATGGATCTATAATAATAACGGTTTATACACTATAGCTGTTTTTGAGATGCCGTCCAGATCACCTGGATGGAAGATAGAGACTGTTTCTCTGTCCCCACTATGCATAAACTTGTCCAATTAGACGCAGAATCACTTTTATTGCCATGTAAATAACAGGAAGTCACAGACTAGGAAATTGTGGCTTCAGAATGCACTTGAGGAGTTCACAAGTCACACTACAGGCCTCTTCCAAAGTTGACATTCAGGTAGCTGATATAAAAGCTGGATGTGAATATAATAAAGTAGTAACATTATCAAATAAACCAGACATGTTTATTGACGGCGGCACGGTGGCTGAGTGGATAGCACTCTCGCCTCTCAGCAAGAAGGTCCTGGGTTCGAATCCCGGTCGGACCAGGGCCTTTCTGAGTGGAGTTTGCATGTTCTCCCCGTGTCTGCGTAGGTTTCCTCCGGGTACTCCGGTTTCCCCTACCACTAAAAATATGTCCAATAGGTCTGGCATGTGCCTCCTGTACTGGCCCCGCTCCCATCTCTGTGTGGAGAAAGAGACAAATGCCCAAAATTAACAATTGTAAACCGCTTTGAGACTCAAATCTGTAGTGAAAAGGCGGTATATAAATAAAGATTACTACTACTACTACTATTGCTATACGAAGCGTCTGAAATGCTGTGTACAGATATTACCTAAATTACAGTTACTCATATGAGTTTAGTTATATGAATATATGTGCAATTCTCTACAGGCTGTGCATTACAACCTCAGACTTTGCCAGCACTGTTATTAAAAATGTAGAGCTTCCCATGCTTCCAAAATTGGGTATCAAAAATGTTTTCCAATATGTATGGACCTGTCTGTGGTTCCTCCAAGGTATCCTACATCTTCCCTGCTTGGGGTTTCTTCCCAGCCCGGCAAACACCTAGTCTCCACATAGGCGTCCAGTAGGTTTACTCACTCATCACAGGTCTTTGATTTTAGAATTAAGGTGTCTATGTACCAATGGCTCCTTTGTGTTTCTTATTGTATGTCCTGTGTTTTCATTGTTTGTCTAATTTGTTGTTGGCAAATTTTGTAAAGTCCTCTGTGACAATATGGATTAAGATTAAGAGATCCTTTATTTGTCCCACAGTGGGGACATTTCAGTGTTGCATCGCAAGTTATAGTACAGTAGGAAAGAGGAGCACATGACACTGGTCAAGTGAACAATAGCTATACTAATAAAAATAAAACAAAATCTCTAACTCTAGCATCAATAAAAGTATGAAATCTCTATCTTGATAAAATAATAATAAAAAGAAGTGTAAAAGTTTGTGACGGGGTTCTGAATGTGAAATAAAATGATGGCGCAGCCAGAGTACTTTTTAAGGTTTTATTCCCAAAACAAAAGTAATAAGTAATCAAGAAAAGTGAAGTAATGAAGAGGAGTGCTCCTCTGTCCCAGTTCAGACAGACAGTTGACACTGAAATGAAACACACACACATTGCATTGAAATGAAAACAGTCAAGCCTAAGAAATGCTCTCCTTTTTCGTGTAATTGGGGGTTATCTATCACATGCAACTAATAATATTCTGTCAGGCCCACAAATAATAAGCAGCTACCTGTCTCCCTCTATAGGAAGGCTCATGTACTTACAAAATAAAAAATATTCTTGGGGTCTTTCAGGCGCGCCGGACAGCTCGCTATTTTCTTCTCTGATTGGTTGCTTCCGCCAGACTCCTCCCTCATTCTCGGCACAAGCAAAATAGTAAAAAGCTTAGTTAGCCTGGGTAAAGAAACACGGATTGCTAATCATCTTCAAACAGGGATCAATCATGGCTGAAGAACGAACTGAACGATCCGATGGAAAGATAGTAAAAATGGAGGTTGATTACAGTTCGACTGTTGACCAGCGGCTTCCCGAATGCGATAAAATGTCCAAAGTAAGCGCTGCGTGAAGCTCCGGCTGAGTCATGATGGTGCATGTAGCGTTAGCATGCACGGCACCAAACCCTTCAAATGGTTTAGTATAGCAATGTTGTAATTACTGCCTCATATATATGATGTAGAAATTCAACGTATATAATGTATAACTTAATGTATTATTCCTTCACCTACTATTAACTTAAAATAAATCGACTCTGCTAACGGCTAATGCTATATGATCATGTAGTTAGCCCAGTCATCTACATACCACTCCACTGTATGATGTCAACTAAGTGCTCATAGATATATTATGTATTTGCCTTTAGGATGGGAAACTGCAGGAAGCCGTTGAGAGTTTGCTGTCATTGGAGAAACAAACGCGAACGGTGGGTCGCTCTGCTCTGTGTGCCACAAATTTTCCTACATGTCTAAATTACATGTTTTGAATTGTATCTTTATCAGGCATCAGACATGATGTCTACTTCTAGAATACTTGTTGCTGTGGTCCAGATGTGCTTTGAAGCCAAGGACTGGGATGCCCTGAATGAAAACATTATGCTGCTGTCCAAAAGGAGAAGTCAGCTCAAACAGGTAAGCTAGCTAATCAGCATGATTAAATTATCCACCAATTTAAATGATTATTATTTTTGTACCAATGAACCAATTCAATAGTAATATGTATTGTCTTTTACAGGCTGTTGTCAAAATGGTTCAAGAGTGTTACAAGTATGTGGATACCATCTCTGATTTGACCATCAAGCTTAGGCTCATTGACACACTGCGCACAGTGACAGCCGGAAAGGTCTTAGTGATCTTCTTACCTTGAGTGTTTATTGTATGCTGTGAATTTTCAATGAATCTGATCATAACTTATCTCAACACTTTGTGTCACCCTTATTAGATTTATGTTGAGATTGAGCGTGCCAGACTAACCAAGACCTTGGCATGCATCAAAGAACAGAGTGGCGATGTTAAAGAGGCAGCCTCTATTCTTCAGGAGTTGCAGGTATGAATATCTGAGGTATCCAAATCATACACTTTTATCATATTTAAGTTATCTCACATTAATCCTTTTTCTATTCAGGTTGAGACTTACGGTTCAATGGAGAAGAAGGAAAAAGTGGAGTTCATTTTGGAACAAATGAGACTTTGTATTGCTGTGAAAGATTACATCCGCACACAAATCATAAGCAAAAAAATAAACACAAAGTTTTTCCAAGATGAGGGCACAGAGGTAAGCCTAAACCAGATGATCTTTTAATAAAGTTGCTCACTGTCAATAGGGCAGAAATCCTTTAAAATATTTTGGAACATTGACGAACCCAAAGGCATACCAAAAAAGTAAAACATTAGGTTTCCTCTTTTCCGTAAACTATTTTTTAAACTGTTGATGGAGGAACAGTCCATAAGTGAAAGGATCTCTCAAGGGCGCGTCATTCTGGTCAAGTAGCAACATTTTTAAATATCAAAAACATGCATATGCACATTCATTATAAAAGTAGGTGATCAACAAAGATCAATACAGGTATCTATATTGGTGGATTTTTCAAAATTTTAGGAAAGAACAACACTCTCTGGTCTTATTTGACGAGCACCTATCACCAGAATGATTGACAATTGGGAAGACAAATAGTCTTGATAATCCACCTGGAATTAGAAAATACCTCTGCAATATAGGAAAACATTTCCTCAATTGATCAAAGGTAATTTTTTTTCTACAAACCATCCTTAAAAGCACATGCTCTATTTCTATTAAAGCATTTATTATAAGGTAATTGAAATGTTTTATACGTATGCTGCCTTTAGTGCGGCTTTGTCACAATGCAGAAACATTACCGTGTGAGCATTGCAAATAGTTTTTACGTGTTTTTTTTAGTAATTATAAATGCCATCTAAATAATTAATGTGCTTTTTAGTCATTGAATCAATTGTCAGCCCTAATCTTTTAGAGCCCATTGGGTGATGTACAGTATACAATGGCTTGACTGCCTTTAACTGATCAAGGAAACTGATTTGTATTAGGATTGTATTGGCTTGGAGCCATTGAAATGGGTTATTCATGAACAACACAAATAAAGAGGGAACCAAAGTATAGCACTAAAAAAAATTGGCTACATTGGGCTATTGCAATTTCATCCTAAAATGTATACACCAATCTGCTGCTGCAGTTTTTGTGCATGACTGTTTTTACATACACAATGTTAAAAGGCATAGAAATAGATTTATGTAAAAGGTGGAGCTCTATAAAGTTATTGGAGATCAAGGAGAACATGAATACAATTTTAGAAACACATTTTAAATAGCCAAACGTATGTGGGAAGTATTGTAAAAAGATCAAGTCATGAGTTACTTTTGTGTCTAAAAAGTAAATTGTTGCGATTATACAAAACATTTTTTAAATCTGTTTTGGTTTTACAGGAGTTGAAACTGAAGTACTACGACCTGATGATTCAAGTTGATCAACATGAGGGGTCATACCTGGCTATCTGTAAACATTATCGTGCCATCTATGACACCCCTTGTATTTTGGAGGATAGTAGCAAGTGGCAGCAGGTATTCAAACTGAAATGACTTGTACAGAGTATTTAGTATGAATAATAACATGGACCCATATCCCAAAGTGCATTTTATTGTATTTTATCAATGGCTTGATAAACTCATGTTTTTAGGCTCTGAAAAGTGTGGTGCTGTACGTCATTCTCTCTCCCTATGACAATGAACAGTCTGACTTGGTGCACAGAATCAACACAGACAAGAAACTTGAGGAAATTCCCAAATACAAGTATGTATTTCTGTGCATTCTGCTCTTATATCCGGCTTAATTATCTTATGTGTACAACATGGATGATATTTACATCTAAATTTTCCCCAGGGACCTTTTGAAGCAGTTCACCACAATGGAGCTGATGCGCTGGGCTTCTCTTGTGGAAGATTATGGTAAAGAACTGAGAGAGGGCTCCTCTGACAGCCCTGCCACAGAGGTGTTCTCTTGTTCTGAAGAGGGAGAGAAAAGGTGGAAGGACTTGAAGAACAGAGTTGTGGAGCATGTATACTTTCATTTCAACACATCAAGTGTATTTGCACATATGGAATTGGTATATTGATTTAATTAAACAATGTTTTGCAGAACATCAGAATAATGGCTAAATACTACACAAGAATTACAATGAAAAGAATGGCAGGACTCCTTGACCTCTCCATAGATGTATGTACAGCCACACATGTCCATTCAAAGTTTAATTAGAACAGTTATATGTATATTTCACAGAATTCTTGCATTTCTATCTTGCTTTCACAGGAGTCTGAAGAGTTCTTGTCCAACCTTGTTGTAAACAAGACTATCTATGCCAAGGTTGACCGGCTGGCTGGCATTATTAATTTTCAGCGACCCAAAGACCCTAATGATCTGCTCAATGACTGGTCCCATAAACTGAACTCTCTGATGTCGTTGGTCAATAAGACCACACATCTGATTGCGAAGGAGGAAATGATCCACAACCTGCAGTGAAAGTGATTGTTCATTATTTTTGTATTTTGTTTTTTCCGCCCTGTAAAATGTTCACAGAAAACACTGCTGTCTGCTTTATCTTCTTGACAACTCCCTATCTGTTGATGCTGAGATCAACACCATTTCCCTTGTACATTCATTTTAAATGAATAAACAGTGGTATCAAATTTTGTAATCCTCTTTAAATCTTGTTGGCTTTTTGTATTTTTACAAATACATTTAATGAATATGAAACTTTATTGTAGACATTTACCCTTTGAAATCCCTCCCCTGTATCTTTATTAATGGAGGTTAGGTGGCACATAATCTTTAATAGTGTTATGCAGATGCAAGGCCAGGGTTTGTGATTGTTAAATTGTACCTTAGCTGTAGCTGCCTAACCTGGCTGGTTACACATGTATTATTTTATTGTGACATCATCGCAATGGTCTAATTAAAATGCAGGTTAAGATCAAATGGACCCTGGTTTTATTTCAAATTAAAGTTCGAACAATACGCGTAAATACAAGGATTTGCACACAGTGGAGCACATTTCACTCTACAACCTTCACAGCGCTACATCCCACTATGCTTTGCGATGGTCTGACAAGTGGATCCAAGATGGCGTAGAAAGTAAAGCTAGGTAAGTGTTGACTTCCTATTTTCACTCTCCCCAGTTGACTTATTCGCCGAAGCTGTCGGTTTGTGTAAATTGTTAAGACGATTGCAAACGCATTTGATTTGTACAAAGATGTTGGTGCAATGTCACAACTGTTATGTGCGCATAAACACCGAGCCAAAATCTAGGGCCCGAATCCCGTTTTGTTTCGTTGAGCTATGCTACTAGCTAGCTCGCTAACGTTGAGAAAACCAGTCAACTACCTCTTACCCAGACACTTTAGTGCTCTTGGCGGCTAACGGATGGCTGTACATTGCAATCAGTAAATATATCTTTTTAAGCCTATCATCTAGCTGCTGTCAACGTAGAGCTCTGTTGTGTGGCCGTGTTTCTCAGGCTGCACTGCACTGACCCACAGACGTCCTCATAAGTTTCCATCCATACACAAACTTGCGCTATAGACCTGATTAAATGGCTTGTTTGGGCTATTTGGAGCATACATCCTTGCAATTACACTTCATATTTTGGGCGAGTTAAAACCTCTGCAAATCCCTGTGATATGAGGGGTCGTAATCTTAACACAGATGTGGATTATATGTGCTCCCTCACAGTCGCTAAACTAAGTTCTTGTGTCCTTAGTGTGCGTGAGAATATGAACACATGTGTAAGAGACCGTCCTGCACATGTGGACTGATATACCCTTTTTATAGTTGTAAAATATAACATTGATTGTATATGTCCATTCTGGTTATACAACTAACATTCTTTGGTGTGTGTGTGTATATAAGGTTAATTTACGGACTGAAATATTGTATGCAAAACAATAAAACGTATAACAATAGGACAACTAAATGCTTTACTTAAAGTATCTGTTCTGTGACTGATCCTTGTCTTTAATTGATGAACGTGTATGTTGTGATTGCTATCCAATACAATAAAACATGTATTGGGTTGTTAATGAGATGAAAGACATTACATCTTCAGGGAATAAACCTTAACATGATTAGAAGATACTAGTTTACTGGTCAAGGATGAGTTTGTGCCTGATCAGTGAGGGCCTGTCTGCAGCAGGTCACTCTGTACTCTATATCTCAAATGTTCTCCCTAAACTCCACATGCTTCTTCTAATCACTACTGGATTGTGATTATCAAGCTAAAACCCTTAGATAATGACTTTTATTTAAAAAAACAAAATAAGTAATTAAGCATTCCTAGTGGCAGCATGGTCCAATACATGATTCCATTCAAATGAATCCCCGCACAGCTCAATCTTCTTGGCACCTGATGGTCACTGTATGTGTATGTACACCTTGGCCTAAGGGAGTGGTTGTCAACTTACAGGGGCGGCTACAGGGGAATGACCAGAAAAGTTGAGCGGGAGTTAACTTTAAGCACATGTGGAGCAGGCGACAGCCAGTCAGTGAACACATTTGAACAGACATGTGAGGAATTCCTGAGGGCCAAAACATAACTGTTCATAGAAAGCTGGCAACAACACAGGAGTAATTGCACTCATGGAAGAAACGTTGACGCTTTTGGTCTGAAAGCAGTATAAATGTCACATCCACTAAATACAACAGCTGTTATTAGCTCTAATAGCCTAAATTCAAGTTAAGGTATTCCATTTTGATCTAACTCAGTTTTGTACACGTCAGGCTTTAGTTTGATAAGGTAGCAAAGTTGTCACTGTATGAGTGACGCTGCTTCGTTACAATGGATACTCACTGGAGTCTATGGGCGAGCCTAAACAGAGCTGCTGTTTGTTGTTTTTTTTTATTTTTTTTTAACAATGGTAGTTTGGAGGAGAGGAGGCAGACACATGTGGGGTAATCTTTTGCCGATGCCTTCTCTTTTTAATAAGATTGCCTTGTTTTCATTTGTTGTTTAGCAAAATAATATCATTGTTATGTTTGGTCTCAAACTGTAAATGTTAACCAGTTCTCTTTTTTGCAACAAAAAAAATACTGGTATGTTTATTTTCCCTGGTTTCCTGGTTATGTGCACTTTATAAAACAGTCAAAAAATAGCATTTTCCATATTACATAAACTCTGGTGCCCGTGTTTGAATGCCTGTTGCTCATCCCTTGTTAGCGTAATGTATACAAACTAAAGTGTTGTGCTGAATGAGACAAATAGTTTAACACCAAATAACTTTTGGATCTTCTCAGACCCCCCAAATAAAGCATAATTGCAAAACAGCTTTGAATGGCCTCTTGTAGTCATCCTAAATTTGTTGTCAATGTATAGTTTACCATATTAAAATGTAAACAAAACATCTATTTTCTTGTGGAGGTTAGCATTATTATTTATGTGGCTGTATTTTTCTGATCCGGTGTTTTTGTCTCCTTCAGGTGGTTTGTCCCAAGTCATGGCGGACAGGAGAGCGGAGAAGTCATGTGAAGAAGCCAGTAGATCGTTAGCGCGGCGGGAATACGAGGCGGCTGTGAGCCACAGCTCGGCTGCACTGGTGGCCCTTGCACCCCAGAACTCTGCACCTGAAGCTCCAGAGGCTCCTGGCTCACCAGCCCTCAGCACGCCTCTCAGCAGCCGTGCTCTGCTGTACCGCATTGCTGCCTCACTGCAGCTCGTGAGAATACTTACATTTTTACATTTCATGAACTTCAATTACAACTATAATGAGCTGAGAGCATGTACTCTGCCAAGGCCACGGTTGAGTCACATCACATTCCATCTAGACTGTTGTAAATTTGTGAGCTTTCAAAACCTTGATCCCTATTTTGTCCATCAAAAATGATGTCACATTGAGACATTGGAGATTGATTGGAACTGATGGTAAAGTACATATGCAAAATACTGAATCACTGCGTCCTTTAGTGATCTCACAAGAGCATCGGGTCATACCAAATTAAACTTTTATTTTGCCCAACCCTAGTTATGATTTATTACATTACCACTCTGCATAGCTTTGTCCAATAAATACTAAATTATGGTTATTTCTTTTCTTGCAACAGAAAAAATATGATGATGCTGATGAAGATTGCAAACACGGCAAGTGGCAATTTTAGAATTACTGTTACTGTTTTTTTTTTTTTTTTTTTTTTTCTGTCTTCTTTTTTAGATAATTTCACTAATAGTCATAATAAATTGATTTTAATGATTGATATGGAAGTTGGTGAAGTAATTTTGAAATACATATATCTTCATTCTAGTCTTGGCAGAAGATGTGTCCAGGGGAGAGGGTTTGCTTCAGGCCAGCCTACGTGCCATGTTGTTGGATGGCAGTCTACAGGAGGTGGCCAGCATTCTCTCAAAAACCTTGTTTGGTGAAGCACTGGTATGTACAGTCGTTTATATATAAGAAGTATTCTACATGATGATGTTATTATTCTAACATACATGTTTTACTTTTGCAGAATGGTATAGTTTCAAGAGACTTAACAAGGTTAAAAATGCTCTTCTCTGAAGTAGAGGTAAGTGTATTTTCTCTTATTGAAATTGTCTCCAATTGAATTTTCTTTATTGTTATAAATAGGCTGTAAATACTGAGATGGCGTCAGAATCCACTGAAGACCAAGACGAAGGTAAATCAATTTAAATCTGTAAAGTGCATTATATTGGAGCTGATTGAAATTGTAATAACGTAATAACAGAGCTCCAAGATGGCTGGCAGTTCCGGCCTCCTCCTCGAGGAGTCACCAGCAGTGAGGAGTACACCCTCTGTAAAAGGTAAGGAAACACACGCCCCTGGAAAAGGTAGTTTAACTAACCTAGACATGAATAACAACTGCTTGGTACTACAGAAACATGAAATATAAACTCATGTTTGTCTAAAAAAAAATTCAAATGTAAAGACAAGTGTTTTTCAGGAAATGGTTGAACTTTTTCTGTTGGTCCAGGTACTTGGAGCAGGGCCTGTGCAGATATGGAGCTCAGTGCACATCAGCGCACTCGCAGGAGGAGCTCATGGAGTGGCAGAAGCGATACGCCTCGCGCCTCATCCGCCTCAAACAGCAACAAGAGAGCAAACATTTCACAGAGAACTACATGGAAACACTGATAGAGAAGTGGATGAACTCGCTGTCTCCTGAGAAAGTGGTAAAGTAGTGCCTACATTTCTGCTGTCTATTTTGTGGTCAAATGTTAAAAAGCCATACATTCATGATAATAACAGAATATTTTGTAAATGTGTAATTTATTTATTTTTACAGCTAAGTGACAGTTTAGAAGGAGTGAATGTACAAACCAGCTCCAGCCTCTCAGTGACAGTCACCACCAAAAAATCATCCCATTCCTGGACCTTTTCTCTGTTGTGCAAGGTACTTACAATTATAGTTTAAAGCAGGGGTGCCCAACCTTTTTTGACCCAAGATCTACTTTTTAATTAGCAAACCTCCAAAGGTCTACCAGTCCAGCGTCAACATCAAAACCCCACAGCCATTACAAACAACTTCTTCACACAACCATTAGAATTCAGATTACAAACTCTTTGTGCCTCACAGTCTTACACAAAAACAAACACACTATGCATTTTGAGCAATAGCTAACTAACAAACCCTAGTATGAACCAAGCAGAAAAATGAACCAGTTCAAAACTAGGTAATAGAAATGTTATGACTAACTACAGTTCTATGAATCAGACATCCAAAAGCAGTGCACCACTGAATATTCAAACATAAAGCCTCTGCTCTGGTGGTCAGGAGTAAATAGATAGAACTGACAAAAGGAAGATCTCTTCCTACCTTAGTGAGAGACTGGACATTGCATCGCATTGCAGATCAGACAAATAGGCTTTGAGGATGAAAATGATAAGTTTTGGCTCGTTTCCCCTCACCCATGCTAAAGTTACCAGCAATCCAACAGCTCCGACCCGCTCCAATCTGGCTTGCCGCAAACTAGCCGCTGCCGCTGTCCAACAGCAGTAACTTCCTGAGATGCGTGTTTACCTGCTGCCATTAACCTGACATACTTTTTTTGTTTGTTTTTTTTCTCCTGATTGCTGTAGTATACATATGAATACACACACACACTCACTCGCCATCATCATAATCGTATTTATGATTAAAAATAAATAAAAATATTATATAAATATGTGTACATGTATGTCTATGTTACGGTCTACCTGGAATCAGTGTGACTGGTTGGGCCCCCCTGGTTAACAGTATTTGTATTTTACATGGTTTTTTGATTACAATGATTTGAACTTCATCAGCCTGCAAGAAAGTTGCACCGAATCGCCTTGCTCTATGATGCACATAGGCCACATTTCTCAATCAATGGAGTTTGCTCTGGGGAACAGCTGCAGGCGGTCACCAGCGGGTGCCAAGAGTGGACTGCTACAGAGGAAACATCAGGTATGTTAAAGCTGTTTTTGACAAACTGTAATCAACATTTGTATGACATAACCTTCTGTCTTTTTAAACAGACAATGGCCTTGACCACTGTATCTACAAGGTGGCAGTGGGTTTTACCACAGAGATATTTGGTACCTTTCGACAGACAATTGTGTTTGACTTTGGGTCAGAACCTGTACTTATGCAGAGAATAATGGTGGATGCAGCCTCAATTGAAGGTATATCTTTACAAGATAAATGACAAAGCTACTCTTCTTATATTTACGTGATCAAAAAGTGAATCATGTATCTTCCCTATCCCAGATCTTGAACATCTTATGGCTGCAAGACAGCAGCTTCTGATAACTGCAAGGCGCTGGGATTCGTCTTGTAAGACCATTGTGGAGTTTACTCCAAATGAGACAATGGCAGACCTGGAGCGGAGCCTGCTGTCCCGTTACCAGATCCCCTTGTCTGCGGACCAGCTCTTCACCCAGTCTGTCCTGGACAAGACCCTCACCAAAGATAACTACCAAGCCCGACTGCATGACTTGCTCTATATAGAGGAGATTGCGCAATACAAGGAAGTTAGCAAGTGAGTATATTTAGCCTTTTGTAAAATAAAGGTATTAATTGCCATTATACCTCCTGTGTTCACATATAATCTACCACTAGGTGTCAGGCTATACATATATATATATGAGAGTGAGGTTTTAGCTCGCATACATATTTTTTTAAATGCAAGTTTTTACAGTAAAATGAGTGATTGTATTGCTATTGATGTATACGTTCAATGTTTGTCCATGCAGATTCAACATCAAAGTCAACCTCCAGCTTGTCACAAGCTTTATGCTTACAGGCATTGCAGTTGGTGCAAAGTATGCCCAAAATGGGCAACTCTTTGCACGCTTCAAACTTACAGAAACGTTGTCTGAGGTACTATGGCGCTCTATGCACTGCATAAATGCACCAATGTTCAATAATATTATATAATAATTCAATGCAACTACTTTTTTCTTAACCAGGACACATTAGCGGGACGGCTCGTGATGACCAAGGTGAACTCTGTCTTGGTTTTACCTTTGGGTCGTGAAGGTGCTTGCTGCCAACCGCCTCCTGGTGTCAAAGAGCGTGTCTATGAGGCTGTGATTGAGGAGAAGACGAAAGACTACATCTTCCTTAGGATCTGCAAGGACTGTTGTGAAGAGCTCGGTCTGCTACCTGACAGAGAGTTACAGGTGTTTAAATGAACTATACTCAAGATTTTGATTTGATATCTAAATCTTTTACAAACATATACAATCATATTTGGCTTTTCTGATCAAAATCTGTTTTCGATTTATTCTTAATTCCTTAAACAATTATTATCTTATTTCTTAAGGAAAGCACAGATGGGCATAATGTGAATGGGTCTTTGGGGATATACAGCTGGTTCAGTCACTTAAAAAAAATCACTGGCTAAACCCTTACTACTGTAGCAAATTGTTCAGCATCTGCTGAATTGTTTTTACATGTGTGCAAGTATTCTGGCAACTGTTAAAATCAGTAAGAGCAAAAACTGCATTCTGGAGTAAAACTGTATTGAACTGTTTAGGTAGTTCTTAACAGTAAAACAGTTTTGACAACCAAAACTGTCGCTTTGTTTGGGAGATCTTCCTCCCATTCATCGAAGAGTCTCTTGTATTTTTTGCATTGATGCATGCATATCACACATAAACCACTGATACTGATATCTTTTGATGTTTATTTTTAAATTTTGATTTTATGTTTTTAGGTGGAGCTTCAGTTCCAGCTGAACAGACTGCCACTGTGTGAAATGCACTATGCCCTGGATCGTGTTAAAGACACCACCATCTTGTTTCCTGATTCCAGCCTTGTCCCAACAATCCCCTGGAGCCCCAACAGGTTTGAACCCCTCTGGTAACATTCATGTGGGTCACACAGGGTCGCTAGTTTTAAAAGCATTTATATGTGTAGTATGATGTTCATTTAAGTACAATTGTGTAAGCAATTCTTGCTCTTTGTTTTTATGTATATGTTTTGAAGGTTACATCTACCCTCTCATCACTGATGCCTTTTTCTAAAGTTCATGGACATTGTTGGTAAAGGCTGCAATGAAAGTGGCTGAAAATTATGTATAAATCTAGGAATCAAAACATATATCTAGTGAATGTTGGGGCGACAGTGGCTCAGTTGGCAGAGCTGATGATGTCTGCTGTCGTTGTGTCCTTGGGCAAGACACTTAACCCCACTTTGCCTGAAGCCCCCGCTGAAAGATCAAGGCCCCCTGTGGACACACCACCTGCAGGAGGATCAGTGAGGGGCTGGTGCTATGTGTACTGTGACCACAGACTGTATTGTGTGTTGTGTGTAGGAAGCTGTTTTGAACTGTACGAGCTTGTTACATGCAAAACCTTGGACAGAAAATGCACGGTCACAATCTTTAGATTTATATTAGAACTCAGTTTCTGAGAAGAATGAATGTATTTATGAGTTTGTTCAGATAAACGCATTTTTAATCAAAAATTCCTGATCTATGCTGATATTTTAATCAAACGTAATACATTTTTTAAAATTGTATAACGGCGTAAACTACAGATAAGATAAAATATTTATCTCACAATGGAGAAATTTGCAAGATCAGTTTCTTGAGTGAGCTAATTTAGAGATTCAGTGGTATCGATAAGATCTTAAAAATTCCCACCTGAGACAGCCTGGAGTGAATCAAAGAAGCAGATTTAGCACAGTTTGAGCTTGTTCTTTTTTCATATCCACAGTGTTCTAATCATTACACTCATGAAATAGTTATTGTCAGCTAAAATGTGTCACTGTCAGACACTTTTTCTCACAGTATATCTTATGAAATTGTAGGCAGTGGGATGAACAGCTGGACCCACGTCTAAATGCCAAACAGAAGGAAGCGATCCTCGCCATCACCACCCCTGTGACTGTGCCCCTGCCTCCAATTCTCATCATTGGACCTTATGGCACAGGAAAAACCTTCACGCTGGCTCAGGCTGTCAAACACATCCTTCGGCAGGACGACAGCAGGTCTGTATGTTTATATTGTTGCAGAAGACTCACTACACATTGATAATCTTGTGAAACTGCAGCACTCACTGTGGCATGTGTGAAGGGAGGGGATGAAGCAGATTAGAGGGGTACAGAGGTTCTCAGCCTGTTCTGATGCTTAATGCATTCAAGACCAAAGAAATGATCATTGACTTTCACAGGAGCCCTTCCCGGTCACATTAAATGGACAGCACATTGAAATGGTACAGTCCTACAAATACCTGGAGTCCACCTGGCTTGTGCTGAACAGTCCAGTCTGTGGTCCAATGCTGTGTATAAGAAAGGTTAGAGCGGATTCCTCTTCCTGAGTAGGTTGAGGTCATTTGATGTGAGCAGTCTGTAGTTGCTAGGCTGTGTTCTTTGGGGTCATGTGTTGGGGCGGCAGTCCTCGAGAGACAGTAACCGGCTGGACAGGCAGATCAGGAAGTGTGTGTCTGTGATGGGGAGAAGTGTGGACTCTGTGGGAGCTGTGCTGGAGAAAGGGATGAGGGCTCAAATGTAGGACGACCCTGAGTAATTTCAGACACCCTCTGCATGATACTATGGCCGCTCATAGAAGTCACCGTATCAACAGGTTAATATCCCTGCGCTCCACGTCCTCGTCACTTTTGTCAAGCTTCTGCCATGTTCTTTTTGAGTGGGTATTGCTTTAATTGCATTAGTTTTCTCTTAGTCTGTACTGATGGTGAGTATCTATCCTGGAAAACCTTTGTAGGCTAGGTGGCAGAATTTCCAGAAAGTTCTTCAATGGATTGTGTTATTTAGAGATATTTTAGTTTTCTAACAAAACTGTTTTTTGTAATGGCAATTTAATTAAATGAGTAGATGCCCAAGGGAAGTGCTTTAATATCAGTTAGATGAAAGACACTTATGAGTTCTGTAAATGGTTTCTTTGTCCAACATATTGCATATATATTTCATGAAGACGATGTCCCCTTTACTACATCTACTATTTGTTATTTAACAAAAGATGGTGCATATGTAACATGTAAAATGTGTCCAAATGTAATATTAATGTTACATTTCAGTTCACTCCACAGACATTAGGTATTCCATGTTTACGATGAATAATTTATATTTTAAAAGCTTCGACAAGTGAAATGGAATTGGCTGGATGTGCTTTCCGCTCACTGTGTGTGCTGGGTGGAAAAAGTCAAGTAGACTCTTGAGTCATGACTTCATGTCTAATGAATATTTTCTGGAAAATGCAAATTCAAAAGTATCAGAATTTAAAGCAGAAGATGAAGTCTCTGGAGTGGAGAATTACTAAATGTGTTTTGTGACCTTTGAGTCTTTTGTCTCTACAGGGTCCTCATCTGCACACACTCCAACAGTGCAGCTGACCTTTACATTAAGGACTACCTTCATCCTTATGTTGACGCAGGAAATGCACATGCCAGACCTCTCAGGTACAGCTGGTTTTGCCTTTTTATTTCATTGACTTGCTTTTATGAGGATCTATTCCACAAATTTAACAATGAAAACATCCCTCTGGCACAAGATATTGTTTGCGTAGATGCAGGACATCTCGATATGCTAACAGCTTCTTTCCACAATTGTTTCCTGTTTTGTTTTTATTTCTGTACTTTTAAAGTGATAGTCTGGAGTTTGTCAGAAAAAAAAGAGAGGTACATGATTTGGAAGAAAGAAAAAATGACCCAAGCTCCCTACCCCTTCCTTTCTGATTGGTCTACACCGACTTTTCTGTGCACCCGCCAGGTCAATGGTCCAAGACGTACTAGGAGAGATTACTAATTTAAATATTCGAAAATATTTGAAAATTTAATCATAATTTGTTCCAGTTACAGCATCAGTAGAACGCTCCATTGATTTGAATGTAATTTCAGAACGCTCTACCAATCATTACTTCTTGATAACTGACCTCTCAAACCAATAATGAGGACTGCCCTTTGGCAACGCACTCAGTATTTTTTCACACCTGAAGAACAAGCACAAAGATTACTCTGTGTACAAACTTCAGTAGTTTGTACACGAACCACTACTGTCTGTGAGAGAGAAGCTATCAGAACTAGCCACGCTAAATAACACACATATCAATCAATCCACACATTTAAATGTTAATCGGAGAATACATTATAAATATACAATCTTGATACACATGCACAGAGTTTTTCTGAATTATCTATTAAAGTTTTCATCACAAACATACTGTTTTAATGCGATCGCTGTAAACCCGGAAGTAACTATTAACATTAATTGAACAGTTTAGGACACATTTGGAGAGGATCTGATTATGGATATACAGTGCCTTGCGAAAGTATTTGGCCCCCTTGAACCTTTCAACATTTTGCCACATTTAAGGCTTCAAACATAAAGATATAACATTTTAATTTTTTGTCATGAATCAACAACAAGTGGGACACAATCGTGAAGTGGAAGTGGATAATTTAAACTTTTTTAACAATTAAAAAACTGAAAAGTGGGGCGTGCAATATTATTCGGCCCCTTTACTTTCAGTGCAGCAAACTCAGTCCAGAAGTTCAGTGAGGATCTTTGAATGATCCAATGTTGTCCTAAATGACTGATGATGATAAATAGAATGCACTTGTGTGTAATCAAGTCTCCGTATAAATGCACCTGCTCTTTGATAGTCTCAGGGTTCTGTTTAAAGCGCAGAGAGAACCATGAAGACAAAGGAACACACCAGGCAGGTTGTGGAGAAGTTTAAAGCCGGATTTGGATACAAAAAGATTTCCCAAGCTTTAAACATCTCAAGGAGCACTGTGCAAGCAATTATATTGAAATGGAAGGAGTATCAGACCACTGCAAATCTACCAAGACCTGGCCGTCCCTCCAAACGTTCATCTCAAACAAGGAGAAGACTGATCAGAGATGCAGCCAAGAGGCCCATGATCACTCTGGATGAACTGCAAATAACTACAGGTGAGGTGGGAGAGTCTGTCCATAGGACAACAATCAGTCGTGCACTGCACAAATCTGGCCTTTATGGAAGAGTGGCAAGAAGAAAGCCATTTCTCAAAGATATCCATAAAAAGTCTCGTTTAAAGTTTGCCACAAGCCACCTGGGAGACACACCACACATGTGGAAGAAGGTGCTCTGGTCAGATGAAACCAAAATCGAACTTTTTGGCCACAATGCAAAACGATATGTTTGGCGTAAAAGCAACACAGCTCATCACCCTGAACACACCATCCCCACTGCCAAACATGGTGGTGGCAGCATCATGCTTTGGGCCTGCTTTTCTTCAGCAGGGACAGGGAAGATGGCTAAAATTGATGGGAAGATGGATGGAGCCAAATACAGGACCATTCTGGAAGAAAACCTGTTGGAGTCTGCAAAAGACCTGAGACTGGGACAGAGATTTATCTTCCAACAGGACAATGATCCAAAACATAAAGCCAAATCTACAATGGAATGGTTCACAAATAGACGTATCCAGGTGTTAGAATGGCCAAGTCAAAGTCCAAACCTGAATCCAATCGAGAATCTGTGGAAAGAGCTGAAGACTGCTGTTCACAAACGCTCTCCATCCAACCTCACTGAGCTCGAGCTGTTTTGCAAGGAAGAATGGGAAAGAATTCCAGTCTCTCGATGTGCAAAACTGATAGAGACATACCCCAAGCGACTTGCAGCTGTAATTGCAGCAAAAGGTGGCGCTACAAAGTATTAGTGCAAGGGGGCCGAATAATATTGCACGCCCCACTTTTCAGTTTTTTATGTGTTAAAAAAGTTTAAATTATCCAACAAATTTTGTTCCACTTCACAATTGTGTCCCACTTGTTGTTGATTCTTGACAAAAAAAAATATTTTTATATCTTTATGTTTGAAGCCTGAAATGTGGCGAAATGTTGAATGGTTGAAGGGGGCCGAATACTTTCGCAAGGCACTGTAGGTTGAGTTTATTTTTGGGTCACTCACCGCTGATGTTCAGAATTCTTTGTTCAGTTTTCATTTTGTTCCAGAGCCTTAGAGGCTTGATTCGGAGGCTCCGTAAAAACAAACAACTGAGCATGCGCGCAGCTACGAGCATGAGTTTTGATGAATCTGATCCTGAATTAAAATGATAGTGTTGTCCCTGGTTAAGTCTAGAACAAACTATGCAGTTAACACACCAATATGCACTTTTATGTGTTGTAGTTATTTTAGACAAAGGAAAGGTGAGCCAATCTCACGATCAAAAATACACAGATGTAGGTATCGGCTAAGGCGAGTATCACAAACTAATGTGAATAATGTGAGTCGGGGTCATCGGGTGCGGTGTTTCTGTTAATTATACATTTCCAAAAGTCCTAGTGTTTCTCCAATAAGTAACTACACTAAATTGTCCCTTGCCTAAGATTTATTATCTCCCTGAACATATATTAAACAACTTAAATTGGACATGTTTTTTGGGTTTTTAGGGTATATTTCAGGAATCGCTGGGTGAAGACTGTGCACCCAGTCGTCCAGCAGTACTGTCTCATCTCTGGGACACACCACATGTTCCAGATGCCCACTCGGGAGGACGTCCTGAGGCACCGTGTTGTGGTGGTCACTCTCAGCACATCCCAGTACCTCTGTCAGCTCGACCTTGAGCCCGGTCAGTTTTTTTGTATTAAGAGTTTGTATTAGGACCTCAAAACCTCCATACGATTATTTGTTCAGTGAGTTTGAATCCACTGGATACTGTTGAGACGCCCAGTTCCAAAGCTCACTAAAAAGGCAGTGTTGGCTAATAACCAGCTCTAATGTCTCAGCAGTGGGGTGTTTGGGAACACCATCTGTCTGATTCTAATGTACCTCATTAAGCATCCTCCCCATGTTCTTACTCTCACTACGATTAACACAGTTGCAAACAAACAATAATAAAAAGGATTCAATTGACAGAGCTCTGATCTGGGGGTCCAGTTTTTGGTGAAAGGAAGAAGTAGATTGAAATGTATCCACTTTTTGGCAACTTTGTTTTCATGCATGAAATTATAGCAGTACAATCATAAACCAGCCTTTTATATAAAATGGCTGGAGCAGGGGTCATACCTATCTACTCGCAGCCCAAAGTTCTGGTAAGGCTTGAAGTAATAACGGCCCGTTCTTGGCTAATCTCAATTTGTTTCTGTTTTTATTGTGTGCGTTATAAAAACAGTAAATACAAATTTGTGCTTAAACAATAATCCTTGTTTTTATCATGCATTCAGCGAGATCCGAGGTGAAACATCGAGTCAGCTGCTATAAATGCTGTGAGCTATATTACATGTAGTTTAATCCCCAGGGAAAAACACAATCATTAATGACTCAAGACCATCGTTTTAGGCCCTTACATAGTCGTACGTATTCAATTGAGCTGCATTGAACCAAACTCCAATTAACAACACGAGGCAAGAACAGAGCCTCATTTTTTAACTCAGAGCTGTACATGACACAACACTAAATCAGTGTTTTAAATGATAAAATGTACAAGTAACTGTAGGATTATTTATTTGACTCATAAAATATCAATTTAAGATTATGCAATAAATTGTTCCACGTCCTTGTCAGTACATATCAACTATTGTCAAAGAATAATTTCAAAAAGGTGTCAAGAAGTGGTGGCAATATTCATAGAAACTCATGCATGATGTTGGCCCGTATTCAGACCCTAATATGGTTTGTAAATCTAAATAAGAAAACTTCTGGGTTCTGGAGCTGGGTAACTGTAAACTCCAAAGTGGGCCAATCATCAGTCATAAGTTCTGATTTTGCTCTGTGTTTTTGTACTTTATTCCTGTTAGTTTCCACATTCTTTTTGCATTTGATTGAACCTGAATTGTTGGACATTTAGGCCTATGAACATGCCATTTGAGCATGGACGCATTTACACATTCACCCAAACTGTGATCTGCAAACTTTCTGGCTGTATTGTGCGTGCCAGTGCAATATTACTTGCTCTGTTGGGCAGTGTGTGCAACATTCCCCAGAAGACTTCCTAAACAGGGTTTATCTGAAGGCTTTTACTCACTCGTTCAAAACATGCACATGCATGCAAACCATCACATTTGTTATTCAAAAAGCAAGACGACCCTCCACCTCTCTCCTGCGGGGCAATGTTGTTGTCTGTTTACTCTTTGACAGTCCCTGAGTTGATTGGGTTTTCTTCCATCACATCCCATATTTGCTTTTGCTGGAGAAGTGGTGCTCTGGCTTTGGAGGCTGTTTGCTGGTTGTTATTCCGCCGCTCTTTCCCACTCGCTGCGCTTGCACTCATTTGCCATGCCGTTTCATCCACTCTTCTCACTCTGTGCCTGATTTCAAAAGCTCAAATGGAGCTGAGCAGACTGCCGTTCCATTACTTTCAAAACTGCTTTCACACATACCTCTGTTTTAATTCATTAATTGCATCCTCATGACGAGATGAAAAATGGACAGATATATGTATATTGCATTACATTACTTTACATTTATATCCCACATGTATCCTGACGTGTTTTTAAGTAATCTTTGTTCTCAACAGGGCTCTTCACTCATATCCTCCTTGATGAAGCAGCGCAGGCGATGGAGTGCGAGACGATTATGCCTTTTGCCCTAGCTAACAAATCTACTCGTATAGTGTTGGCTGGAGATCACATGCAGGTATGGTTCATAACTTTACTTCCAAGCCTTAGAATGATGAAAGATGGATCAAATCGGAATAACACAAAGTCTAAAGCTTGATCATCCCAAGTACTAACAGTAGCCACTTCAACCAAGCATATGTTAAAAAAAAAATACAATTTAATATGTATTTTTCAATGAGTGTGATTAAAGCATTAATGCCTTTTTTTTTGCCAAATATATTTTATTCACATTTTATCATGTACAGCTTTTATAAACATTGTTACAAAATGTATCTTGCATGGCATTTCTTTACAGAAAAATAAAATAAAACAATGAAGTGGCAAGATCTAGAATAAAGATGTTTATCAAACTTTTAGTCTAGTATATGATTAAGCTAACGTAAAAGAACAAAACAAAACAGTTTCTCCTTGTGATATTGTATCTGGTAACATGAATGCTTTCTGTAGGGGATTAAAAGTCAATAAGGTCATCAGAAGAGTCCAAATCTTTTATGAAATCAATAAATGGCCTCCAAATCTTTTCAAATATGTGTTGTTTGGCTTTTCGTATGTATGTTATTCTTTCCAATGGAAGGCAGGAGAGCATTTGTTTTAGCCACTGGGAGGCGCTTGGTCCATTAACACTTTTCCAGGTCAGAGCAATACATCTCTTGGCCATTAATGAGCTTATATCAATAAGAATTAAGTCAGTTTTGCTGAAGTTGTGTTTCTCTGGGTATAGAGCCAGTATAAACAATGAGGGTTCCAAGGTAATCTTTTTTGATATTATTTTCTCTATTTGATCTTTTACTTCTAACCAAAATTTTTTGATCTGCCTGCATTCCCACATACAATGTAATAACGTTCCTTTTAAGCCACACTTTACACAGATATCTGGAATGTTCTTATTGTATTTATTCAATTTAACAGGTGTTGTGTACACACGATGTATCCATTTAAATTGTAATATTCTTAGTCGGCTATTAATAGATATTTCTTGAGATTTTTTGCAAACTTTTCCCCATTCTTGCTCACTGATTTTAGTATTTAAATCATCGTTCCAGGATAATAATTTTCTATTTGAATTTTCATTTGAATTTGTTTGTAGTAGGATGTAGAATTCTGAGATTATACCTTTTCTTAATTTATTCTTTAATAGTATATTTTCTAGCTGTGTTAGTGGGATCTTTTGTAGGTTGCTTTGATACCCATTTACAAAACTTCTCAGTTGCAGGTATTTAAAGTAATGTTTTTTGTCAAGATTGAACTTAACCTTGAGTTCTCCAAAAGTCATGAAGTTATCAGACCGTGGAGGGTAGAGATCCCCAACCGTCCCTAGTCCCTTAGATGCCCATATTTTGAAAGTGGCATCTGCTCTTCCAGGAGTAAACAGCTGGTTACCCCATATCGGACTTAATTGCGATAATGTTTGTGTATCTTTGAGATGTTTTCTGACATCATGCCAGACCTGCACCATTTGTTTCAGAAGAGGATTTGTTATTTGTTTTAATAATTGTTTTTTTGTGTCCGAATAAAAAAATGTGTGCAAGGGTAATTTTAAATGTTGACCTTCCATTTCTACCCAGTGTGGGTTATTGTTGTCGTTATTGAAGTAGAAGGCCATGGAGCGCAGTTGTGCAGCCCAATAATACCACAGGAAATTGGGACATTCAACCCTCCACCATCGAATGGCATGTACAAAAGAGAGAGACGAATTTTTGATTTTCCATTGTTCCATACCAAACTTAAAATTGTTCTTTTTATCCAGGCAAACAAGTCAGAAGGAGGGGGTAAAGCAATATTTTGAAATAAGTACAAACATTTTGGCAATATAATCATTTTTAAGGTATTTTATTCTTCCCATAATAGACAGAGGCAATGACTTCCATCGGTCTACAGATGTTTTAATTTCTTCTTTAAGCCTGTCATAATTTGCGCTAACCATTTTTTCTGTGCTTGGTAAGATTAGAATTCCCAAATATTCAAATTGTTCTACTATTTTGAATTTATAAGTAAGAATTTGGGCATTGGGGTGCTTTCTTTCCATTGTATTTAATAATAACATTGAAGATGTTTGTTTCATTCACTTTATATCCTGAGATATCCCCAAATAATTGTATTACTTCCAAAACTGCCGGGATTGAGGACGTAAGTTTTGATAAAAATAATATGACGTCATCAGCAAATAATGCGATCTTATGTTCGTGCTGACCTACTTTTTATTCCTGATATTTGTGAGTGAGAACGTATCGCTGATGCAAAAGGCTCTATTGCTAAGGAGAAAAGCAAGGGAGACAGAGGGCAGCCCTGACGACAGCCTCTTTTTATTTGAAATGGTTTTGAAAAATGTCTGTTGGTTAAAATTTCTGCAGTTGGATTTTTGTAAAGTATTTTTATCCATTTAGTAAAATTGCTTCCCAGGCCAAATCTATCTAAAATGTTAAAAAGATAGGGCCATTCTACCCTATCGAAGGCCTTTTCTGCGTCGAGAGAAAGAAGTGCACAGTCCTTTTCCTCTTTTTTGTAATGAAGAACATTTATAACCCTTCTCACATTGTGAAAACCTTGTCTTCCACGTATGAACCCATTTTGATCAGTATTTATAACATTAGGAAGGACATTCTGAAGTCGCCTTGCCAATATTTACAAATTATTTTGAGGTCAGAGTTCAAAAGACTGATGGGTCTCAGGTTTTCACATTTTGTCGGAGGTTTACCGGGTTTTGGCAGTAGAACTATTAATGCTTCATTTAAGGACAGTGGGAGGCAATTTCTTTCAAATGTTTCTGTTATCATATCTAGCAGTGGTGTTAGCAGTTTATCTTTAAATTTTTTGTAGATATCAATAGGGATGCCATCTGGGCCCGCCCGTTTGCCTAATTTCATTGCGTCGATGGCACTTGAAATATCTTCTTTTGTCATCTCTAATTCTAGTTCATTTTTTTGCTCTTCTGAGATAGTTGGAATATTTAATCTATCCAAGACTGAATTCATAATCTGAATGTCACAGATTGTTTCTGTATTGTACAAATTTTGATAGTATTCTTTAAATGTATTATTAATCTCTTTTGGGCTGACTATTGTTTGACCCTTATTTTCTAAAGTGGTAATTGTTGTTTTAGATTCAAGTTGCTTTATTTGCCACGATAATAGCTTTCCAGCTCTGTCTCCTTGTTCGTAGAATGACTGCTTTAACCGTAAGAGACTGGATGCAGCTTTAAAGCTTGATTGTTTTTCATATTCTGCTCTCAGAAGTAGAAGTTCTTTTGCCGCCACAGGATCATTGTTCTGAAATACTTTCTCTTGGGCTTTATTGATATTACTTTCCAGGCGTTTTAGCTCTTGTTTAGCTTTTTTAGCTTTTCGACCAGTATAACTAATAATGTGTCCTCTGAGGAATGCCTTAAAAGCGTCCCATCTGATTCCTGCCGATGTTTGATTTTTGTTAATTAAAAAATACTCATCAATTTGACTTCCTATAAATTTTACGAATTCTTCATCTTGTAACCATTTGTGCTGAAACCTCCATCTCGGTGGATCACAAGTGATATCATCATCTCGATAAACTAGTTTACAAGGTGCATGATCTGATATAGCAATATTATCATATGAACTACTTTTAATTTTTGGTATCAAATCTGCTGATATTAAAAAATAATCTATACGTGAGTATGTTTGGAATGTTGCAGAGTAACATGAGTATGATTTGCTTTGTGGATTTAGTGTTCTCCAAATATCTGTTAATTTTAGGTCATTCATGAATCGTTTTATAGTTGATCTACAGTTATTATGCGTCTGGTCTACTCCCGTTGAACGGTCCCACCTTGGTTCTAACGTGCAATTGTAGTCTCCTGCTATTATATGATGTCCCGACAGAGTTGAAAGCAGAAGAAACAAGTCTTCATAGAAAGAAAAGTCATCGATATTGGGACCATACACATTGACTAAATTTATGTTTTCTGTTAATAGTGAACCTTGAATAATTAAATATCTACCCCTCTTATCTTTGATAATATTGTTTACCTGGAATGGAACAGTTTCATGAATAAGTATCATTACTCCTCTTGCACGAGAGGAAAATGCAGATGTATATATATTACCCCGCCACCTTCTTCTGATCCTTTTTTCATCATCCTCCATCAAATGAGTCTCTTGTAAAAATATTACATTGGAATCCATATTTTTTAGTTTGCTCATGACCTGTTTAACCTTTTTATAACGTTGGAGCCCCCTGCAATTCCAAGTTACAAAATTGAGATTTACTCCTTGTGCCATGTTAATACTTTAAAGTTTGTTGTAAAGCAAAAGTATTAATGCAACCTTCCTGTTAACAGTTGTTACAGAGTTACCAGTAGACATAAATAAGATTTTGAGAGAAGCATAACATCGAACATAACAAACCTGTGTATAACACCCCAAAACAGAACTACACTCCAACCCCCCCGCCCGTGGGCCCCCCTCCCTCCTTGATGCATCTTCAGTCATCGCATGCAACCGATCCACACTGTGTGAGGAGCAGTCTAACCTTTAGTCTCAAAAACAAATGCAAACCGCTGCAATACGTGCTTTTGTTCACATTAGTATATCCTAGCTGCTGTCCTTTGGTTGTATTAAATGTATAGTAGTGATTAAGTAGACATATAACATTAACAAAAATAAATAATAATGAAACACTACTTACAAACATAACAAATAATGGCATGGATTACAACCTTACGGATCTTCCACATTCTGGGTCTTACGTATGAAATTCCAAGCCTCCGCTGGTGTTTTGAAGGCAAAAGTCTTTCCATCTTGAGTCACCAGCAGCTTTGCCGGGTGTAGTAGTCCGTGTCTTAGTCCCAGTTTCCGCAGCTCTTCGCGGATGGGATCAAACAGTTTGCGTTGCTGGTGTACCTCCGCAGCAAGATCAGGATAGAACCGTACTTGTTGCTCCTCGTAGTGAATGTTCCCTTTTGCTCTCGCCGCACTAACTGTAGCCATCTTATCCCTATAGTTAAGGAATTTCATGATCAGAACACGGGGCGCTTCATTGTTGACCCGTCTCGGACCGATCCTGTGGGCTCTCTCAATGATAAAGGGAGTAGCATAGATTTCACGACCAAATGTCTCCGGTAGCCACTTTTCCAAGAACTTACAGGGGTCTCGTCCTTCAGACCCCTCTGGCAGAAAAGCGAGTCTCAAGTTGTTGCGCCTGGACCGCGACTCCAAATCCAGCATTTTTTCCTCAAGCACTTTCTGTTTCGCTTCCATAGCACGTGTTTTAGCCCGCAGGATCTCCACTTCGTCCTCCGCATTAGAAATGCGGGTTTCAGCTTCATTAACTCTTTTCACACAGTCCTTCATCTCTCCACGAATGCTGTCCAGGTCTGTTTTGATAGTGGTGACGATAGCTAGAATTTCATCCACCTTACTGTCCTGAGATTTCCCCTCCGCACCTGTAGCCCCAGCTAACTGTGCAGTGGCGCTGCTATCGTTAGCATTAGCTTTTTGCTGATCACGGAGAGCGTAGTCTGTTAGCTTGGGTTGTTTTGCCTTTTCGTTGACATCCTGCGGAGTTTTGATCGCTTTTGGAGGCATCCTTGAGAGTTAGGAGTAATGATAAATCACATTTAGCATCTAAGAAAAAAGTTTTGTATCAGAAAGTAGCACAAATAGCGGAGCGGAGGAAAACACGTCTTCTCACATGGCAGCCATAACCGGAAGTCATTAATGCCTTTTTTGTTTTACCTTTTGCTTGCAGCTCAGTCCCTTTGTGTACAGCGAATTTGCCCGAGAACGCAATCTGCATGTGTCCCTGTTGGATCGGCTGTACGAGCACTATCCCCTGGAGTTTCCCTGCCGCATTCTCCTCTGTGAAAACTACAGGTCCCACGAAGCCATTATCAAGTGAGTTTGAACTTGAACCATTCCTGTAGAGGATGATAAAAAATGTACCATAACATTTTCAAAATTCTTTTCACCAAATGCATTGATGGGTCTATTACAGGATTAGGCATCTTTTGTTTGTCCAAAAACGTAGATCTTGGTTAGTGACGAAAGGGCTACATACACATTCATCAAAACACCCCCTCCTTTTGGCCTGCCTTGTCTTCTCTTGTTTATTAACCTTGGTGGCAGTACATTGTAACTAAGTGACAATTAAAACGTCTTAAAAGAGCATTAAATTTCACTTTACCAAACCAGGCGCTGCTCTGTCCCTTCAATTGATATTAATCACATTCAAAATGAAGTATTTTTTATTTTATTTTTTTCATGGATTTGGATGCAGCAAACGGCAAAAGAAGATAGATTTGACATCAGGGCAGCTGTACATTTCAAAACCTGGACCTGGTTGCCCACCCCTGCTCCAGTACTAGTGCGAGAGTATGACGGATTTCTGTGTGCTATTTTGCAGCTACACATCGGAATTGTTTTATGATGGGAAGTTGATGGCGAGTGGGAAGCAGCCATCGCATAAGGACTTCTATCCACTGACTTTTTTCACGGCCAGAGGAGAAGACGTGCAGGAGAAGAACAGCACTGCCTATTACAACAACGCAGAGGTATTGTATTTTTTGTTCATGCATTCGTTCTTGTTGTAAAAATAATTGTCTTTAAATGGCTCATGTACAATAATAGACTGCCCTAAAATGTAAAATTCCAGAAACTAAAATTATAAACTTGCATTATTGCTCTCACCTTCAATTACAGTAGCAATATGTAAGCTTTGCATGTCAAGTCATCATTATATGGCCCTAATATGTCAAAAGTAATTAATAAACAATTTAATTTTCAAAGACTTTTAACTGATAACTAGGGATGTAAATCAGTGACCGTTTAACCGGTGGGTGACCGTAGCAGCAATAACCGGTCAAAGCTGTCGGTAAAAAAAAAAGTAAAGGGGGAGGGCGGTCTCTTAAGTTCGCTATTTTAAGCCCTAATTGCACGGTGTGACGGAGCGGGTCCGTCTCTAGCTGTGTGCGCCAATGTATTAGTAAACTCCAGGCTGACTTCATGCCGCACACGCAAACACACACCAATGCAATTCTACACTCAAGCACCCTTTCCCCCGTTCCATTCATGCTTAACATCCACACAGGCGGGTGCGGGTCAGAACTACATTGGAGCATACATACATATGTACCTCTGTCACGCAGCCCAAATGATCCTTGCAAATACGCGGTTCCAGTCAAAACACATGGAAACATGCTTGTGCTGATGGTACTTGGCATTAGATCAGCTCCACAGACATCACCTGTATTTAAACTTTAGAGGAGACCTGCGAGACGCGGCTCTTCACTTGCTGCTCTTACCATGTAGACGAGCCGTCGTTTGCTGCTAAAAAGCTTTGACCCAGCACAAAAGAAAGGGAAGATTTAAAAAAAGCAGTTCTCTGTGCGCAAAGGTGCCGTAGCTGTTGCTACGTTGCTGTCTCGGCTCTGATCCAGTAAAACGCATAGCTGCACTTATGAAAAGTGCAATGCTCGAAATGGCTGTTATTTCAAAGATCGTGGAATGTTTTAAGCTACGCGGTTAACTGGTTTCAACCGGTTAATGAGGCTCGGTGGTTGGTCACGGAAATTCATAGTTTTTTACATCCCTACTGAGAACAGAAGTTTTGGCAGGTTATTCAAGTTTCAAAATTGGATTTTCAGCCCCTAAATCTTGTTATCATTTTAATTTCAATGTCCTACCCTCCATCGTTTCACCAATCAGAAAGTCTGTGATCTGGGTTGCCAGAACTCTCAGCGTCATGCTAATCTCACTGGTAAAGTAATATGTGAGAAGGCAGTAGGGGTGGGAACCTAAGGGTACCTCACAATACGATACCATACACAGCTCACGATAACGGTATCACGATAACGATATCACGATAACGATATCACGATAACGATTTTCTCACGATATGACGATTATTGATATATTGGTCAGAAATATACAATATGCTAATTTATGGCATAAACAAAAGAAAAAAATACACTTTATTTCATGATAAATGGAATGGAGATGCGTAATTTAGCAATATATTAAGTATTGATGCCATTTTTTTTTTTTTTTTTTTATTGTAACAAAAAAATAAATATATATTTTTTTTCGATTTCGATACTTGGCAAATGCATATCGATAATCGAATTGCGGGAGAAAGTATCGCGATATATAAAAAAATCGATATATCGTCGATATATCGTCACACCCCTAGAAGGCAGTACTAAAAAGTACTTGTTACGACGATTCTTAAATCATCAATGACAAAACCAGGGGGAACAAAGGATTTATATCGTGGCCTTTGTGAAAAAGGTGTTGATTATAGATTTGTTGTTGACAAAACTCTTGTCTATTCAGCTATTATGGTTGCCTGCTCGATTCATATGCATATCTAGCAACCTGAGTCAGGGAGAGTGGGAGAGGACTACAGAATATTGACTGTGATTGCAGTACCACTTTTGGCCAGATTTTCACTTATTGCTCTTTTTTTAAAGCTGCTTATTCTCATTAATACTGAGATGGAGAAGGCACTTGGATTATCTACTCATAATGTTTGACTACCTCTGCTCTACATACCTCTGCACAATACATACCTCTGCTGTATACACAAACAGTGTATACAGCAGAGGTATGTATTGTACTATTAAAAAAGCCATGATGAGTCCGAGCAGAGTTAATGGACTTACTATTTTGACTCCAAGTTCTAGTGTGTAGTCTGTGGCCCCGTTTTGACGGAGACAATGCAACAGTAAAACGTTTGAGTTGGGTATCTGTTTGGCCTCCTGTTTACATGGAAACGGTGTTTCGGGGGTGAAAATGCAAGTGTTGAGAAACAGCATACAGAGTGAGCCTAAAATGTGTTGTGACCATCATCTATCTGTTGCATTACAACATGAACCCCTGTGACTTGTATGTGGGCTTTCTTTTAAATGTAGGTGATACATATGTGTGATCAGTTATTCATCCCTGTTTGTTCTCATTTTTAACTTTTTTGTCCTCGCAGGTTTTTGAAATCGTGGAACGAGTGGAGGAGCTCAGAAAAAAATGGCCGGTGGCTTGGGGCAAGCTGGACGAAGGTAGTATTGGCGTAGTGTCGCCATACGCTGACCAGGTGTTCCGGATCAGAGCAGAACTAAGAAAGAAGAGGATGCATGAAGTCAGCGTGGAGAGAGTCCTCAATGTTCAAGGTATTACAGTTTGATCAAGGTGCAGAACTTTTTTTCTGGTTCCATCACCGGCTTGTGATGGAACCAAGCCGGTTTCCTTGCCAGGAATGTTTTTCATACGCTAATATAAATGACGTGTATTCCATTCCAAATGTTTTCACTGCGGGAAAGTGACTTTCAGTTAGTAGAATAGAATGTTTCAGACCAATCAAAACGTGTGTTTTGAGTGGTCTGAAAAAAAAAACACAACATGTGTCCCTTATATTGCAGATTAGTCCCATTAAATCTAGATTGACCGGTATATTAAAACTTTGAAATATGTGTTGCATTGTCATTGCTCTGGGCATTTTGGTCAGAAGGAGCATATTCAATGAGAGTAATCTATTCACCATGCCTCCATAATGGAAGAAGCAAAAAAAACACATTTTCCACAAATATGCAACATATTCATGTTTTCCTCGCCTTTAAATTCTTTACCATATGTAATAACCTCTTACAAGGTCCTAATTGGTAATTGAATTTTAGCATAAGGACAGGTCGGTTTATTTGCTTGATCAAATCCATCTGGCATGCCTTTTTAAGGAAATTATATCAGCCAGTCAAACTTTAAAGAAAATACCTGTGTCGACTCCAATTAGAAAGGTACCATTTTGATGTAGCATAATCAAAGGCATAAAAGCTGAAAAATTAATGAGTGCTGACTTGAGTTCTTCAAAGTCCTTTTAAGGACTAAACATTGTGTGCACTAAACCCAGATTAAGAGTGAAAACACGTTGGATTGATTATCTTGCTTACATTTTTTGACATTTATTGTGGCATAAAATTTGTCTGTAGAGTAGATTACGAGATTATAATGTAAACAATTTTGGCACATTGTGTTAGTTTACCTCAGACAGTGACATTACATTTTCAGTGGTTTTTAAAAATTGGTTTGACCACAGTTGAAGCTACCCTGTATTCATCATTTTCCTGTTAACCCACTTTGGTATTAATTATGGCATCATAAGTGATGCTTTTAGTGGAAAATGGCAGCTTAGGCTTCAACAAATCCCTAAACTCTGTGCAGGCAAACAGTTCCGAGTGCTGTTCCTCAGCACAGTGCGAACCAGATACACCTGCAAGCACAAGCAGACGGCCATCAAGCGGAAAGAGCAGCTGGTGGAGGACTCAACGGAGGATCTGGACTATGGCTTTCTCTCAAACTACAAGCTCCTTAACACGGCCATCACCAGAGCACAGTCCCTGGTCGCTGTAGTGGGAGACCCCATAGCGTTGTGCTCTGTTGGACGCTGCAGGTACAACATTTGTTATCTGAACCAGTTGCAACAGGATCTTTTCTGAATTGAGTTTGCATGTTCCCCCCCATGTCTACGTAGGGTTTCTACGGGTGCTTCACTTTCCCCTACCACTAAAAAATATGCATAATTTGTAAAGTCCTACGCTGTACTATAGCGACCACTACTCCTGATAGATGCCCTAGTGGCATCAGGATGGGTCAAATGCAGAGGATGAATTTCCCCACAAATAAAGTGCACCTTTACATCAGTAATGTGTCACGCTGTTTAAAAAAAAAAAAAAAGTATTGCAGTACGTGTTCAGCTATTGGCATTGGTCAAGATCAGAGGCAAGGGGGTAATTTAATAAAGTGTTTGCTCATTTGTGGAACCAATAATAATATATCAAAACAAATATAGTTAACGATTCAGTCAGTCTCTGTACAGTTTTCAGTAAAAACTACCTCTACATTTAGCTGTAGGCACTCATTTATTTTTGCTGATATCATTGTCTACAAAATTGTCCAGTTTACAGGGCTTTTGCACAAAATATACATGTAATCTTTGGTCCATGCAAACACACAGAGACACACATCCAAAAAACAAACCTACTGTGCCGTACTCTTATTGTACTCCTGCTCGACTTGAGCAATAAATTACGTAATGGCTCGAGATTGCCCATAGAATTTTTTTAACCTCATGCATTTTTATAAATTTTCTACTTTTCTTCTGCATCTGTTGTAGAAAGTTTTGGGAACACTTTATTTCCATCTGTCACCAAAACTCCAGCCTGCACGGCATCACCTTTGAGCAGATAAAATCTCAGCTTGAAGCTCTTGAGTTGAAGAAGACCTACGTCCTTAACCCTTTGGCCCCAGAGTTCATCCCTCGTGCTTTGAGGCCTCTGCAGGGGCACCACTCTGCCCCCCAGTCCCTCCACCCACACCACCACCACCCCCTGCCTGTGTCCAACAAGCAGCAACTGCAGTCTCAGCAATCCCCTCCCAAGGTACTCGACACACAATCATAAGACTAGTTTACATATTTGATGAACGAGATTCAGATTAAATTGTTCCACATTGCAAATTGGGATGATGTTAAACAAACAGCTGGTTGGAGTGTGGTCTTTGCTGGGGTTGTGATGTCCTCATGTGCTGTCTGTCCTGGCTGTCTCGCCTGAGGTAAAGGTTAACGAAATCACCACAGCTGCCAGCCTGCTGCCATCCCCCAGTGGCTTTAATGAGCTCAGCTCCAGTTGGTTCTCAAGATACTTGAGTTTATGCTTACCATCTCCACCACCCTTTTTATATCCAAATTATGATATGGATTTAACATCCTTGTTGGATTACATAAAGCTATTGGGCAATAATTTAATCTGCGCCTACAAAACTAACACCTGTATCAGATTATTCATTGTTTATTTGATAGGCACACACACAACAAACATTGAATTACATAAAGTTCCACCAACACCTGGTCGGATTATATATTTATAGGTCTACTAAAAGTAGCTTGGCATCTCCTCAATAGTTTGCTTATATTTTGCAGAGGGTCAATATGACAGTATTGCAGCACAGCTGCTTGTCCCTATAATGTACTCTTTGCCTCACAAAACTTTTTTTTTTCTTCACAGGGAAAACATTCAAATCATTCTGACCACCTTCCTCCTGATGGATATGGTGAGTGACATTAATAGAATTTTTTTCGTGTCTGATTTTGACGTTTGGCTTATTGGGTTTAAAGCAGAATTGTATGGTGGTGAAGCATAAAAATTCTTACTGTGTACTTTACAACGTAGTACTAAGTACAATGTTTTTGTCAATTCTTCTCAGTTCAACCCAGTCCAGCTGTGCTCATGGGAAACCCCATACGACCCTACACACCCCCATTAGGCAAATCCCCAAGTCCCGTTCAGAGAATAGACCCTCACACAGGAGCCAGCATCCTCTATGTGCCAGCGGTGTACGGAGGGATCATGCCCATGCCTCTCCCCGTGAGTCCTCTTACACACCATGGTTTACAGTCATTATATGAAATCTACCTTTTTAGTTTTTGCTACGCTCTGCCAACTTCCATCATGGGAGATGTTTGCTCCCTCTCTAACAGGATGCATTTCATTATTTTAATTTGCTAAGATAACGGAATAGAAAACAATTAGATTATATTTTTGCAAACATCTGTTCTGTTCTATGCAAAGCAAAATTGAAATTCCCCCAGAGTTTATTACTACTAAATAATCTGTATTATTTTAAAGTTGCCCTGGCCAAGCTATCAGAACCGTTTTGCTATGGACCCCCGCATTATGAACCACCCAGCTGCCATGCACGCCTACAACCTGAACTTGTTGCAAGCTCCGAACAGAGGCTCCCCCATCCCATACCCTGGGGTGGCCCACCCGTCTCCTTTAGGAATGGGACAGCCCAGCCCAGACAAAGAAATGCAGGCAGAACCTATAAGAAATGGTTTGTTATAAAAATACAAATACAAAATTGACATGTAGTCATGAAATACGGTTTTGTTAATAAAGATGAATGTGATTTTTGTTTTTACTAGGCAAATTGGATAATTGTCCAAAGTCGGAACAAAGTCGTCTTCATACACCAGAAAGAAAAGGCATTGATATGAAGGAAAAACAGGCAAGATTTAGTTTGATTTTTAAATGGTAAAAAAAGTACACACATTTAAAATATTTTTGCCATTTAATTTCAGGGTGAATTGGACACGAGCCCAAATCGGAGCTTGGACTGCCAAACGGACAGCCTTGGATTTCATAATGCAATGCTTCAAAGAAAAGATCCTGCTACTGCTCACCGATCTATGAACTATCATTTGGCTCCACCCAACGCTGGCTTTGCCTCTCATTCATCCAGCGGCCGACAGTTTCCCCCACAGTATCTACCCAGACTCCCTAACCCTTACAGGGTTCAGCATCCGGGTCAACAACAGCTTAGCCCTGCATTCAGCAGTGCGAGCCATGGAGGGTCATTCTTTAGTGGGCCCATGGGTGCTCACAGGGGTGTACACTCTCCTACAGACGGGACAGAGTCTGGGGGTGCAGAAGATGCTCCTATGAGGACGTCAATGGGACCTGTGGGTGGCCTCCACCCAGGCCTGTCCCACAATCACCGGGTCAACAGTTTTGGAGAGGATAGTCCGGATGCAGAGAACGTGGGTGAGTCTGAAGCTATAGAAGTCTAGCCCCAACATAACCTCTTGTTGCAGTATTTGTGTTGTTGAATTTCCTCAATATAGCATTAAACAAAAAATGTCCTGCTTCTTGTCTTTTAAGATCTACATAATCCCATCTCTCTGGAGGTGTTGAACCAGCAGCAGCAGGCAGCACGCTTGGGTCAGTGGGGCGAAGCAGCAGGGCCCATGCTCCAGGGTCCAGTGGCCTTCCCCATGCCCCAGCCACTCGCTCACCTCCCTCAGCCAGGGATGGCCCGCCTACCGTCTCACTTACTCCGCACAGCCGGTTGGGGGGTTGGTTCAAATACAGAGGAAGAGTCTGTTCCTTCTGCTGCCGCTGGCCCATCTTTCAACAGGTGAGTGACACTTGCACTTAACAAAATCCCTCCACCTCCCCGTTCTTATGCAGTAAACACGTAAGGTTTGTGTGGCTTTTTTATTTACTCAATGGAGCCTGTGTAGTGCTGACGGCACACCCCAAATTCAGAACACATCCCACGAGTTTAATTCCAACTTCCTTGTTTGAAAAGTAATAAACATCTAAAAAGAAATATTTCATACTGCCAGTTTTTTTTTGGGTAAATCATGAAAAAGTTCTAAAGAAAAATGAGAACGTTACAATAGTACAATATAGGTGTAATTTAGGAGGATAATTTATCAATAATCGCTGTGTGCAGGTACCCTGGTCTCTTGAGAGAGATTCCGATACAAGAGCAGCCCGACTCCAGAGAGGTGTCGGAACTGCAGCCCCCACCTCAGTCACGGCTGCTTCAGTACCGACAGTCCCGAGCCTCTGCAGACCCCTCTGCACATCTGGCCCTTGCTTCAAACCACATGACCCTCTTCCCCCCTGGACCCTATCCCCACGATGCAGGGCGCTCACCCCTCACGGACACTGTCTTGAATAACCCCCTTCCTCAACAGCAGGTGAATCACCTTTTAAATAGTGAAGGATTTCCCCCTCAAACCCAAACTGCAGAGTCTCCACCCGCTCATGTCAAATACCTGATGCAAGAGCCTCAGTGGCCCCTGGGTGCAACTGCTGCCACGAGCCCCCCACAGCACAATAGCATTCTGGGTAACCAAGGCCACAGACTTCCTTATGGACTGCCCATGATGGCACATGCCAGCAGACAGCAGCAGATTCATCTGATGCAGCTCCACCAGCAGCAGCAGCAGCAACAGCAGCAGCAGCAACAACAGCAGCAGCAACAACAGCAGCAGCAGCAGCAGCAGCAGCATCAGAGCCCAGAGGAGTCTTACCACTCACTGTCCCCCAGGACGTCTGCACCTACAGCTCTGCACAGTGTAGATGAGGTGAGCCATCTTAAATGTAAACATCTCTGTATGTACAGTTTGGATATGTGATCTATCCTCAAAGTATACATGCATTTATGGTGCACTTGTTTCCACCTGCAGTATGAGCCTCGTGGTCCTGGTCGGCCTCTCTATCAGCGCCGGATCTCTTCCAGTTACCCAGAAGACACCCCGCAACAGCCCTGTATCCCTGGCTCACATGTCCTTCAGCATCCTCATGGCCCCCACCCGTTTACTTCTCACAAGCCCTGGCCGGCCAATGGAGGGGATCCAAACCCATACCAGAGTGTTCCATGTAATGGAGCTGGATCTATTAGTCAGCATCGGGAGCTTTTAGGTTTGTTTGCGCTTTTATCGTGATTAACGTGCATGGAAACCTTATCCTTAACCTTCAGTTGTTTGCACTATGAGTGATTCTATCTATGCCAAATGTGACATGTAAATGTCTCCATTGTGAGATGAATGAAGTTTATCTTATCTAGAAGTGGCGTGTGTAACCCCCATATGTCCATGTTTGTTTCTCAGTGTCGAAAGGCCACCGTCCTTCTGAGGAGCAGATGAACGCAGAAGCGGCAGCAGCAGCGCAGACGCACCTCCAGCATCTTGGACAGTTCCCGCCCCTCATGCCTAATAATAACAAACCACCACCACCACCCCAGCCTCCCTTAGAACCAGGGCCAAGTCCTCACAAAGTGGCACCAGGTGAGCTTGGTCCTGGTCCTCACCTGAGCAAAGCCCCCACCATGTCGTACGCCAGCGCCCTGCGAGCTCCCCCCAAGCCCAGAGCCAGCCGGCCGGAGCTGAAGAAGAACAGTGACCCTCTGTCTCTACTGCAGGAGCTCAGCATACGAGGTTCCAATAGTAGCAATGGGTACTACTCCTACTTCCCCATGTCAGAGTGTCACCTCCCCCCACCCAACAAATAAGTATAAAATAATAGAAAAATAGAAAAAAATATTCTTTAAAAACCTACAAAAATGACACATTTCTAAACATACAAAATAGTGCATTTATAAAATTATTCTATTCAGTAGTTTTGATTTTTAATTTTAGTTGCTTTTTTGTATTTGTCATTCTTTGCATATCTGTGACAATAAAAAAAAGTATATAAAATGAATGCATTACTATATACATATATATTATGTATATATGAATATATACTTATTATATTAGCTAAACTTGTATATGTAATGAAAAATATCAAAAGAAACTTAAAAAATGAGAAAACATAAAAGAAAAAAAAGAAAAAGCAGAAAAAGGTCAAGGCTCGTTCGGCCTCGAAGCCTCAACGTCCTCCTCACTGTAGTTTGTTTTTGTTTTTTGCTTTTATAGATTGATTCTTTTCATTTTGAGTGGATGTCTTTTGTTTTCATAATACTGTAGCTGTGGAAAATGGATCCAAGCTCAAGTGTTGGCCGACCCTGAATCTAAACAGCGACATGAAGTTTCCTCTGATCTGTACATACACGAGAATAACGACTGAACGGTATTGCTAACGGCGTCTCCTTCGATCATGCTTCAGCTCTGCTTCATAGTTACTTTTTATTGTTGGCTTCAAATTCCTCACATTGCCCAAAATTAAATGATAAATGATCCTGATTTTTAAAAAATTCCAAAACACATTAGTAAATGTTTTTATTATTAGCCGTTCAATGCTGTTGTGACAGTGGATCGGGGCGGAGTCCTGGGGGGAAAATGAAATGTTAAGTGTTTTGTTGATAATGTTTTTAAAAGAAATTGTCTCTGAAAGTCGAGTTTTGTTGGTGGTCAGGAATATACACTGCCAATCTTGTGTTTGAACAAATGCTTTTTCTGTCAAATGTTCAACTGCTTCGCAACATGGCTTGATAGTAAATGTGGTAAATGCAGTTACTGAAGTCCAAATGGTCATTGTAAGATGTGCAACACTTTTAGTAAATGCTGTTTCCTTTTTAAGACTAAAAACCAATAAACCAATTTTTAAATATTTTTGCAGCAGTTGAGATTTGATTTGAGAAAGGGTTGTTGTGAATTGGGCTGAAACGAGGATAGGTATTGTCACTATATGGGGGAGTGATATGTTGACTAACACAATGGGGGCACTATTTCAAATTGTTTTGAGGATCACAAATCAAAATAATCCATTTCAGAAAGATTTTTGTCCTAATTATCTAAATGTTTATCACGGGGGTGAGGCATAGCTTGAACCAGATTGGCAGAAAACACTTTGTAAATAAGGCATTTTCTAGAAACCTGAACTTTGGAGCACCTCCATTTTGTAGACAATGTTTAAAAGTGATGGAGCGATGCCCCTTTTTCATTATGCAAATTAAGAAAAAAAAATTCTCGAAGTGGACAGCTGTACACACACTTGTGTTTTTACCTGGCGTCTGGAGACCAGAGACACCTGTATGAGTTCCTTCACTGTACAATAGTTCTATTTATGTATAATTCTTTATGGATTTGTCTTGTTTTGTTTTTGTCTGAAGTTCACGGCTATGAAACAATCAGTTGTTTTCTTTTTAAAGTTTGTTTTTCATGCATGTTGAAAATGGCTGGTTTTAAGTTTTATCCGTTTGTATTGATTTGAAAGAAAACATTTGAAAAAAAATAACTTTGATTTAACAGAGTCAAATCTTTTAGTATAATAAGTCTCAAATCTGTGACATTATCAGCAAAACTACTATAATATTTTAAAAATGTGTAGTCTGTACTTGTGTGTATAATTTTTTGCCTGACTGATGCTGAGGTTGCTCCCTGACGTTTTACCACAAAATTGTGTCATTGGCTAATTTCTGATGTTGTGCAATACTAATAATACATTGCTTCTTTGTATTTCTTTTGGAAGCAGAAGAGATTGAGCCAAAGACATTTAAAAGGGATTTTATTTTTTTCTCCTTAGCTGTATTTCTACTTTTGGACAAGAGCTGGTGACCTTTATTTGCCTTTAAAAGTTAATGGGAGAACCTCTGGCAATTAGGGAGCACATTGTTCTGGCCACACCTTTCCCCGCCCTCCTATCGCAGTCGCCTCGTCTGTTTGCAGAAAACCACTTTCTCTTAATTCCTCATCATTGGCTCACAATCCAATCAGTTGTGCTTATAATAAAGGATTTACTCTGTTTTAAAAAAATATAAGATCCAATTTCTTTTTTATTGTTTCTTTATTAAAGTGTTTTTATTGAAAACTGCCTCAGCCTTTTTTCATGAAGACACAATGTTGTAGCACTCATAGGACGTTTATTCATCCACATAACACTTTTATTACAAATTACAAACAAACCAGCACAACAAAGCTATTATATAATCGGCAACACTTCGTGCAATAAAACCATGGTTCAGGTCAGAGTTCAGATGTCAAAAAATGGGTCAGGACTTAGATTGTATAATGCATAATGGCTGGTTTAACAATATATGCTTCACTAATAATGAGTTATTAACATATACTTTGGTTTATGTTGCGTTTTCTTCTTCTGAGCTGCTTTGGTTTGCATTGATTAAAAAAATGTGTGGCTTCCATCTTGATAGAAAAATAAATGTTCATAGCCTTCACGTCATTTTTGCCCAAATTCTCCATGATTCTGGACATCTATGGTGGAAAAGCCTACGTCCCTAGTTGGACAATGGCAAGTGTCAAGAGTGTGATGTTAAGGAAATAACGTATATAAAGTTTAAAAAAATTATATATAGCGGCAATTATTTTACTTTTATGGCTCCATCCTGAAATTCTGAGCTTTATCTTCAGAAGAATTCCAATACAGGATGAGCTAAGAAAAAAAAAAAATAACTTATAGAAATGGACCAGTGGCTATGGAGGTGATAGGGGGAAAAGGGTTAATATTTTGTATTTTAAAGAGACCCTACCCCAATATTCTAGTTTATACTGGCACTGCGGTTTAACATTCAGATCTAACTCGGCCAATCACCTATGGTTTTACTTCTGACTCTAAAATCATGTTTAAAGCATACAAAAATATGTACATGATGATACATTAGGCAGTATTCTTCATTTATGCAGTCTCTTAACAGCGTAGATGTCAGAATAATTTTACTTGTTATAAAATACGTCAACAACAATCATAATACAAATACATTAGTCCTGTGACGGCAAAGGCCACTGGTTAAAAGGCAGACATTTTATTTGGAAAAACAGTTTCAAGGCATTCACTTCTTTTTATACTCTGCCCAAAATGGCTATGAGAACTTTTTGACAACCTTTAAACAACATGAAGCAGATACTGTTTCACTCAAAATATGTAATTTCTCAAGTGGAATGAGAAAAACAGGCTCAACTATGTTTGTTTAAGTAATGTTTAAGTTGGGGTACCTAATATATGTGTTTCTTTTCTTCTTTTCTGTTTAACCTCAATCAGCTTTTTCCATGATCTCTGTGAGTAAAGTATATGATGCTTTGGGCTGAGATCTGATTGGTCAAGAATGGATGGTCATCTTTGCTTCACTCTTTCATCTGAAAAAAAAAAAAAGATCTAAAGTTGTGCTTGAGCCTGAAAACTAATGGCAGACCAAAGCTATTGGGGATATACAAACTAGTCAGATGGTTTTAAAGTAACCCTTTAGGCACCAGACATTTGTATGGTGGAGCCCTGAAACTTAGAGATGGAAGACTTCTCATATAAATAACAGAAATAAATAAAAGTTGTAAGAATTTTTTTTGGGAAAGCCAGATCACTGTCCTGGATTCAGAAGCTCAGGGAACTTTCAGCAACTCTGGCGCCTAAAGAGTTGAATACAAGGTTGATTTTTTATTTTTTTTCTATTCAGGTACCCCAGCTGATTTTGTTATTATTTTTCCATTTTTGGATGCCTGGATCTCACTCCACTTGCTCTGGCTCAGCATCCATGCAGGTCTCCCAGGGGTTGCGGGGCATTTGGGGCATGGAGAGCACGAGGAGGGCGATCCCGGTGAGGAAGAGCAGCACGAAGCCGGAGCAGGCGCAGGCGAAGGACCAGCCGTAGCTGTACTCCATCCAAATGGTGTCCTCGCTCTCGATCATGCGTTTGACCGACTGCCGCATCACCTCCAGAGAAATGAACGCACACAGGCCTGCAGACGCCAAGGTGAAAGTGCAATTAGCTAAACATGTATCTGCATTTGTGTATTCCTCTTGGTACTTGTATGTATTCCAATCTGGGTTTTATACTGGAAATGGCAAACACATTAAATACCTTTGTTTAGCCTAAAATATGAATTTAAACCAATGGTACCAGGAGTAAAAGATAAGATAAGATAAACTTTTATGATCTCAGAGTGGAGAAATTTGCCCATTGTCACATTTGGCATAGATAGAATCACTCACATTGTACAAAAAGACAGAAGTGTGCAAACAGGTTAAAATATAGTCTGTGCAAAAGATAGTATGTGCAATAAAAGTGACCATAGCAGTGCGACATCTTTAGGTCAGCTTTTTCAGACAAAAAAGTGAAAAGGAGAGGATTACACTGTGTGATTAAAAATGTTGTTTAAACAAGACATATATTGTGCTTGTTTCATCGACAAAACTATTTTTCTCATGTTTTACTATTTACCATTAAAGCTGGGGGACCTACATTTTTGTTTCGTAAATAATACTAGTATGTCTCAACAGAAGTCCTGTTTGTAAAATGATGTGAAGATTTGAGATCACAAAATTTAATCTTCAAAAATTGTTGCGTACTTATAGAAAGAGCCCTGTGAGTCACTATTTGACCCTTTGGGGTGAGAGATTGGTTGAATGAAGGTGGTCCTCTCTTTTTCACTTTTCTGTCTGAAAAATCTGACTCAAAGATGTTAAAAAAAAGTACATTAATTCAAAGAACCAAGAGCTTTGGACTAATTTAATTTTTTGCCACACTGTAAAAAAGAAAAAGTTTGTTCAACTCAAAATTTCAAAGCAACAGCTGCGAAGGATTTTTGAGTTGAAGGCATTAACTTATTTCTTCACGTTTTGAAGAACTACACTTATAAAGTTGTGTGAGTTAAGTTTTCCAAGTTCTGCCAACTAAGTTTTTAAATTCAAGTTACTGGAAATTTCAAGTCTGTAAAAACTTACTTTTTTAAATTCAGATTACTGTCCCCTACAATAACTTACTATTTTGAGTTTAAATTAGCCCCCACATTAAACCATCATGATGTTTATTTATATAGCGCATTTTACAGACCAAGGTCACTTGGGCAGGTGAAACCAGAGCACCCAGAGGAAACCTATGCAGACACAGAGAACATGCAAATTCCACTCAGAAAGGCCCTGCTCCGACCAGGATTTGAACCCAGGACCTTTGTGTTAAGAAGCGAGAGTGCTATCCACTTAGCCACCGTGCCGCACACACTGTGAGCCCGATTAGTGGGGAAAACTAATGTTTCTAAGACTGACATAGGGAATATATAGGGCTACTTTGGCTTGGCCCTGTCAGTTGGTAAAAATAAATACAATGATTTTTTTGGTCAAAATAGTTTTTTCTAAATGTTGAATGCAGCCGGTTGCCATGACAAATCTTTAAATGAGCAAATGCAGATAAGTTGACCTCACTCTAGCTCGGTGAACTGTAAAAACGACAACTCAAAATTGTTCAGCTTACTCAGATTTTTGTATTCACTGACAATAAAATTGGCTATTTTGTTGTCAGTGAAGGCAAAAGTCTGAGTAAGGTGAACAATTTTGAGTTGTAGTTTTTACAGTGCAGTATTAGCTCTATACAGCTAGCTTCCGACTACTACTTTCCTGACATAGTTAAATCTGTTATGGTTTGAAAGAAAGAACCCCCAGCTTTAAAAGGATAAAAATGTGCTAATCTGCATGGGTTTCAGAATGATGAACATAAGGACAGTTGACATCGTATAATTTCAAAAACAAAAAAGGTTTTCATTCTATTACCAGTAAGTTGAATGAATAGTTAAATTTAATATAAAAATATATATATAAAAAATATATCATTAGGCACTGGGTCCTCACCTGCAAATGCGTAGAACATTCCGGCAGGTTTGAGGAGATAGTCCCGTTTCTGACCGCCGCACGAACAGAGCAACGCCAGAGAGCCCAGGATCATGAAGGCCAGACTGAAGATGGAGATGGCTGCAGCCGAGATGTTGTACTCTGCAGAGGAGCAAAGAAAACAATATCAGTGTTTGCCTTCAAAAAAAAAAATGTTTAGGCGCCAAAGTAGCTGGAAGTTCCCTGAGCTTATGCATCCAGGACAGTGATCTGGCTTTCCCAACATTTTTCTCACAACTTTTATCTATTTCTGTTCTTTATATGAGAATTCTTCAATTTCTAAGTAATTTCTGAAAAAATCGGAGCCTAAAGGGTTCATTTAAATCAGCATAACATTGTAAACTGTTTAAGATTGTACAGGAATGTTTTAGGGCCCCGCCTATAAGTGAATTCTGGGAGTTCCCTTTTTACAAAAAGCCTTACAAATAGAATATGTATGACATGTAGGGTAATGAATTGATTTGAATAATATATTTGGCACAACTTCACAACCTCACATTAAACCCAATCAACAGAATCTTTTGAGATGTGAAAACTTGACATTTGCAGAGCTGTTCTTTTCAAAAGCCGTGGAGCTAGTTTTTCCAAAGCAGGTGAAAGTGTTGCAGTGGTGTTGGGGAGTTGTTTGATGTGCTGCTTGAGCCGTGCCCCGGGGAGAGCTCCGTCCAGTTCAGTTAGACATGTCATGAATAGAGCAGGCCATGAAACATACTGTGGCAACCTTTTCTACTCTATGTGGGTTAGGGTTATCTATGTATGTTTCTGTATTACAGTTTTTCTCAGTCGCTTTGGTGCATTTTTCACATCACTCTTCACATTTGCACAACTGTTGGTGCATTTCTCAGAACAATTAGTGCAAACTGCAGAACCTTGTGGATAACCTGCAAAAGTGCGTCACTTTCTCAAAATGAAAAGTTTTTTCCTCAAAAGCAAGTCCAAACGTCAATGAAACTGTCTATGCCGTCAAAATAATATGTCCTAACAACATTGAGTATGAACATCACAGTCAAATGACTTAGTCATGTTTTCATTGTGAGAGTTTACTCTCTCTGTGTTTTCAGTGTAAAAAAGTCAGATCTCGGTGACACTTGAGCACGACTATGAGGTCACACTATACACGACCTGTACAGCCATTTACAGTAAAAACTACAGTAAAGTTACACAAAGACTGTATTTAGAGACGTAGCTGACATTCTGTAACATATATGTATGTACTGTATGTATGTGCAGTATCTATGAATCTATCTATAGCTACAGTATGAATCTATCTATCTATCTATCTATCTATGAATCTATCTATCTATCTATCTATGAATCTATCTATCTATATATCTATGAATCTATCTATCTATCTATCTATCTATGAATCTATCTATCTATCTATGAATCTATCTATAACAGAACATTTTTATTTTTTTTTGTGGAGAGCTGCTACTGGTTCTTTTTACCTTTTTAAGTGAAAAGTGTTTTTTTGCCGAACTTAAATATTTGTACTTTCTTTCTGATCCGTTTGTTTAGCCGCCTGGCGCTAAGTAACCGTGGACCCAGAATAGATGATAATGCTGATAAACATACAGCATGTTTGTTCTGTCTTATGGACCATTGTTCTGGTCCATAAGACAGGAGTTCTGGATCTGGAGCCAGAGCTAACAGGGCATGCCATTTACTCCATTACTCATAAACGGCCCAGGATTACTGCTCTGGAGGTGATGTGACATTCTTCCACATGTAGAACAACATGCTGAGACTGAACCGGGTCACGGAATCAGGGGAGCAGGGAGCCGTGGGGGTTGGGTGTCAAGAGCACGCTAAAGTAGCCAATAATGTTCTATAGAGTGTGATGTAAATAATGAAGAGAATCCTGAAACTTTGACTCCATAGAAACAATAACATTAGTGCTTCTGTCCTGGATGTGGCTGCTACGCTCGGAAATGTGTTCAATCCAGCGTGAAGCCGGGGAGGCCTTTTTCCACCACTGAATTGGTTATTTTTCCATTTGTCCAAGACACAAAATTGATGTTGTTCAGCCACTAATGTACGAGCGAGAGAATCAATCCGAAAATATCAATATATCAATACTAAGAAGCATCGAATGAATGAATTTTTTTTCATGTACTATTTTGTTAAATGTATTTTCAATGGATTTTATCGTATGCGTATTGGATCAATATTGTAATAATTGCCTTAGTATTACAGTAATTGGTATTGTATCAAAATAATAATATAAATTATCATAATTATTGTCTTGTTCTGCCACTATGCACTGAGTTATAGAATCACTCCAAATATATCAATTATTAAGAAGTTTTAACTTTTCTTTCATTGGTCTTAGCTGTGGATCCTGTGCTTGCATGTGAGTCCTAAACTAAGTCTAAATTAAAAAAAAAAATAAAGTATCCAAAATACTATAATTTAGTGTGACACATAATTTTTACATACAATTTTGTATTTTGTATACTGTTTGATATTTTTCTTTGCTCTTAGCTTCTTCCCACTCCTTTTCAAGGTGACTTTTTGTTAATAAAACAAAACATATTGTGTATTTGTATATATCAAGTATTGAGTTTTTTTCAATTCTGTTGTTTTGTTGTTGTTCCCTGTTCTTGTTTGCCAAGGCTCGAAATAAAGTATTCATTCATTCATATTTTGCTTTGATATTTGCCTTAGTGTTAATGGGTATTGTATCAAGAATAATAATATAAATGATTGTCAGCTTTATCTATATAGCACATTTGCAGCACCAGCATCCCAAAGTGCTTCACATGCGCACACACACAAAAAACATACGTACCTTTTTGTGTTTTGTATTCAAATATCTCTGCATCCTTTCCTGGAGTGAAGTGTCCAAAGTATGTGCAGTTCTCCTCTGAAAAAAAGACACAATATTGATTTAATGCTCAAAGTACACGGCAGCGGTTTCGTTCGAGCAGAAACTCCAGCTCTGTGTATTTTTACAGAGCTGTGGGACTCTAGTGTGACGGATGACGAACACTGGATACACTCAGGAGGACGGTAGTTGGGTTCATGCCAAAAGTCAAAAATATAGCTGCGACTATAAATTATCAAAATAAATCATGTGTGAATGACTATGGCTGCTTTTGAAAGTACATTTTTATTATGTGATCATTGCCCAAGTCACTTCTAACTTTCAGGTTTTTTCCATTCCTTTCAAAGTGATCATCTGTTAAGCTGCTTAAGGAATTAGTGAAAGTGAAGTGATAAAAAAGTTATGATTTGACCAGGTGCTCCAGCTTAATTCTCCGGGTAACCATTATACTTTTCTTTTGAATGCGCTGAAAAACGGCTGCGAGTCCTAAGTAGCTCTGAAACAGTTGTTGTTTTGTGCTTTACAATTTTCATTTTTCTTGGTTTTTTCTACCTGAGATGTTGCTGCAGTACAGACCAGAGCAGAGAGGATTCATGGTCCGAACCAAGTGGATCAAGCAGAGATCCACAGGAGGAATGCTAACTTTTTGAAAAATGCTAATGTATTTAGCATTTTACTTTGGACTAGAGCAGAGAAAATGGCCCAAACTAAGCGGCGACTCCATCTGTGCTGCTCTGACCCGTCCTGCTCCACCCAGAGGCTCCACCTCTGCTGCTGTGACCTGAGTTGCTGTTGCTGATTATTACTATTGTTAGCTTTTTAGAATGATCAATTTTATTTTTTATTTTTGTTGCTACTGGACACCTGAATTTCTCCTACGGGGATCAATAAAGTATCTATCTATCTATCTATACATTTTCCAATCCTCAAAAGAGTAAAAATGGGTTGCTGCTACAGACTTCAATTCACAATAGATAAAAGAGAATACATAGCTCCCCATAAAGTTAGTTTGTTGTTGACTTGTGAACATAGTTTGACAAATAGTTGATCAACAAATGTATTGAAAGAACTGCCTGTAAGCCTTTTCCTATTCTTCTGGGGCTTTTTGCACTTCAGGTTTCCAAGCTTTTGTCTGTCTTGCCTTGAACTAATAGAAGTTTTGAAAAGATTTACTTCTTTGTTAAAATGTATCTAAAGCTTCAAACATTTAACAGATATGAAAAGTGACTTTTTTATGTCTTTATGGCATACCATACATGAGAATCTTCAAAGCTGGTTAAAAGGACGAATGGGTTAGAATAGACTCGAATAGAAGAGAATAGGACAGGCTCGAATAAGTATTGCTTCTGCCTATTCCTTTTTTGGGTGCATTTTATTATTTTATATAATGTGTTTTTGAAATGTAACTTTGTGATGACCAAAATAAAACCAATCAATCAATCAATCCCAGTACGCAACGTTTTAGACACAATGTAGAATAGATACTGTCCTTACGAGTCCTTTGATTCTGCAGCTTGATTCTGCTGCAACGGCTGCACCACTACATATACTGTATAAATGCCTCCATCATGACATTTGGAGCCACCTGCATGTGAAAGCCAGATCCCGTCAAACCTCTGAAGCTAAGGCAAGGCAAGTTTATTTGTATGGCACAAGTCATAGACAAGGCAACTCAAAGCGCTGAACAAAAAAATAGAGAAAGAGACAGTCACACAAGGCATAAATATCTTGAATAATCACAGTTCATTCAAAAATAGAAAATATAAAATCCCTCAGTTGTATGCACAGATAAAGAGAACTGTTTTTAACCTTGATTTTAACATTGTCAGAGAGAGAGTCCTGTCTCACATCTTCAGGAAGACCGTTCCAGATTTTAGCAGCATGAATCTGAAAAGCAGCCTCCCCATGTTTAGTTCTGACTCTGGGCACTAACAGGAGTCCAGTCCCTGTGCTCCTCAGAGTCCGAGTTGGCTCATATGGGACTAACATGTCACTGATGTACTAATCAGGGCCTAGCCTGGTTGGTAGTGTGATGGGAGACCTCTAGGTGCCATAGTGGGGCAACTGCGGCTGTAAAGTGTCAAACTGTTGTTGTGTCCTGAGGCAAGGCATTTCACCCGCATTGTCTAGCATGAGTCTGGTGTATGAATTAATGGTTGGTGGTAGTTAGAGGGGCCAATGGCACATACTGGTTGCCTCGCTTCAGTCAGTCTGCCCCAGGACAGCTGTAGCTAAAGTAAAAGTTTATCACTGTTTAATATTATTGTATAGAGTGAATGAATGACGAGAAGTGAATCGTCTTTGTGTGTCCCAAAATGTGCTCTATAAAACCGATGCATGTGTATTTATTGTTTATTTATTCTCATTAGTATATAGTTAAGTGATAAAAAGTTGTTATTAAACAGTGATCTTACAGCGATGTCTGGGCACATTCTCTGGGTAACCATCAGTATACAGTTTACAATTCTTGTTAGTTGCTACTTTTCATTTATCATATGTTTATTTGGGCGGCAATAAAACAGGACTTTCTCAGCAAGAGGGTTTGCACGTTCTCCCCTGTACTCCTGAGAGACAAATGATCACAACTGTGAACCGCTTTGTGACTCTGAGGCGGTAAAAGGCGGTATATAAATAAAGATTACTCAATTACTTACTCACTTATTTGACAGACCTGGTCATAAGACATAAAAATACATTACATTTACATAGATGATAATAAAAAAAACACAGATTAAACATCTCTCTGAATGGTTCCGGACATATCTAGTTGTTCCCATCTTTGTTTAACATCTCACCATGACCTGTTCTCCACATGTCTGTAAAGCCGTCACTAACTGAGCTGTGCCTCTCTCCCTGAGCGCTTTCATGTGGAAGTGTGGCTTCTGCTGCTGCCGTCTCACTCAGAGCGCACTGACCCATGCTGGGCTCCCACACGTGTCTATGGGCTTCATACTAACTTTGAAATAGGCTTAAACACATGTTAGCCGGATTATGTGGCTGCCGACGAGTGGTAGAGTTAAACCATTTGATTGTTCAGAACGAGCGTTAGATTTGAAGTGTGTTCCTATATCCTCAAAATCTGCCTCACATAATTTAAACTAACCTAACCTTTAACATGTTTGCACACTTCTGTCTTTTGCACAATCTGAGTGATTCTATCCATGCCAAATGTGACGTGTACATTTCTCCAGCGTCAATAAAGTCTGTCTTATCTTACAAATTAGCTAGAAAAAAATCTGTTTGGGTTTATCATCCTTTTGGCTTCTGTCACATATTTAGATTATTATTTTTTTGGACAGAAGAGTAAAAAAGAGTGGACTACCCTCAATCGGTCAATCGCCACGCAACCCAATTATTTTTATTTTTTACAAAAGGTGAAAGTCTTTCCCATAACATAATGGGTGTGTCCTTTGTTTACAAAATGTTTCACTTACAGAACTGTTTCTGTTTGGAAAAAATATTGGATCATTTACGAATGGAAAAAAAGTTAGGTACCCCAGCTTTAACCCTCCCCTCTTAGGAGCAATGAAACTGAAGGTACACAGTCAATAGTACTCAAGCAATAATTTGCTGAAGAATATTTTGTGCACATATAGGCCTTTTTGTAACAGAGAAAAAAGGGATATAGAGACTACAAATGTGTGGGTTTTTGGTGTTGAATATAATCTGGACCATGACTGCCACCCCCTGCAGTTTCAGAGGCACACTTATTAACATTAGACATTATTTATACTGTCTGTAACTTGTGATACAACACCGAAATTTCCCCCTTGTGGGACGAATAAAGGATCTTTTAATAATAATTTTAATTCTGACATTTCCTTCCAAATCTCTCTCAGTAAACATGACTTGTATTCACAGGTGTCTGATTTTAGCAAGCGACTCTGCAACTTGCATACATGATAAACCTCAACCAAGAGCGTCATTTCATACATAGAAAAAGGGCTTTGATCAAACGCCATCCATCCATCCATTTTCTTCCGCTTTATCCGTTGCCGGGTCGCGGGGGCAGCAGTCTAAGCAGAGACGCCCAGACTTCCCTATCCACACACACTTCCTCCAGCTCGTCCGGGGGGACCCCAAGGCGTTCCCAGGCCAGCTGAGGGACATAGTCCCTCCAGCGTGTCCTGGGTCTTCCGCGGGGCCTCCTCCCGGTGGGGCATGCCCGGAACACCTCCCCAGGGAGGCGTCCAGGAAGCATCCGGAACAGATGCCCGAGCCACCTCAACTGGTTCCTCTCGACGTGGAGAAGCAGCGGCTCTACTCCGAGCTCCTCCCGTGTGACTGAGCTCCTCACCCTATCTCTAAGGGAGCGCCCAGCCACTCTGCGGAGGAAGCTCATTTCGACCGCTTGTATCCGCGATCTCGTTCTTTCGTCATTACCCAAAGCTCATGACCATAGGGTGCCATTGATCAAACGCACATGCTGTAAAAAAAAAAAGAAAAGAAAAAAAGGCCCCACAGAGACAGCGGGTTAACACCATCTCCCTCCATCCTCTGTCACTCTGTGTTTGGTCAAGGCATTTCTCATCTGGTGGTGTTAAAAATACTGTTCCTACACATAGACACACACGTAGATTTAGAACGCAACATGCGACGAGTTGTTAAGTGGAAGTGAGGTCAACCACACTTCCACTTAACAACTCGTCGCATGTTGCGTTCTAAATCTCGTTCTAAGTCACTTCTATCTGATCATTTTATGACCAGGATTATCATGAAACAAGTTTAAAGCAACAGTGTATAACTGTAAGTGACAATAGTTGTGGTCGTGACATTGACCCGTGTTGTTAAGTACTAGCTCTGCAGCCGGTCCCCTATAAAACAAATATGGCTGCTATTCCTCTAAAGATATTCCCATAACTAACAGCTAACATTATCTCCTTTTGAAGACCATAGACAGACCATGACACTATGGCCGCTAAAAGGAGTAACCGTAGCAACAACCTCCTATCACTATGCGTCAGAACAGAGCGCTTTAAGAGATCCTTTGTTGCTTCACCTGTAAGACTGTTGAACAGATCTGTTTGACCCTTTGCTGGTTTCATCAACCATTTGGTAGACCATCTTTTCAGTCTCTATATCTACTGGGAGCTTGGAGCTGAAATATACCTCTCATAAAATACTACTTTTACCATCAAAAAGGCGGCACGGTGGCTGAGTGGATAGCACTCTTGCTTCTCAGTAAGAAGGTCCTGGGTTCCAATCCTGGTCGGAACAGGGTCTTTCTGAGTGGAGTTTGCATGTTCTCCCCGTGTCTGCGTAGGTTTCCTCCGGGTGCTCTGGTTTCTCCTACCACAAAAAACATGTACAATATGTCTGCGCCTCCTGTACCGGCGACTCTGCTCCCATCCCAGTGTGGAGTGAGACGACAAATGCCCCAAAAATAACAATTGTAAACCGCTTTGTGACTCTGGTCTGTGAAAGGCGGTATATAAATAAAGATGACTTACTATTACTTATAGTACTTATCAAACTGCATCTCAACCATTTGGTGAAGGCTTATGGCTAAAAAAAAGATTTGGGGTTAAAAGAAGTAAACTCATTATTTGTTTTGCTGTGCATACGACTGAATGATTTGATCTGAACTCTTTTTAATTATGTGATTTTAATGTTTTTGTAAAAAATTACATTGTGTTTTTTTTTAAGGAGAAAAATTAAAGGGCTAAACATGTGCACTTTATTGGTTTACCACTGTTGTTAGTAACTTACAATTATATATTTATTTATGTTTGTATAGATGACATCTGAATATCTCCTACAGGGCATCAATAGGAACTAAGTAAGTAAGTAAGTAATGTTTATTTATATAGCACATTTTACAGGGCGGTTCCGGTTTCCCCTACCACTAAAAACATGCTCACTAGGTTAAATCCTTCAGCTACGGTAGTCCTGATCAAGCCGAGCTTCAACATCTGGAGATGGGTTCCCGGGCGCTGTTACTACGGCGACCACTTCTCCTGACGTAAGCCTTCGCGGCATCAGGATGGGTCAAATGCAGAGGATGAATTGCCCTGTGGTGATTAATAAAGTGCACCTCTACCTACAGACCAAGGTCCCCCAAAGCACTTTACAATGTTCAGAGGTCAGATATTGTTGCAATCACTCCACAACCGGTTATGACGGAAGCAAGACGCAGCACACACTGGCGCATCAAAGCCTCCAACCAACACCATTCATTCACTCACTCGTTACATTCAAACCTACTGTGCATGTTTTTAGTAGTCGGACAAACCGGAGCACCCGTGCCGCCCACAATAATGTATCTATCTGTCTGTCTAATTATCCATTTGACTCTGGTTTGTTGCATTTATTCAGTGTACTATAATGTGGTCCTACACAAACTAGTGTGAAGTAACCAGAGGAGCAGTTGTTTGGAGGGAGCTGTGGGGCAGTAGACGTCTCAAGGGAACAGAAGTACGTGTGACGTTTGCACACGGCCCCGTCACTCAAAACTACACCCAGCTGAGTATTTACACCCCATTTATTTATAACTAAAGCAACTGCTTTCAGCTCAGCTCCCTTGTAAATGTAACAATTCCCTTTTATTGGAGTGTGTTTGCTGTGAAATAGAAAGAGATAAGAACTTACAAAATATACACTATTTATGGAATGGATAAAGGATATTTTAAATGTTGAATGAAACAGGAAGCAGAGACGCAGATAGATGCCTGAAAGCGTACAACCGCAGTCATATTTTCCACTGGGCCTCCTGGTGTCTGCTTTATATTAAGGGAAGACACAACTTGACGGGTTTGAGTAAACATTGAATAGTGTCTCCAAATAAAGAAATTGTCCAGAGAGACTGATGGATCAAGTGCATTACTGATAATCCCAACAGATTACAATAACCATCAGTTGTCTCAAGCAGTGCCAGATCACAGGCCACTGGACCACTACATAATTAGAACATATATTCATGTGCATTAGGCTGCGTTCTCCTCATACCAACGTGGGCTGGGGCAAATTCTGCAGAGTCTGCACATGTCTGTCGCGCCTGGACAAATTTTGCACAACCTCAGCTGCTCCTGGAACAGCCGTGAGAATCCCCAAAGTTTAAGCGCCTCTATAAAAAGTAACGCACCATCTGCACTTGTATATTGTATATTGTACATAGTGATTGTAATTGTAATCGTAATAATTCTATTCTAAATAATTCTCTTCTTTGACTGTTGCACCGAGCCAAAGCAATTTCCAAGTCTGTGATTTCCTGTTCCTTACATGGCAATAAAAATGATTCTGATTCTAGTACGCTTGAGCAACGCTAAAGTTGCATAGTTTAACAGTCGACAAATATGAACCAAGTCACTGAGTGCATGCGTCTCTGGTTTGAATCCGGATGTTCTCTTCTAACATCCATGTCACATTGCTCTCATGTTGACGATCTGAAATAGACCAAGGCCTTTTTTCTATTGGGCAGCTTTACCATTTCAAGCTAAAATGCAGTCTGCAATCTATTACCTTCTACAGGATGTCAAAACTGTTGTATTGGCTGAATATTAGGGGATGTGTAATCCTTGAGGAGTTTTTGTTTGTGCATTAAATTAGCCCGAAGGACTCATTGATACGTTTCAGGGATGTTGCATAAACAGATTAGTTAACACGGAATACATTGAATCCATTATACACCAATGAGGGCCCTTGCCAATGTCCCATATAATAATATGGTTATGGCAAGGAGGGGTGCTATATTAGATACTGTTTTTTTTGTTTATATAAGAAAAGAAAAAAGAAAAAAAATGAACTTTGAAAAATAATCATTAATTTGGGGGGGAATCAGAGCTGTCACCCAATGCTCATAGCACCAGGAAGATGCCTTCTCCATCAGTGGTGACACAGTCTTGGTCTTTCAGCAGGGGGCTTCAGGCAATGTGGTCTTGCTCAGGGACACAACGACAGCAGACATTGGCGGGGGTAGTTTGGGGGATCAAACTTATGACCTTCAGGCCCAAAGGCTAATGCTCTACCAACTGAGCCACTGTCACCCCCATGTTGCAAATAAGTCATTTTTATTTACATAGCAACTCTCACAGACTGGCGCTTTACGCTTGTTGTGTGCCATTTCCTCCCCCTCCACACAGTGAAGGGTTCACGGATGGTGTACATGCCATAAAACTATATATAAAAAAATGATTTTGTCTTCTTTTATTTCTGACAAAGGTGTGAGTCTACCAAGCTATTGTATATGTGTTTGATGAAATGACATGACAATTACAAAATATGTATTTTTTGATCTAAAAAAATATGAAAACAAAGAGTTGCAGCCGAGGCCCCCTCAGTGTCAAAGCTGTATTTCTAGTCAGTTTTAAATGTAAAGGTGCTGTGCTACATATTCCAAAAACAGACCAACAGCCTGGTGAAACTCTGGAGAGGACTCCACAGGAAGTACTACAGTTCTAGTGATCTCTTTGTGTGTGCTTCTCTCACAGAAAACAGAAGGGACATCTCCAAAGCCACCCTGAGAGCCAATCTCAACCAGACAGAAGTGTGGCCCAAAATGATACCAATCAGTGGTGTGCTTTTGAAGAAGAGGAGGGCTTGCTCCAAGCAATTTGAGCCAGAACATCACAAATGAAAGTTGCATTGTTAACAGTAATCACCTACAACTTTGGCCAAGTTAGGATTATTAATTGAGAAAGCCAAAGGCAATATCAATTGAGTAGAACCATCACAGCGTTCAGCACAGAACGGCATTGTCTTTGATCAATGAGTAAATATGCAGCCGTGTGGAAGATGAAAGACATCTAAATGCTAAAGACTTAGACCTGAACTATGGCAAATGAGCTCTTGATCTACAGCTTCATTCCAGGATCTACAGCCTCAGTTCATCTATGAGCATTGGTCATCCCACTTCCTATGGACAAATTCTTATGTGTTTGTTATTATTGCACTTCCTGTGTCGAAACTGTAGTTGGCAAATCAACAACCTTAAGTCCTCTGAGAAGACGGCTGATTTAGGACTATACAAAAATAAAGTTAATAGAATTGTATTTCAAATCCTCTTCATGCTCAGAGCAGTGTGTGATGCCAATGAATCAAGTGTATGAGGCCGGTGTATCAAACCAACACATGTCCCCTTCACGTGTGGGAACTAAGAATTTTTGCAATAGAATCTATTTCATTAGAGAAACACAATGTGTGTCTGTCTGAGCTCCACTTACTGGTCTGACCCTGTCAACCCGATGCAGACAGTGATAAGCAGGGCGTCCTAAAGGAAAATACCTGGCAGATGATATCTGTATGCAACATAAGCCGTGGCTGCCTTTGTGCTAATATTAGATTCATGATGAAATTTTGCCGCAATAACACAGATATGTGTTCTATGGTTGTAATGAAAGAAATATTATTGTACAAGATGTGTGTGTGTGTTGTTATTCAGTCCACTGTTGATATTAGTTAAACTCACTCAGTATGCTGTCTAGTTTTAAAGAAGAGGCAAGTGTCTTACCCCCAGGCAGGCTGATTGGTCCACAGGCCTTCCCCTCCTGGAAGATATCCTGGCTGATGTACACATGCTTCTTACAGAGCCTCCACAAGCCAAAGTGAGCTGCCTCACAGGTCGTGTTGGCCACCTCCACTCTGGGACTGAGCACAGCCCAGTAGTCCGTCACCACCGCTGTGAACATGCACGCCATGCCTACCATCAAGATGAAGATGGCAATCCTGATCTTAGTGCGTTTGTGCATGGTTTTGAGTCCTCAAACCACGTTTCTGCGTGAAATGAAATATGGATTTCCTTGTGGATGTGTCCGGAGCAGCTGAAGCTGTTTTAGCAAAAATAGTCTTCTGTGGTAGGTGTCCTCTGTGCTGTTGATTATGTGTCTGTGGTTCAGGGGAAGGAGACCATACTGCTGTGTCCTACTTTTCAGTCCCCTCTCACAGACGCTGCCGGTTTGGAAGAACAGCTGTTGACTTGGATCAGGAAAGTTGATGACCAAACCAACTGTCGCGGTGGGAAATGGGCGTGGAGCTCTTCAAGTTCTGTTAGGTGATTTTAAAAGGGTTGCTCTAAATGTAAGTCGTGACTCAAGCTGCCAGCCGACCAGTGATCAGGTTACATTGGACCGGAGCCTGTAATATGCCATAAGTGCACTCATATAAACAGTCCCTGCCATGCTTCACACACAGTGTCACAATAAAAAATATTTTGGCCTATGTGAGCCAGAGGATATGGTTTGGATGGTACAGTTCTTTGGCTCCTGGTCAGATTAGGAATCTAGAGAGTAAATTTGTGATTTTTCAGATCAAAGACTTTATCCAGTGAAGTGAAAGGATTTTCTCGAAAAAATTTAAAACATGGAAATACCATATGCATGGACTAAGTAGCCATTAGACATTTCGCACATCAGATTGGCCAACACTGCTGATGAAATGTTTGCGCTAAAACCACTTGTCACACTCACAGCAAGAAGGTCACGGGCGTGATCGTTTAGCATTCAGGCCGGGGTTTGCATGTTTCTCCCCATGTCTGGGTGGATTTCCTCAAAACATGCAGCTAGCTCCTGCCGTCCTGCTCCTGACAGGCTGCCCTATAATGGCAGTGAGGGTTGCAGAGTACACATTTCCCTATGGGGGATATCAAAGTACAGTATATAAATATATATTTTTAAAAGCGCATATAAATGATTCAACACAGCTCCTTGTGGTAGCCCCGTCAAACAACACTGAGGTAAGAGATGCTTGACTAATTCCCAAGCATACTACCAATGTGAAGGATATCTGTATGTTTTTAACTTAAAGCCTTTAAGTGACTTTAGAAAGACTTTGGCCCACTTACAATCCACACGCACATACACACACACATAGAACTTCCTGTGGAAGCAAAGAGGGCGCGACAACTCAAACTTCCATGCTCTGAATGTGTCTCCCGCTTGGCTTTATTTCAACACTAGCTTTCCGTTTGCCAATCAATCAATCTTTAAATCTTTATTATATATTTATTTTCATAAAAAAATGCAACACAAAGTGTTTTACAAAGGCTGTATGAATCACAACCTTAACATAGCGAGGGTTGTCCTGACCAAACCAACCAATACAATCTAGTGTTGGGTCTCCAGGCGCTGCACTAAATTGACCACTGCCCCTGACAGTGGTCGTCCAAGCGGCGTTGAAGGATGAGTCAAATGCAGATGACTCATTTCCCTGCAGCGACAATCAAGTAACCTTAACATTTAACTCTAAAACCACATCAATCTAATCAATCTAAATAGCATCTGTTGGCACTCTATCAAAATACAATACCTGACAGACCTTATAGGCAGGTCGAGGCTTGGCTAGTACCGTAATGGGCGACCTCTGGGAAGGTGCTACAGTGGGGCGGCTGTGGCTGTGGAGTGCCACAGTTGATGTGTGTGTCCATACAGTACACAAGACACTTTACCTGAAGCGTCCCATGGTGTGGTTAGAATGATACGTTTGCTCCAGTTAATCATAATATTTGACCAATAAAGATTGAAAACGCAACCATTTATAGATTGATTGTTTTAACCAACAAATCAGTCAGACACATAACTACTGTAGACTGGTGACATTGCACCATCGTCTTTTGTTCTTTTAACTAATCTGGTGTAGAATGTAATGAAGACTGTTTTTTTTACCTATACATCAAAATAAAACAAAACACATGTCATATATTGCTAACAGTAGTGTACATATAATGCGTTTGAAGACATATTTAAGTGCCATTTACTGTAATGTGATTTCTCTTGTTTCTCATGTTTCGTTCAAACTGCTATTTTCAGTTGGGAAAGTTAGTTATTTGAAGCATTTGCTCTATTTGTAAAGATTTATGCAACTCACAGAGCAGCAGCTGCTCGTCCATGTTTTATGATTACCTGACATAGGAGAGTCATTAGCAGCAAAAACAAATCTGATCATGGAATCTGGCGGATAACAACAATGGCAACATAATCTATTTCACAACACACCATCATAGAAGAGAAGAGAAGAAAAAGATAACAGACAACTGAGCAGAGGTTGGATGTGCATTTAGAGATCATGTATAATGAGGATCCAGTGCAACACAATGGGGCTGTAACTAATGCCTCTGCTCTGGTCTGTCTGGGTGACGCCGGAGGAAGCACAACGATATACAACAAAGCAGGCGTGGAAAACAGTTTCACCATCACCAGTCGCCTCTGACGAAGGCAGAAGTCGAAACACGTCAGGTATTAGCACTAGGACTCCTGAGAAATTTCATTTTAGAGGGGTAATTACTACGCTCATGTATATTTTTGGTGTTCCTAACTTTGTGACTTTTTCTGTATCTATATGTAGCTTATTTCTGAAATGATTCTATTCTATTTTTGAGTAGGTTATGTGAGTTGGTTGGAGGTTTAACTCAGCAACATTTGAATATAAAATTACAATGTAGCCGTTTTTGAAAACTTGGCAAAAGAAATAAGTTTGTTAAACCCCCTTTTCTCCGAGCTGCTGGTTCTGGAATAGTCCTGGACTGGTTCTGATCTGAGTTTGTTTTTCCATAAAAAAAAGTGTGTTTGTTGCCATAGCAACATGTGTATATGCAGCATTTGGGTGTGTTTCAACAAGGGTTTTTGCTTTATACAATGTTATATTAACCAGTTTGTGCTCTTATTAGTTAGTCATTTTTATCATTTATCATTTCTCAGAATTCAATTGATTTGAATGAGAGCTGTGAAAAGATTAGAAAATTGTAACAACCTTAAGTATTTTGTTCCCCTTTATTGAAGTATCACCAAGTGACGCCTCCGTCTGCTCATGTGTGCGTCAGACAATCACAAAGCTTGCTCCTCGCCTTGTGCTGTTGACATGCTACCTTTGTGCACCTTCAGATTGATTGGAGAAAAAGCTCAAAAATGAATTTATCAAAGACCAATCTGCTTCATAAGTGATGCACTGTGACAACACAATTTAAAAGAAAATGTGCTGCAGCAAATTATGTGAATAAAAAAATTAAAAGCCTTTTAAAATTACTATCTCAACTCAATGTCACTACAATTTATTTTTGTTTAATAAAGAAATAAATGTCTCCAAACCTCGAATGAGATCAAAAACCAAGAGGCTCAGTGTTCTTCTTTTGGGTTTCACGTTTATTAAAAGAAACGGAGCTCCTGTTACTCCCCACGGTCTTGGGATCAGATGCGTTTCAGTGCAGAGATTTGTCAAAAGCTCAAGTCGTAATTCGTGCTATAAATCTAGTTCTTAACGTCAGATGCGACGGAAGTCCTCCTCATGGACACCAGGTTCTTAAAGATTCTGGTTCTTTCATGTGTGTGCAGGGAGAGCCTTTTACAGTAACAAACATGTCCAATATGTATGGTGCTAATGACAAGCGAATGAATGATTATAAGCAAGCTTAAAAGGAGCAAAACAATGTGTTGCATAAATAAAATGTCAGAAAAAAATATATAACTTCAAAAGAAACACATTTATGAACTAGCTTTTATTTAAATATAACTGAAATTGCTTCTGTCTTTGTTTGGTTCATAAAGTCATTCTTTATTTCAGATTTCTTCCCCAAACTACCAAAGCAGAGCCCCAATGAGACCTTGTTACATTATTTACCGAGCCGGCAAATTATAGATGCTAACAAGCATGTTGGCCGCCCCGGCGGCAACATAGTGACTTCTTCTATTTCCCTCTCAATTACCAGGGCAGACACTGGAGCACAGGCCAGGGACAGTGGGATTTGTTATGGATGAAGATATACACACATTCATCTGGCTTAAATGGAGGGGACAAAAAACTTTTTCTTTTCCACACTCTGCACCAAATCTGCTCCAATGTCTTAACTATAACATTGTATTTTTGTAAATTGATTTGACCACATTTAGAAATATACAAGGAGCTCAGTCAAGGAGTCTGGCACAATATCATTAGTTCCAGCGCCTGGAGAAAAGCAGATACAGGAGAACCATGCAAAGTCTACAAGGTCCAGCAGGAGTTCCTGATGACCTGAGAGACTGGCCTGAGCTCTCCATGACATGTTGTTTGATTGCCAGGGGCAACTAAGTGATTCACTGACAACCAAATGAAAGCAATTTGCTATTGCTAAAAATACTCATGTGGAAATGAGACCGTGCACAGACACAGGTCCATCAAACACGTTCCCAGAAGACAGAAATGTCCCCAACCGCTATGAGATTTCATAACACTTTGAAGCAACTTTTGTTAAGGTTAAACTCATCATTCTATCAATGTGCAGAAGCCAGTACTTTTCCCTTGTTTTGTCTATCTGAAGGCCAAGCTACAAGCACAACGTGGCAGCTGCTGATTGGAGGTCTCCATGCCTCCGCTCTGTATAATACACTTGCATTCTATTGTTTCTGTGATCGTGTGCTTTGTTCGTGCTGTCTCTACCATCGACAATAAAACATGTCTTCTGTCTGAATCCGCTGCAGACAGGTTGTCTCTGCACCTCCTCATTTATTTATTTTTACAATAAACTAATACAGTGAATAACAAATCTGTTATTTACTGATGTAGTCATATGAGATAAGAAAATAAATAGAAAACATGAAAAATGTTAACACCTCAATATTTAATATTGAATGAAAGATTCAATTTGTCCACTTTTAACCAAGTATCCATGAATTATACACAACATTGTAAAGTGTGAATATGTATATTAAAAGCACTGTATTAATACAGATTACTTACATAAATTCAAATGATAACAAAAACCTGTACCTGATTATTTTGTCTTCATATTCTCAAAAAATTGCAAGAGGCACAAGTGCGTGCAGAGATCAAAATGTGTAGGGCAAGGATCAGTAGGAAAATAGTGTGGAAACCAAAGCGGAGAACTCAGGTCATCATCAAGGCCTTGATTATTTATTTATTTTCTCAAAAATAATGCTCCAGTTTGTTCACTCGTGTGTTTTTGATGCTGTCCAGGCCTAGATCCAGCTTTATTGTCACTGCTCTTCATTAAAAGTATGCTACATGTTTGAAGGTAAAATTCAGACGGCTATTTCTTTTGTTTTCAAAAGCAAAATATCATTGTGTTTGACAAATAGGTGCAGGCTCTTTGTGTACTATTGTAAAGCAAATCTATTCATAAAACAAACAGGTCTGCAAATCATCTTCATTGGAATTAGCTGTGGTTGATGAACTAAGTTGCGCAGAATAGACAGTTTTGGTGTGAACACAATAAATGAACATTGCCTCTAACATACACATAAAATCAAAACCTTTGAACACACACGAATGGCCAGAAAAAAGTTGAGCTTAGGTCACCCTCTTTTTCTTCTTAGAAATGAATTCAGACTGCTGCACAATATCTTTATTGAAGTAGAAATCTTTTCAGCTCTTCTTGTAAGGAACGTGAGTCGCTTTTTGACACTTTGGGCTGAGTGCTGTTCAGCTGCTAAAGGCTGGTTATCCTGTTTAAGCTGTGCTCACGATAATAACATGTTTGCAGGGTGGAACTTGAAGAGACGAATGAGTTGGATAGATTCAAGTACTTCCTACTTCCTCCTTTCAATATTATAAAAAGGCACCCTAGCATTAACGAACAGCCACATCGTTTCTTTCTTCACAGAGACAGTAACAGTCTGGCCCCGTCTGAATGAGCTCCAGCCCTGAGTGTACAGTAGAAAAGGCCCCAATGCCAGAGATAAAAAAGAAACCCTTCTATAGTGTTAAAAAAACGGCAGTGAGAAAAGCTTAAGACGATCAAAGGTGTGCGCAGGGAGTTAGCACCACTTAGTGCACGAGAAAGCCAAAAGTACCTCAGAGTTTGACAAGGAAACAAAATTACAGTCACACATTTTTGCATCGCATGAATACATATACACAATTGTGGCTTTATGATTGTGATACTTCAAAGAGAGAACTGTGAGACCAACTTACTGGCAATAAACAAGTATTGACGAGTAATATTTGGATTATAGTTGTAAGAAGTGAAAAAAAACATCAGGTATTTACAAACTTCCTTTCTTTATCTCTTGTAGTTCTTGTGGTATGTATTGTTTTGCAGGCCAAGTCTTAACACTAACTTTAAAGGGAAAAATGAAGGGTAAAGAGGTGTATTACATAACGTTGGATTATAGTCATAACCATTGTAAGTGCAGCATTAGATAATAATTCAAAATGTAAAAAGAAAAAAAAAAAACATTAAAAATTGTACTTCTTCACTTAAAAACACATTTTTGGTAAAACAATTGTCTGAAAATTTCATGTAGGACGACAAAGAAAAAAAAACACATTTGGATTACCTATTCTGTCCTACTGTATTTGAAATGGTTGAAATACAGACGGACTATCCCCAGTTGCAGGTCCAAAAAAAAAAAAAAATAGCATTAGCAACATTAGCGCTAAAATATTATGTTACATAATTCTAACAATAAATAGAATATTGCATCCGTAATTGGTCATAACAATGGCTACTGGTTAGAGTCTAAACACACTGAAGGCAATATGTCATTTTCTTGAGTATTTGACTTTCAGAAATGGGTTAGTGTCAGGGAGCAGGCGTTTTCATTTTGTTTAGTTGTTGCTTTTAGTTTAATGTACAGGACCAAAACTATTTGGTCCTATACTATATAGGGGCGACAGTAGCTCAGTTGGTAGAGCATTGGCTGAAAAGATTTGTCAGGTCAAAACGTAGAGGAAAGCTTGCTCGCTAATCATGATTGACTTTCCATTCCTGTTTCTGAATGTTTCTTACTGCACAGTGGCTTGAAAAAGTATTCATTCCCCTTTCATCTGAGTGCATCCAACTGCCCCTTTTTTAATTTCCTGATGATCTATTTGGGTGTTATCTAAACTCAGTATGATTACAACTGTTTTAGAAATGTCTGAGAGGTTTGATAAGAGAAAAAACATCATCATTAGGTCAAAAGAATCCACCAGAGAGGTCAGGGATGAACTCTGTGATAAAAAGATTTCCCAAGAATTGAAAATCATCTTGTGAATAGAAAGAGTATGGCCCAACTACAAATCTACCAAGACATGGACGTCTTCCCAAATGAACAGCTCAAACTAGGACAGCACTGATCACAAATGCAAATGAGCGATATTTGGGCCTGTCAAAGTCCAGACCTAAATCCATTCCAAAAAACGCAAAGAATAACGGGAAACATTTCAGGCTCTAGATGCACAAAGATTATGGAGACCTAACGCAAAAGCAGCAATTACAACAAAATGGGTTTAATGGCGGGTGAATACTTTTCCAAGCCCACTTTGCAGTATTATAAATGCAGTAAAAAACAAAATAAAAGTTGAAGTAAAATCTTAAAATTTGTGGTTGGGACTTGACAGAAAGCAAAAAAGTACTTTTTCAAGCCCCAGTAAATGATGATGAGTTGTAAGAATTGTCATCAAACTGTATATGATGTAACTTTAACTTGGTATAACTTGTAGTTCCCTTTTAAGGAAGTTAAGAAAAAAATTATCAAGGGATTTTTTCTTCAGGTGCCATGATTACAAAAGAGGTGGTGCGTATGTGTCTGGTCTTTGCATGTTCTCTCTTTGTCTATAGATTTTGGTAATTACCAGGTTGATAACATTTCACTTCAACAAGAACTTAAGAGAGACTGACATATGGCTCCAAACAACTCTATGAAGAACCCGAGTTGTACAGTATGATAAATCAGGGGCGGAAAAAGTAGCCACCATTATGATAATCCTTGTAAACGGCGCCGGTGGGGAATATGTTTATGCAGGACTCATACGGGCGTGGTCCTTCTGTTGCCCCCGTCTTTGAGGTCTTTCTGGAAACAGTTGTGCACCTGTAGAAATCCCTCTCTGTCCTGCTCTGGACTGTAGTGGCCTGAGTTTTTCCTCCCTCCCGTCACGTCCCGGGGCAATGAGTACAGCGATATGTCCCCCATCCCCAGAACACCTCCTGTCTTCATTCCAACCGGAGACGGCTCACGGGATGGAATACTGGACCGAGAGCTCGAGCGGGACCGTCGATGTCGGTAGCGATAACTTGGTATGCGGGAGTATGGCGAGGAGGAAGAGGTGGCCTTGATTAAGTCGTGGCGGCCTCTGAAACGATTCTCTTTGTTCTTCTCGATGTAGATGTTGACCGCCAGCACTCCCACGGACTCGGCCACGATAAAAGACAGGGCCCCAAAGTAAAAGGACCAGCCATAGTTGTAGTGGTTCTTCTTGTCCTCGTCCTTCTTGTCGCTGGGGTCGCCGGCGTTACTGGAGATGTACACGATGATGCCAATTATGTTACTCAGACCTGGTGAAAGTAGAAAAACAGACATTTGTATGAAACAAGAATGCTATGCCAAAATCCCAAGCTGTTTTGATGCCATGTGTAAAATTTCAAATGGTGCCCTTGACCACTATTTGTGAAATTTAAAACAAAATTCAAGAATTTGTTTGAATCTAAGGCCGCATATTATACAGACGCCAATGTATGTGGTTTTTTGTTTGAAATTACCCTCAATTCACACCAAGCGTCTTTAACACAGTTTGATGTCTAAGAATATAGTTTTTTTCACTGTAATGAGCCCGACAATTTACACCAGCAGTCGATAAATCAAATTCTGCTTTGAATAATAATACAGCTGTATCTAATCACAGCTTGCAATCTGACACCATATGGAATGAAGACAGAAATAATGATGGTACTTCATAAAATCAAATAATTATCACGGGTGTGTTTTGAAGAGGTAGGTTGAAGGCCTTTCACATTCACAGAATAGATTATTAACAAGAACTCCTGATTATTCACACCTTTGCTGCGCCCTGTCACCTCCTGTTTTCCCTCTGAATATTAAGTGTCTCTACCAATTACTGAAAATGGATTTGAGAGTGGGACGACTGCAAAATAATGTTGGAGATTTTAGGGAGGTGCATAACAATAATATGAAAAAACACGTGACAAGCACTCAGTGGCTCCTAAGCAATCCAAAGGACTGATGATGATGCAATCTGGTGATATTTTGTAGCTTTTCATCAATAGTGTTAAACTTGTCACATGTTTTTTCATGTAAATATTTTCATGTCAAGTCATCATTAAATGGCCCAAATCTGTCATTTGTCTGTTATTAAAGGACATTAATAAACCATGCTCTTTTCGCATACTTCTTTATCTGATAACAGTAGTTCAGCAGAGATAATTTGGATTTCAAAATTAGTTTTACAGCCCCTAAATCTTGTTATTGTTTTCATTTTCATTTTTATGTCCCGCCCTACACCGTTTCACAGAAAAAAAAAGGACAAAACAAGGATATCGGGGCCTTTGTGAAAAAGGTGTTGGTTATAGATTTAATGTTGACAAAACTCTTGTCTTTCCAGATATAATTGTCCCAGTTGGATTCCTCTGCATATCTGGCAACCTGAGTCAGGGATACTGGGAGAGGTTGCAGTACCACTTTGGTTCTGATATTTACATACTGCTCCATTAAAACTGGGCAACCGAATTTTTAAACCACAGACATTATTTTATACAGCCCATTCAACTACTTCCATGCTCTCAAAACAGTTAAGTTCAAGGTCTAGGTGAAGGTCTGTCCTCAATCAAACAGAATAATGATTACAGCCAACTCCAATACATTCTTTACCTCATTCTTATACTGATTTTATGTAATGCAGTTTTATTTTATTTTTTTCCCACAACCTAACACATTTGGCTAACACATTTGATAAACAAACTAAATTATAAGCGAATGTCTTTGCGATGGATTAATATCAAGGGCTGCCAACATGACGATAATGGGCTCGTACCTGCTGCTACAAAGAGGATGCCAGCGCTGAGGAGGATGTTGTTTCGCCCGCTGTAAATGCGTCCCACCGCGACACACAGACCACCCAACATCAGCAGGATGGTGCTGAGGATGGGGAACAGACTGGAGGCCCGCACGATTCCTGGCCACAAGCAAAACACAATTTTAATGGTGTATTTAAGAGTTACATTCAAAGTCAAGACCTAAATCCGTTTGAAAATCTGAGACTGAAGACCTGAAAGCCTCTGTTCAAAAAAATTCTATCTACAGGGAGTCTGACAGAGTGAGAAATGTGCAAAACGTTCAGTGTGCAAAGCTTGTAGAGTCATGCCCCATAATACTTGCTGATGTGATTGCAGAAAAGGGGGATTTAATAAAGTAGAAATACATTCTTTTTGAGTACTTGCAAATACCAATTTTCAGTTTTTAATTAAATAATAATAACAATATTGCCCCTAAATCTTTGCAATAACAAGATTTAGGGGCTGTAAAACTAATTTTGAAATCCAAATTATCTCTGCTGAACTACTGTTATCAGATAAAGAAGTATGTTTATTAATGTCCTTTTACAGATTTGGGCCATTTAATGATGACTTGACATGAAAATATTTACATGAAAAAACACGTGACAAGTTTAACACTATTGATGAAAAGCTACAAAATAGCTTTTAAGATGTATCCTATAATGTGCAGTTCATGAGAATACAGTAGCTTCTTCCGGGTATGCCGCAATCGCTTTTTTTGTGCAAAAAAACATAATTTTTTTCATTAAAACGTTAACAAATAATTCTGAAAACCTCCGTGCATGTGTATTAATAATGTATATGTATAATGTGTTCTTTGATTAACATTTACACCATGGACAGCACAGATAAGAGATCAGTGACGTCGCCCGGCATGGCGCAGCCGGGGCCCCACCCTGGAGCCAGGCCTGGGGTCGGGGCTCGTATGCGAGCGCCTGGTGGCCGGGCCTTAGCCCACGGGGCCCGGCCGGGCTCAGCCCGAATGGACGACGTGGGCAGTCCCTCCTGTGGGCCCACCACCCGCAGAGGGGTCCATGGTGGCGAAGAGGTGCAGAGAGGACTGGGCAGCGGTCGAAGGCGGACACCTCGGCGACCCAGTCCGCACACACAACATCTGGCTCTTGGGACGTGGAACGTCACCTCACTGGGGGGGAAGGAGCCCGAGCTCGTGGGGGAGGTTGAGCGATACCGACTAGAGATAGTCGGCCTCACCTCCACACACAGCTTGGGCTCTGGAACCCAACTCCTTGAGAGGGGTTGGACGCTCCACTTTTCTGGAGTTTCCCGCGGGGAGAGGCGGCGAGCGGGGGTGGCCATTCTCATTGCCCCCCATCTCAGCCGCCACGTGTTGGAGTTCTCCCCGGTGAATGAGAGGGTCGCGTCCCTCCACCTCCGGGTGGGGGACAAGTCTCTCATTGTTGTGACGGCCTATGGGCCTAACAGCAGTGCAGAGTACCCAGCCTTCTTGGAGTCCTTGGGAGGGGTACTGGACGGTGCACCGCCCGGGGACTCCGTTATTCTCCTGGGGGACTTCAACGCCCATGTGGGAAACGCCAGTGACACTTGGAGAGGGGTGATCGGGAAGAGCGGCCCCCCTGATCTGAACCCGAGCGGTGTTCAGTTGTTGGACTTCTGTGACAGTCACGGTTTGTCCATCACGAACACCATGTTTGAGCACAAGGGTGTCCACCAGTGCACGTGGCACCAGGACACCCTAGGCCGGAGGTTGATGATCGACTTTGTTGTCGTATCATCTGACCTTCGGCCGCGTGTCTCGGACACTCGGGTAAAGAGAGGGGCGGAGCTGTCAACCGATCATCACCTGGTCGTGAGCTGGATCCGCTGGCAGGGGAAGAAGCCGGTCAGACCTGGCAGACCCAAGCGTATAGTGAGGGTCTGCTGGGAACGTCTCGCTGAGCCCCCTGTCAGACGGACTTTCAACTCACACCTCCGGGAGAGTTTCTCCCAGGTCCCGGCGGAGGAGGGGGACATGGAGTCTGAGTGGACCCTGTTCTCTGCCTCAATCGCCGATGCGGTGGCTCGTAGCTGTGGTCGCAAGGTCTCTGGTGCTGGTCCCGGCGGCAACCCCCGAACCCGGTGGTGGACACCGGCAGTAAGGGATGCTGTCAGGCTGAAGAAGGAGTCTTATCGAGCCATGATGGTTCGGGGGACTCCTGAGGCAGCTGTCCAGTACCGGCAGGCCAAGCGTGCCGCGGCCCGGGCTGTTGCAGAGGCAAAAACCCGGGACTGGGAGGAGTTCGGAGAGTCCATGGAGCATGACTATCGGTCGGCCTCGAAGAGATTCTGGCAAACCATCCGGCGCCTCAGGAGGGGGAAGCAGTTCTTTGCCAACACCATGTACGGTGCGGGTGGAGAGCTGCTGACCTCGACTGGGGATATTGTCGGGCGGTGGAAGGAATACTTTGAGGTTCTCCTCAATCCCCCGTCACGTCCTCTGTTTCAGAGGCAGAGGCTGAGGATGTTGGGGCGGATACATCCATCTCCCTGGCTGAGGTCACCAAGGTGGTTGGTAGCCTCCATGGTGGCAAGGCTCCGGGTGTGGATGAGATCCGCCCTGATTATCTAAAGTCTCTGGATGTTGTAGGACTGTCTTGGCTGACACGTCTCTGCAACATCGCGTGGCGATCGGGGGCAGTGCCAATGGAGTGGCAGACCGGGGTGGTGGTCCCTCTCTATAAGAAGGGGGACCGGAGGGTGTGTTCCAATTATCGTGGGATCACACTCCTCAGCCTCCCCGGTAAGGTCTACTCCAAGGTACTGGAGAGGAGGCTACGGCCGATGGACGAATCTCGGATCCAGGAGGTGCAGTGTGGTTTTCGTCCCGGTCGCGGAACACTGGACCAGCTCTATACTCTCCATCGGATACTCGAGGGTTCATGGGAGTTCGCCCAACCTGTCCACATGTGCTTTGTGGATTTGGAGAAGGCGTTCGACTGTGTTCCCCGGGGTGTCCTTTGGGGGGTTCTCCGGGAGTACGGGGTCGGAGGTTCTCTGCTGAGGGCCATCCGATCCCTGTATGACCGGAGCCAGAGCTGTGTTTGCATTGCCGGCAGTAAGTCAGACCTGTTCCCGGTGAATGTTGGCCTCCGACAGGGCTGCCCTTTGTCACCGGTTCTGTTCACTGTATTTATGGACAGAATATCTAGGCGCAGCCAGGGGTCGGAGGGGGTCCGGTTCGGAGACCACAGGATTTCATCTCTGCTGTTTGCGGACGATGTTGTCCTGTTGGCTCCAACAAACCAGGACCTGCTGCATGCACTGGGTCGGTTTGCAGCCGAGTGTGAAGCGGCTGGGATGAGAATCAGCACCTCCAAATCCGAGGCCATGGTGCTCGACCGGAAAAAGGTGCCTTGCCCTCTGCAGGTGGGTGGAGAGGTCCTTCCTCAAGTGGAGGAGTTCAAGTATCTCGGGGTCTTGTTCACGAGTGAGGGAAGAATGGAGCGTGAGATTGACAGGCGGATCGGTGCAGCGTGCGCAGTGATGCGGTCGCTGTCTCGGACCGTTTTGGTGAAGAGGGAGATGAGCCGAAAGGCAAAGCCTTCGATTTACCGGTCAATCTTCGTTCCCTCCCTCATGAGCTTTGGGTAATGACCGAAAGAACGAGATCGCGGATACAAGCGGTCGAAATGAGCTTCCTCCGCAGAGTGGCTGGGCGCTCCCTTAGAGATAGGGTGAGGAGCTCAGTCACACGGGAGGAGCTCGGAGTAGAGCCGCTGCTTCTCCACGTCGAGAGGAACCAGTTGAGGTGGCTCGGGCATCTGTTCCGGATGCCTCCTGGACGCCTCCCTGGGGAGGTGTTCCGGGCACGTCCCACCGGGAGGAGGCCCCGGGGAAGACCCAGGACACGCTGGAGGGACTATGTCTCTCAGCTGGCCTGGGAACGCCTTGGGGTCCCCCCGGACGAGCTGGAGGAAGTGTGTGTGGATAGGGAAGTCTGGGCGTCTCTGCTTAGACTGCTGCCCCCGCAACCCGGCAACGGATGAAGCGGAAGAAAATGGATGGATGGATTAACATTTACAAGTGTTATGGAAACGTAGGTGTAGACCAATCAGAAAGGAAGGGGGAGGGAGCTTGGGTCGTTTTTTTTCAAATCAAGCACCTCTCTTTCTCTTTTTCTGACAAACTCCAGACAATCACTTTAATGATGACTTCTGAAAATCTTACATATTGCTACTTTAAAGACCTTATGCAGGGTTTGTCAAGAAACCGCTGGATATCAAAAGTATTAAAAGATGATAAAGAAGATAATGTTTCGATTCAGAGGATATTGCTTTAGTAATTAAAATCAGGCAGAACTGAAGTTTATTATAGTCGTCTCTGGGGCTGAACAGAGCCAACAACATGGTCCCAGCTCTGATGCAGCCTGTTTAATGATGTCTCGCAGAAACACAGGATATGAGACAAAGCCCGAGACAGTCCATTGACAACCAAGCTAGCGTGGGAGTTAATTCAGAGTCGATGTGACGCCAAGAGGCTAAAGAAATTATTTTGTTTGGGGTTTGCGAAATTTGAAGCTGGGCTAATTCTCCCTGATGAACTCATTGAACTAGAGAAAGAGAGACACCTCATCCTTCGGTCCCTTTGCTTTGTATGACATCAGCGTGGGGGGAGGGCCTCGCATGGGCCCGGGATGTCACGACACATTAAGAGTTTCTGTGATAAGTCCATCATCACGACGACAGAATTGATGGCGGAGATAGACTTACGTAAGATGTACTCGGAGCTGTCCGTGTCATAGTCATTATCCTCCGGAAAGTGGTTGATCCGGAAACAGCTGCCTTTGTTGATACCTGTCAGGGAGATAACGGGACAGGGTGACAATTGGTTAGGCAAGGATTTTGGGATTTGATTTGGATTTGATTTTCCTCGACTAGACTGTCAAACTTTTCATCCAATAACTAACATGCCATAAATACAAACACTTATTCTGTTTGGAGAAATGGAATAACATGTTTTGGAAAGCTCGCTGCTCTGCTGCTAAGATAAGTCCTGAGGCAACATTCATTCAAAGAGCTAATGCTGTTTTCTGTTTCCTTTTTAAAGAATAAAACATCAAGAAATATAGTAAGAAAATAAATTGTGAAAAATTGACTTTGAATTTGAAGCTTGAAAGTTTGTTTTGTCGTTTTATGGCCGGTTGCAATAACTGTATAAATAAAAAGTGGTTAGTGAACTTGAATCCAAGGTAAAACTGGATCTGTAGGTGCTGATAAATGAAAGATTACAGCTATGGTTGATAAAAAGCATGGGTTTAAATGCAAACACAATCTGTCCATGACACATATAACAGTTCCACAAAGAGAGTCCTCTCATAGTCCGATAATTTCTGGACCTTTAAGAACAATAAGATGTAAGATATGTTTCACTGCAACTGTATAGAGTAGTTACCCTCTCCCAGAAAGGTGACACCATCAAAACAAATGAAAAGCCTGAACCACTGTGTAAATAACAAATATATCGTAACAGGCCATTGCATTGAATTGAGCAGAAAAAAACATGTAGTAATTTGATCTCATAGACAAGAAGAGCACAGTATGAGGTATATCCCCACAGCCAGTCTTTATTACTCAGCATCCCTTTGCCATGGCAACCTCCCCATCACGATCTCCCCCGGCAACCCAGAATCACATTTGAGCCCCCTTCTCTGAGGACGCCTTTGACATCTCACTAATGCATTCACGGGCCTGGTTCTCTCTGCTCTCGCAAAAACACAACACCGCGGCTGTGCTCAATCCATTCAAATATCTTAATCAAAGAAACCTTTATGTCAGCTTCTGTGGCGGCTCAAAACGCATTATCACAGAGTTTAAGTGGGAGTTCATGTTTGGTTTAAGCTTGACTGACTGAGCACAGAACAAGGCTTTACTTTGTTTCCCTCTGAAAGCACGGTGCCAGTGTCGCTCACGTGCTAAGCTGCAAGACGTGAAACAGTGAATCCATATGCATCGTGTGCAAGGTGCCGCGCATTAACACCACACCTGAAATGTGTCACAGAGCACTTCCTGTTCATTTTTAGACGTGACGCGCCACTGACACACCTGCTCTCAGTGAATGTGCAAAAACACCAGTAGATAATAGAGCTAAGATTATTAGCACGTGCAGGTTTTGTTTGGGAGTTCATAAAACACAGAACGTCAATGTAATGTTGCAATGGATGGGCAACAGCCTCTAACCACAGGCTGTCAGACTGCTCAACGAACACTCACCCCCCTCCCAGACCCCCGTTATCCTTTACTTTTACATATCTGCCTTATCTGTGAACTGGTTGTGCACTGTTTCAGCTTACGTACTCACTTACATCATACTGTTCTGCTAATCTACCTCCTACAGCAGCCATTCCCAAACTCAGTAACACCGAGGACCCCTTAAAAATCTGACGGGTCTGCGTGGCCCCCCAAAATAATAACCAAGAAGACAACATTAAGTATAGGCTCTTCTGGTTATTTTATTTTGGGGAAATAGCCTCTGCTACAAACATTGTAATACAAAAATGATTACAGTGGATTATTCAAGTCAAATAATGAACACAAATATTTTAATATTACAAACAAAACAATATAAATTTAACATTAAATAATTATATTATTTTTTTATTTTTTTTATGACCTCCCGCGGCCCCCCTGCAGTACCCTCGCGGCCCACCAGGGGGCCGCGGACCCCACTTTGGGAGACACTGTCCTACAGTATAGCCCTGTCCTGTTTACATCCTGCCAACTTCTGCACTTTATACGCGCTATTGTTATGCTCAAAATGTAAGTTTGTTGTTTTTGTGGCAATTACAATAAATTATTGACTCTTCAATTGAATCTTGAATCCTGTAAAAACGTGCACACACACGCACACACACACAGGTCCAGGAAAACCTTGAGGCATCCATCTTTGTGGCATCCATCGTTTTGGCTGCCCTGCCAAGTAAACCCTTCGTTCAAGCCCACATTCAGATGAAGGACCAGGAAAGAGCAGAGAACCAGGCCTAACAGGACGGACTGACCACCAGCCACTATCAACCTGAACCCTTTCAGTGCATGACCACATGTTTTCAGCAGAACGCCGGACTACAATGCCTCAGAATCGGTCCAATGTGGGTACAGATTGTATGAGGCTTATTGTCTGCAGATAATAACTTGCAGATAATTTCCAAGCTACTCCAACTGAACCACCAAACCAAGCACGCAGAAGACATGGAGCCGTTTTAATGTTTGGAAGTGACAGTCCATTGAAGCCCTTAGCGTAGCAATGTGGACGATCTAAGGCGAGTTCAGGTTAATGTTATGGAATATATCAGATATTATTAATTGTTATTATTATTCATCAAGATTAATTGTGACCAGTGATGGGCGGGCGCAGCGATTGTTATTTTGATCTGACACCAAGTCGATATTATACCAATGACTCATTACGTATTTTTTTAAACATGGAAACTGAACTAACCTAACTAATTTAATGATGAAAAAATGACAATGAGGAAATTGAGTGTTGCACTGCAGAACAGTGAGAACAGTAACGTATTTTTTTTCATAACAGAAATACATAAAGTGCCTTTGTTTTTCATCTTCAGCTCCTTCAATCTCAGTCTTTCAATTTCATTTCAGGCGACGATAATCACAAGCTTCCAAAAGTATGATTGAGTTCTTTTTGTTTCTCAATTTTGGGCAAATCCCACTTTTCAGTCCTACTATTGTTTGGCAATTTTTTTTTTTTTTTACTTAGGTTGCTTTCACACCCCAGTCTAGTTCGCTGCTGGTGAGAACGCAGACTGGCCTCGATATGCCCCTGCTCTGTTGCGTAGCTCACTTTTTGACACACACATTGTTTTCTTTATATGATAGAATAGTCAAAAACAACCGCAGAGTGTTCTGGTGCTGAATCCGCGATACATACTGGAACAACAGTATTTGTGCTGCGTAAAGCAACAAGGATAAAAAATAGCCACACACTAGAGCAGCACAGTTCATCGTTAAGGATCTGACAAGTTTGTTTTCTTCGGGGATTTTTCCCTCTTCACATCCTGCGCCAATCAGGTTTCACCTACGTCATCCAATGCACAGTATTTTGAGAAAAGTGCCACCACATGGGTGGCAGAAGATGTAACATCCACAGTGGTTGGTTCATTTGCAAAAATACTGGTGTGAATGAGAACCGAACTAGTTGAGAACTGCAACACTGTAACAACTTTAGGGCCCAAGCGAACCACTTTACTGGACCGACAGGTGTGAAAGCACCCTTAAACCCATTTAAAATTGATCTAAAAAGGATTTAAAGATAATATAAAGAACAAAGAACTCTCTACATGTTTACTGAATGCATTACAAGCTCTGATTTGGTGTTACCAATTTGTTTTAGTCATTTTCACATTATGTAACATCTCTTCTTAAACCTCCAGAATACTGATAAAACTTTCAATGACCCACTCCACTCACATGTTTTTCAGCAGATTGTCATTTGGGCTGCTCTTACAACTCTTATCTGAATCAAGAGGAGCCCGGAGAGGATTCGGGTGTTTTTTACTTTGGCTTTTGTCTCGACTAGAATTGAAGAGAAAGTAGAAGTGCAGGAGGCAGATGGCAGAGTTAAAGAAGCGTTCTCTCCATCTCTTGCTGCTGATGGGGCTCTCCAGGGTGTGAAGAGGCTCTGGCAATTCCTTTGATTAACCTATAGGCAAAGTTTTATTAGAAAGTGTCTCTAAAAGGTTACAGTAGGAAGTGAGAGAGCTTTTCTGTCAGAAACTCAGAAATTGTACATTATTTGCCACATGCTTCGCAGCTGAATAAAACCTTTCTTAAAATACCTTCTAACTTTTCTATCTCAGAGAGGGTTTGTTTCCACGGTACAAAAATAAATGTCATTATCAATTTTTGGAAAAGCATGGATTTAGGATTTAGTTCTAGATTTCAAGTTAGTAATTTTTTGTTCACTCTTTTTTTAATCAATGATAAACACCCTGTGCACACACAATTAGACTTACACAATAAGCACAAACAGTCAAAATTAAAAGGTAAAATTCTATTATGTTTTTTCTTCTCATTTCTTTCATACACTTTTTGCTCACACCCACAAACACAGACTGATTCAGCCCAATTGTCAAGCTTACAACCTATACATGTTTTTAGTGGTAGGGGATACCGGAGTACCTGGAGGAAACCTGTATGCGAACACAGGGAGAACATGCAAACTCCACACAAAAAAAGCTCAGAAGGAATCTGTGAAGGAGTAGTCCCCACTCTTCACCCACAGGTGTATCCTTCCTGTTTTATTTTGAAATATTTAGCTTTGTTTATTTTCGTCTTTATTATTTGTATGTCGTCATCACCAGGGACTACCTACCAAACTGGACCAAAACTTAAGCAATGTGCAGAGAACATACAGTATATTTTGGCAAACTAAATTACAAGACTACACTTTAATTTTATGGAGTGAATCAAAAAAAAAGAGAAAAAATTAATTATGCCAAACTTGAGCATAAAATCTCCCTCCCTCTCATGATGTCATCAGTTCTACTTTCACTGCTGTAAATTTCCGACACATTTTTGCCCCAATTTTTTTCTCCCAATTTGCATGCGGTCTATCAATGTAAAATGGCTATTTTCAAAAACAAGGGTTATTCTACTTGAAAAAACTCACACTGGCCCTCAAACACCTCATGTCGTATATCCTCTCCACAAATGTACATAGTGCATCTTTGAAGAGAAATGAATCAAGTACAAATCCTCATCACTCTCATTTTCCACAGGTTTGTTTTGAGACACAACAGGCAGACACTTAAGCTCCGTGTTGTGTTTCTGGATTGATCAGTGACGCAGTAATATGCAACAGAAGGAAACAATCAATAAGAGCAGACCAGACTGAGAAATGCAGAGATTGAAAATGATGTGACAACAACACATCCAGACGAAACATAGACCTGCACATAAAGAGTCCTCTTCAGAGCATGGCATTTGATTAGCGTTGTCCAATCCATTTCTACGGTTCTGAATAATTTATTGCTACACTGATGCACACGGAGCATTACGCACAAAGCCAATGGGCGCAACAAGCCAGAATCTGCTTTTTGAGAATAGGGGATTTTACATGTATTCTACCAGGACCTGTTTTTCTTTATTATAAGTTCAAACATATTTAAGAATAATAACATATATAGGTTATAGTTGGCAATAGTAGATACATTGATGTCATCGGATAAACATATCTTTATTCAGTGCCAAAGTTATGCACAATTGTTAAACATTTTCATTTGAAGGATAAAGAATGACCTAGCACTGGATTATGTGAATGTGATCATATACTTTCTGTTTCTAGGACTCGAGCTGCAGTGTTTTGATATACTGCAAATGTTTTACAGCCTGTTTGGAGAGACCAGTGAGCAGGCAGTTACAATAGTCTAACCTGCTGGAGACAAGACTCTCCAAGTCTGCTTTAGACGCTATATTTTCTATTCTGGCAATGTTTTTCCAGATGGTAAAAGCTGCTGATTTAATGTGGCTAATAACATTTAAGTCTGAGTCCAGTAATACCCCTAGATTTATTGTATATTGAAGGATATAGGCCCACAGAACAGAATTGCTGTATATAAGTAGTATTATGTATTAAGTATTATTTTCTATTACTAACAGTGGCAATAATGTGGTAGAATATATGTTTAAGTTGGAAATGGCAAACACGTGATGTCATTGGACAGAAATATATTTATTGTATTGCCAAAGTTATTGTAAATATTCCAAACATTTTTTATTTTTTTTCAGTTGAACGATAAAAAATGACCGCTGCACACAAGACTACTAACCTTTCATTCTTTCTTTTTTCTTGTTTTGAGACTTTACCTTCTAAACAGCAGATCCTCCAAAGTCCAGAGTGCGTCAGATCACCTTTCACTTTCTTGCTTTGCATCTGGCTCTCGTCCGCGCTCACGTTGGTGGCGTTGCAGATGTAGGCGCGGGAGTAGAGCCAGTAATCGGTCCCGATGGCAATGCTCATGAGGCTGAAGGCTGCAAACGCGCCCGCGATGGCCAGGAGCGTCTGTATCCCGCGGTCGCACCACGCCATGGCCAAAGACCCCCCCCCAAAAAACAAAACAACCCCCCTTTTTCAGAGCAGCTCAACGCGCGCAAAACGGAGCGCGTCACTCCATGGACCCAACTTCCGACCCCCGCCAGCAATAACGCACCTCAGACCGGACTCCCACCCTCCGCCCCTCCCCAAATGATTCTTCACTCAACAGGTGGCATCCGCTGTAAAAGTAGGTTTGTATCCAAGGAACACGAGGCAATGCACACTTTACTGTTTAAAATAAAGGTTTGGAAAGAAGAAACAGCGACGCACACTCAAAACCGCACCCTCCACGCCTGTTGCACAGCTCAGCCAATCACGAGGCGCCTGGATGCAGGAGAAACTGGTGATGGAGACAAAGCACCTCCCGTTGTAATGATAGCAAGAGTGTTGATTAACGTGTAATCAAGATGCATTCAAGGATACAAAAAAAAAAAAAACTATAGGCTTTGCATTCATTCTGTCACTATGTCTCCAAGTGTCCGTGATTGTGTTGCTGCTGTAGGGATGCCAATATTGATTACATGTTTACACTTGGGTTATTAGTTTATGGGGATTTTAGGGTGTTTGCATTTTACATCCAACTATGCAGTGTTGTTGATGTTCAAAATTTAATTGTGTTGCTCTCAGTGAGAATGAGGATACATTGAAGGTGCTTGAGGTGCAGCATCTTATTTTCTATTTCAGAGCGTGAAATATGAATAGAAAATATGATGTTATGACTCTTCAGATTTGTGTTTTATTTATTTTTACATATGTGTACAAAAAGTAATAACTAGCAAAGAAAACCCAGAATATGAAGAACAAAATTAGTCTCTGAGACATATGGGGGGAGTATAGAGCATTTACAATTATTGATTTGCGCACAATTATTTTAAGTCTTGGTAAAGCAAGGAAAGGCAAGTTTATTGGTGTTGCACAGTTCATTCATACACAAGTGCTTACACAAAGTAACCTCAAAATCACACAAGGCATTCAAATGATAAATAATCGTAACAATAATAACTAGATTTATAGTAAATTAATACATTTGAGATACAATCCTTCAATTGTATGCAATAAACATAACTGTTTTAGCCTGGATTTGAGCATTATCAGAGAAGAAGTCTATCTCACATTTTCAGAAAGACCGTTCCAGGATATAAATACGTTTTAAATATTGCCATCCCATGCTTAGTCCTGACTCTGGGCCCCAGCAGGAGGCCAGTCCCTGTGCTCCTCAGAGTCAGAGTTGGTTCATATGACACTAACATGTCACTGATGAAGTTTAATGTGAGGCCATGGAGAGACCTGTACACGAGCAGATAGAGATGGATAGCAGAAAATATCATTTTGATTCTGGTAATGATTCTGGTCAAAAGCAGCAGATGTTACGGATTTGATGTGGCTATTAACATTTACTGTAAGTCCTAAATCCTTTATTAGCCCTATTGTAACGTAAGGCTATGACCTACACAACAGAATTACTATAGGTACCTCATGTATAAAGTTATGTTTTATTGGCTTTAACACTGGCAATAGTGTGGGTTGAACAAAAAAAAAAAATATATATATATATATATATATATATATAAATAAGTAAAATAAAAGGCAAGAGCCAGCAGTGATGAAAGACTGAGCAGTGATCAAACCCACTTTGATGTGAGGCTGGTACAAATCACACAACAGCTTAAATGAGGAGAGTAAATCTGAGGAAGTGCGATTCGATGTTCTCCAATGAGTGCAGTGGTAAAAGCTTCTTAGGTCAGGTCCTGTCACTCGGAGCCTCTGGCTGTTCGCAGTCACTGCTCTTTATATCAGTCACAATAGAAAACATCAGCAGTGTGTGTGCAATTCTAGTTTTGATGATTTTGCTTTAAGAAAATAACAAGATATTCATTTTGGGGTTGTCAAAGCAATATAGGATATTACAACATAACTAATGATTAGTGATTGTGTTTTTTCCTGTAATGCTCAATTTAAAAAGACATTAGACACAACGCTCCAAAACAATATTACTACACACTACAATGTTAAACTATGATTTGATACAAATGAGCGTACAATCAATCCAAGTGCCCACATCATGCAGAGATCGTGTCTCACTCTGGCCACCAGAATGTGGAACATGCTGGACTCTGACTGTGTCTCTAGTGAAACTTTGGGGGAATTCAAGGAGCACCTCAGGGTGAGGCTCAGGGATGAACTATTTGAAAACTTTCCTCATAACTAGACTGTGGGGTGGGAGGGGGCATTTAAGTCCAACGGTCATGTGACCATGGAAATCTAATAGGTTTTTTTTTTCAATTCCATTTTTGCAAGGTACAAGGTATTTCTTGTTAAATAATTTGTACATGTATTAAAGATTTTAAAAAGAAAAGAAAAAAAAAGTATCCACAATAGTGCTTAGATTGGACCATGTAACTGAAAACGTTACAAGATACCCTCAATATATGTTCTCCTCAACCCTGCCTTTAATAAGAGCCATGCAGATATGATGTTTTTCTGTCTACTGTCCAATAATCCTTAGAAAAAGAATCTGTGCTTGAGCTAAATGTATTTATAGGCTGCTCGTTCCTCAGTTTGTACTGGGTATATTATCACATGCAGAAAATGACACTGGATTCAAAATGTCCCTGAAAACACCTTGGAAACATGCTCAGTTTATCTCACATGCTGTTTATTACTCAAACGATCCCCGTGTTACTCACACTATTGGCCATGATTAATTGATGAGTTCATGATCAACCCCAACGCCCCCTGCTGATGTCTGAAAACTGGAGGGAAAAAAATCAAATTGGATCTGTTTGAGAACACTTTGGAGTACAAACAAATGGCAGGACTCTTTTATGAACCCTGGAGTTGACTTAAATTAAAAACATATCCAATTGGATTGTTTTCCCCAAGTTTTTTTTACATCAGCAGGGGGCGTTGGGGTTGAACATGAACTCATCAATTAATCATGCCCAAAACGAGCCCCAAAACAAAAAAAATATATGCAATAGATGATGATTTTATATATCTCTGGTATCCATCTTTAGTAAAATTGCCACCCAAACATATCAGGTAAATAAGCAGTATTCGCTTTTTTACACTTTTGTCTTAAAAAATAGTCATATAAAAACCTTCTAAGATAAGATAAGCTAAGATAGACTTTATGGATCTCACACTGAAGAAATGTACACGTCACATAAATGTCTTCATAGACTCAGATTTGTGCAAAAGACAGAAATGAGCAAACATGTTAAAGGTTGAAAATATAGTCTGTGCAGGATATAATTATGTACAATAAGCAAAATGAACTTTATCCATTTTACATTGTCATTTTAGAGTACTGGACATATAACTTTTCCGATAACTTTCTCTCATTTTTGGCTTGAGCTGCTGGTGTCGTTGTGCTGGTGTTGGTGTTCATAATGTTGTGGTTGGTCTGGTTTTCGCAGTAATTGTGTTTTTCTCGAATTGGATTTTGTGCCAACACTGGGTCCTGCTGTACCTTGGCTGAACTTTACCTTTATTTGGATTTTTACCATTGTTGTCGTGTAGCTACTTTTAATGGACACCTCCACTGTCAGGGAACACAATTGCAGCGGTGTCTGTGCTGCTTGTGGCTAGTTGCAATTTGCTCGTGTTGAAGGAGGAAGGTGGTATTTTTTCAGAGTGTTGATGAAATTGGGAAGGTTTTTTTGGCACAATTGCAGGGCTTGTGATGGAGCTTTTGAATTGTGTTTTTCTTTGAGAAGTGAATGGGGCCTTGTGAGAAGAAAAAGCAAGAATACATTTAAACTTGTGTGTAAAAACCAGTTTAGATGGAGAAGCTGGAGAAATGTATTTCCCGATTGCATTCAGCGTATTGTCCAAGATTACATGAACAGTTATATTATCAAAATGCCTTTTATGAATACTGCTGCAATAGACGTGGGAACAATGTAATTATTAACACAATACAATTGAACATGATTTAATAAAGACGTTTGAAATCATTGTCTGTTTTGTTGTATGCACATTTTACATAATTATAACATTGCTCAACGAAACAGTTACTGAACCTGTATTAGAATAAAACTGGATTATGTCATGACAAAAAAAGCATAAGTTTTAAAAGTAAAAAATTGGGTTGATTTTGAGTTTAATTTAATTAGGAATGAAATGAATGAAAAAAAAAAATGTTGATGTTTGTGTTTCCAACCATAGCCTCCACAATGAGCTACAGGAGCCGAATGTGATGACGTCAGAGCAAAAACTTATTTCTTTTTTTCTAGTACTACAAAAACAAATACCGTTACTCCATAACTTAAATTTTAATTTCTAGAGATTTCATTAAAACTTGCAGATTTGCATTCATAATAAACGTGATTATATTATTGTTCTCCAGGATCCATGGAAATCCTTGAATCAAAAATGATGTGGTACATTTGCGAAGTACCACATCATTACTGGAATAATTAATGTCACCAACTCTAAAGTATTTTGATTTGTATTACAGGAACTTGAGCGAAAGTACCGAAGGAAAGACATGTGAAATTGCTGTCACTGCTTGCTTCCACTGGTAATTACTAAGTAAAATAGAATCAGGGCTGGCGAGAGATGGAGCTGTTGGAGGCACCCCCTTTCAATAGGTTCATAAACCTTGTCTTTTTAATGCAACACTCAGTACAGGGTACAAAACTCGCTCACATCTACAACCTAGTCAGGGCAGCAGGGTGAGGGCTCGCTGATGGGGGGTTACTGCCCCTTACCAGCGGGCCACACTACACCCTGGCTTTTTAACGCACCTCAATGAATAAGGCAAACAATCATAATCCACTGACAAAAAATCACAACCAATACAAATGATAAATGCAGTGGAAATGGGAAGGACAGCAAGGTGAAGCATGATATTTAGGAAATGCAATTGCCATCGTCATTAAGGTGACGGTGATAATGGTATGCATGCATGTAGGTATGTATGTATACATGCATCTATATTATAAAACAATGAGAAATATAAACTTCAATTAAATAAATCAATAGAATGGTGACCTGTTGTTATAAGTAATGACTGAACTTGGTATTTTGTAAATGGTTAAACTTAAATACTAATAATCGTTCGTACCTTTGTTATTATTACCCCTATTGGGGACCGCCTGCAGCTGGAAAAAAAAAAATGCTGTTGAATAGGGGGTAGGCACTTATAAGCTTTCTTGCTTCGGCCTACTCCTTTTGAGGTAGTTCCTTTTCTTTTTCAATCCTTATTATTATTTTTATTTTTCAAAAATGTTAATGTAAATAATTGTAATAATGTACAAAGATGTGAATGTAAAACACAAATGGAAACTGCTCAAATAAACTAAACTAAACTAAAATCTTGACACTCTCGTCTTACCCCTAGAGGGAGCTAAAAGGATCCGTGGCTGGAAACACGATGGAAACATGATGGAAACCTTCCGTCAGTGCTGGTCGGGGAAATACATGTATACGATTATGTGTATGTGTGATATATACATGTTCATGGTGTTGGCTAAAAATATATACAAATAAAATATTATTTTCTACACCTGTAGGCCTAATTAAAAAACTAATAGGAGAAAAACAAAGTATGCAGTGATTGTTTAGTGTGGTTATTTGCACACACAAATTATTACTGATTTCACACACCGACAACATACAAACAAACATTTACAAACATTATCAAAACTAATATCTGTGCTCTATAAATTATGAGGGTGATTTATTGCATTTATCATAAACTGTGTTTTTGTCAAGTCAACACTAGATGGAGCAGTAACTACATCTGAAAGCCTCATACCTAATCAGGGGTATTCAAACATTTTAGTGTGAGGGCCACTATAGTTCACCAGACAAATTGTTTTGATCGGATCCGGGCTGTTCTGAGCTCTATAATTAGCTTTATTGGAGCTCTATGCCATTAATGTAATTTTGTGACACAATCAAAATAAATGTCAGCATATATACATAACGTAAACAACTGGATTCCAGAGGTTCTGAGCTTTAGATGATATGTCTGTATTGGCTGATCTGAAGTTGGCTGGATGACACTGTGAACTTGTGGATTGAGGGCCACATGAACTGACACAGTGGGGTGCAATTGGCCCGCCGGCCATAGTTTGGACCTGCCTGTTATACATAATTAGAAAACATGCATCACCACCATGAAAGAACGCGGCAAAAGCGAATGACCAAAAAAGAATCAAATACAGACGAACTTTTCACAGAATTTATTAAATTGTCTCAGATTTTGAGAACAGCAACTCACATCTAACATTGTGTCTTCATAAAAATACACTGGTAGACTTTTGTATATTGCACATGACTCCATCTCCATAAACTCTGCTTCTATTCAGTATGATGGGGAAAGAAACTCACATTCGCAATGAGATGGAGCAGCCAAAGCAAAGATTTGCTACAAAACACAACATAATAAACAGATCCCACGGTATTCTGTACAAAACAGTTCTGTTCTATATTTACATTATAAAAACTGTGATTGCACACACACAGCACCATGCATATTTTACACTTCATTAAACTATATTTCTAATGAACAACATGCAACAATATTTATCAAACAAAACTATGACACATTTTTTATTTTTTTAAATATGATAATGCTTTAGTAACATATGTCAGAGAAGTCATCAGTGAAGTCATCATCCTGTAGAAACTAAAGTCGTCTGCCCTCTCGTGTCTACTCTCAGTACTGCATGTCACCAGGAACCCCAATGAATGCAGGACCACAAAAATATGTGTTAATTGAAAAAGTTGAATTATTGTTTATTTGTGTCTTACATTGTTTTAGCCCCATGTGTCAGGCCTATCATTTGGTTAAAAAGACCATCTATATAAATGTTTGTGTTTTCAAATTATATGGTTCAAATCATCAAATTATTCTGATTGTAAAATATTTTTCATAATGACCATCAATCACCTACTTACTCTGCTGTGTGAGTGAAGTGTCTTCCCTCAGGACACATTGGCAGTTTGGGTCTTTATTCCAGAGGTCTCCCATCACAGTACTAACCAGGGCCTGGCCTGCTTAGCTTCTGAGGTCGGACAGAAGCATGAGCTGATGTGAATTAGTCATTCTGGCGAATATCTTGAACATTCCAAAAAGTATTGCTTGAACCATTAGCTTGGTAGCTGTTTCAACCAATGTGTTTTAGAGACAAATGTCCTCATCTTGCTCTCACTGACCTTGACCCCCTTTTTGAGAACCACTGCTCTACCAATGATCCATGTTTAAGACAAGAAAATCCTATTGTTTTAAAATGCCAAATGAACAGGCCAAAAATAGGTGTTTAACTCAATACAGACACCCAAAAATCTCAAAATCCAAAAGTTTGTTTTCAGTAACATTCTTTGTTATGGCATTAATCTGTCAAATATATAATAATGTGCGCTTTTCAAATAGTTTTATAAAAAATGTTATTTGAAGTAGGTTTTCCACATAATCAACCTACAAATTGAAAATGCATGTAATAATTGATGTGGTAATGTATTTTTTTTTTTAATGCAACAAATTGTTGAAAAATAAAACAAAAGGCCAACAGTTCCCTTGTTCCCAGAGGCTCTTCTCCTGAAATACACATTTATGTTAAAGGGGAATTCTTCTGCTTTATCCTGGCCTTCTGCTCTGACTAAAGTGCAAACCGCAAACTGGACCCTATTCATAAGACAATCATTGAAATGTTTCATTCTGACTCATGAAGCAAAGACAACCTCTTCACGGGGACTGCATATCTTTTCAAACTTCACCTCGGCTGCACCGCGCCTCTGCTCCCGACACTGTACTCTGGTGTTGGCAGGTCTTCACACCAATTTCCCATCTGTCATAAAAAACACATTCTATCGTCTTTCCTTCTCACATCGTCATCTCACCCTGCACTGAAAATAAAGTCAAGTGTGCCAACCCTCAACATTACTCTGACTTACAAGTGAAAATCTGCAGCAGGAGGCAAATCAGGGACTAATCTAAAACTTGTGGACAACCGAGTGCCAACGAAGATCTAAAAATGACCTCTCTATGTCGGTACAAAGATGCGTACATCTCAGCATGGCGAGGAAGACATCTGTTCGTACTCAGGACACTTGAGGAGGGCAGGGTAGGCGGCTGTGTTCATGGGCAAAGAGGCCTCAGAGGAGAAGGAGGAGGGGCTTCTGCCGCGGCCCGCCCAGGCGTCCGGGTGCAGGAACTGTCCGGAGTAGTCGGAGCAGTTGCTGAGGCGCGGCCTGTAGAAGCCCTGGTGCGGCCGGTACATCTCCTCTGCGGTGTATCGCTTCATGAAGAGATACACAGACATCACCCCAGCCGCCTGCAGGACACAGTAATACACTCTGTCACGAATAATAATAATAACAATGCACTTTTGGACACTCAGAAGATGCGTCACATGGCATCATGTAGAGGCGTCAAACTCATGATGGTCAAGGGCCCATTAAAAAAGAATAGGAACTGGTTGGGGGCCAAAAGAAGAGAAGAGATTTTCTTTCTTATAAATGTTTTTTTACAGTATGCATGTTTATTTATTTTTTGACTTTTTGTGACAAGATTTAACCAAAAATGGAGCAAAACTGGAAATATAAAGTTAATCCAATTGTTTTATATTGAACTATTCAATTTATAATGATGTATTATAAATAAAATATGAATATAAAATATGCCTTGGTAGCCCATAACCATCAATGCTGCAAGTTAATCATAATTGGAAATCATTTTAGGGACCACTAAAAATTGTTTAGAGTTTGACCTGCCTGGCATAAATCCTTCACTCTGTACAGACTTGTCTCTCTGCACATGTACAGTAGTTCCGGCAAAATATAGCGTGACAGACCCAAAACAAGAAAATATGTAGAAATTTAACTATTTCTGTATAGCCCTAAATCACAACAGTGGGACGACTTTACAAAGTTGTCGATTTGGCAAGTAACAACTCAAAAACCCAGTGGGAAAAAGTGAGAAACCTTGGGAAGGCCCACATTAAGAGAGGGATCCGCTCTCAATCCAGGACTCGGGCTTCTAATAGTGAATGAAATCTGCTGACTTCCACCTGCTCCCATTCAGTTTATCACTACAGACATATCACAACATTTTCACAACATGATGCAGACATAGCAGCAGATCCCAGTGAGCGGGATCTGTACTCTTTCATTGTTGAGTCCAGTTGTGTCTGATATAGCTGCTCTGACATGCACAAAAAGAAAACATTATTGTCAGGTGTTTTAGTCGCCTTGTATTTTGTATTGTCTGTTCTGTGTCTTTTTGAGTTTTACTTCCTGTTCTGTTGATTGCCTGCCCCGCCCTGATATGTCTCCCATTTAAATTCCCTGTGCTCTTTCTCTCTTGTTGTCAGTCCATGGTTCTTTGTCCCCTGCTCCTTTTTCACATTCAGTAGAGTTTTGTATTTGGATTATTGTTTATTAAATCATTATTTGTGATTTCATTTGTTTAAAGTGTTACCTCAGTGAGCAGGAAGGAGATGGCAGCGAAAGCGAAGGACCAGCCGTACTTATAACTGAAGTAAGCCTCGTTTGACTTGGTGCGATTCAGCATCTCGTCGTTGATGTTGGAGATGTACAACACGAGACCCACCACTAGGGACAGACCTGAGCCGGGGGTAAACACAATATATATATAATCAAATAAAAGCGGGTCGCATTGGATTGTAAAATGGTGAGCAGTGTTACCAGATAGAATGAAAAAGATCCCGGACACAAAGGCCAGGATGGTGTGGTGCGGTCGAATGTGGCCGATGTTACTGAGGATGAAACCAATGAAGAGGAAGAAGAGGCTGACCAGAGGGAAAGGCGTGGCCGAGCGAATCATTTCTGGAAACAAAGTAGAAAAATCAAGAACTGCTTCTCAGTTTTAGGGAGGTTAGTCAGTCCAGTGGTTCTCAACTGGTGGGTCAGGAGTCAAGACCCAAACACTATCATCTAATTCAGGGGTGAGAAACGCATTTGGGTCGTGGGGCCAAATTTGAAAACACAAGAGCTATGTTGGGGCCAGAAGTATAAAAGTGGTATAAAAGTTTTTGGGTTGTTACTTTTGTTTTGTTTTTTGTTTTTTTATTACATATTTTTGTCTTATGTATTTGACATGAGTTTGGATGTTATTTGGTAGTATTCAGATTCAACCACGACTGGGGATCATCTCAATAAGAGCTGTATTGGAAGATTGAAAGTTAAAATAATGATAACAATAATTATATAACTAGGCCTAACTACTAATTACATTTTAGTTAACATAGAACAGACACTATGATATGGTGTTTTCCTGAGACAATAGGCTTTAAAATGTAAAACATGCCATAGTAGCCCCTTACTACAATACAGATAATGGGAAATCATTTCAGGGGCCAGTAATCATTGTCTCGCGAGCCGGATTTGGCCCGCAAGCAGAGTTTCACATGCCTGATCTAAGTGGTTAGACCAATATTAGTTGGATTTACAAAAATAGATACTCCTCGCCTTGTGGAGGATTCTGCTTCACATTCTGTGAGCTACTGTATAAAGATTACATTAAAATCAATACAGGTCCTCTGTGGTAAGAAAATGGTTCCATTATTAAAGATTACCTACTCTTTTGAGCTTTTAACTTCTGTATGTTACAATGTTGTTGCCTCAAAAAAAAGACTTTGAGTTGACCTTAGATCCATCCATGTTAATATCAAGAACAGTTGTCAAAAACAAGAAACCCTCTCCTGTCTCAGTCCTGTAACAGCATGATGTAATTATACTGCTATGACAAAAAAACAGAGCAATTTGAACACCTCCCTCTGGTGGGAGCACAGGGAGTTACAGCGGAAAATATTTTTTACCATTGAGATGCTATTTCACAATCTAAAACTTGAAATGACAAACTACACAATCTCAGTTATATTTCAATGGCCAAAATAATGCATGATATTTCTCATTTGATTTTGTTTTCCCATTTGAATGTGACTTCACCGAGTTATTGTTGTCCCAGAGCCTAAACGGCCTGTGTGTGTGTGTGTCTGAGATCAGGCGGAGGACAGAGTGAGTCTGACTGCTCCTGACAGAACAGCGGGCTTCCAGTGCACCCACAGAGCTGCTCACAACAGGAGGTGCCCCCAATCAAACTGCACCCCACGCCTCCACAGACCACTCAAACTCCAACTTGACTAGATAAATAAATCAATCCTTCATGTGCAGCTGAACCTGTCTTTGCAGATGAAAAAATGATGGCAACCAAAAAAGTTTCTGCTGAAGTCTATAAACAGTGCTACAGTTGAGAGGAACTCAATGAACTGTTGAGTATGTGTGACTGTGAGCGATATAGTTTTGAACAGTGGTGACCTTGTGATTTTCCTGTCAAGGGTGTGAAGTACCAATTCTAATATTCTAGGTATTTATGGTGACATTTTTAATAATGTAATATTGACATAGAATGATCAATTTTATTTTTTTATTTTTGCTGCTACTGGACACCTGAATTTCTCCAACAGGGATCAATAAAGTATCTATCTATCTATCTATTTATTTATTGTACATGATATGTCCTGAACAGACTATATGTTTTGCCTTTAACATGTTTGCACACTTCTGTCTTTTGCACAAATCTGAGTTATTCTATCTGTAAACTTCTCCAGTGTGAGATCAGTAAAGTCTATCTTATCTTATCTATCTATTGACTGCGCCCCCCCTGTGGCTAGAATCTGGTCTATTTGCATTCAGGAGTAAGAGGGGGAAGATTTTTTTTTTTTCAAACATACACAAAATTAAACAATAAGATTAGATACAAAATAAACGCAATTAAACTGCTTGATAAAGAGGTTGAACGAAGCAAACGGTTATTTGGCTCCACTCCCTCTCACTCAATCAATACAACCCATCATACACACACAGACACACATACAACAAGACACAGGCCCAACCACACTCTGACCATACACCTCTATCCCACCCCTCGCTCTGTGCTGAAGTCGTCACACCTCCACACACTTCTTCAGCGTCTCCTTTTCGAGGCGCTTTTTCAATTGTAATCCATGTGAAACTGTTTTTAATTCTTCTTTCAAGTTGTTCCAAATAGTAACTCCACACACTGAGGTACACATTGATTTTAAGGTAGTTAAAAATCAGGTAGTTCTAAATTCAGGCACACATTTTTTTTTCCTCTTAAACTGTAAATATGGTGAGCATCATGAAATACATTTTGCAAATTAGTTGGTACACTGACCAGAGAGAGACCAGAGAGAGGGACCAGAGAGAGACCAGAGAGAGACCAGAGAGAGACCAGCAAGAAACCAGAGAAAGGCCAGAGAGAGACCAGAGAGAGGGACCAGAGAGAGACCAGAGAGAGACCAGCAAGAAACCAGAGAAAGGCCAGAGAGAGACCAGAGAGAGGGACCAGAGAGAGACCAGAGAGAGACCAGAGAGAGAGACCAGAGACAGACCAGAGAGAGAGACCAGAGAGGGACCAGTGAGAGAGACCAGAGAGAGATCAGAGAGGGACCAGAGAGAGAGACCAGAGAGAGACCAGAGAGAGTCTGGATGACCTGAAATTATTTTGAGAAGTGAGTCAAGTCCTGCAGCTTTAGTTCTTTCAATTATATGCACAGTGGGTTTGAATGATATCTATTGTGGACATTTGATACAATCCTAATGGTTTTTTTTATGCTATGTCCTGTCCATGTTTAAACATAAACATGATGCCTGTATTCTATCTTTCAGGAGACACAGGACTGCAGATGAAAAATAGCCACTGAGCTAATTCTGGCATATTTACAGAAATGTTCATAATTATGCACTGTCCCTGTAAAGAATAAATAAATAGTTTCAAATGAAGAAAGGCGGAAGTCCGAGGCACTCTTGACAGAAAATACAAATCCTTTAATGAGCAAGGATTTAGGCCAACCTCAGGGATTTATTATTTGTCAAGAGTGCCTCAGATTGTCTCTTTTCTTCAATGACTCCAGTGTTTTTGTCACTGCTGATCCTGATGAGCACCTGACTAAGATTGACCCACTGTAGTGCTCATCTCTCTTGAACAAACAGTTACAAATATAAGTGATGTTATGCTCAATCTTAAACGCATATTAGAAATGTAAATAACAATGTAAAAAATAACAATTGTAAACCACTTTGTGACTCTGGTCTGTGAAAGGCGGTATATGAATAAAGATTACTTACTTACTTACTTAAATAAATGACTAAATACAAATTCATTGTTGAGTTTAAATCTGTAATGGTGCAATTGACAAAATAGCTGGTATTCATTATAGTGAATGTGTTTCTTGCTCATCACAAACTGAACATGTATTTACTTACTCAACTCCTGCGGCTATATTCTGGTATGTTTGCTTTCAAGCTTTGTCCTGTCTGTCTTCTAACATGCATAGTCCTGAGCAACTGGTGTGAACATTTTCCTAACAGCCTTATTATATATGGATAGAGTTTATTGTTCATTAAAAAACACTTATTTTACGCTTAAACTATGTCACTGCAGTGAACTATGTGCTCAAAGCAAACAGAACATGCCGATGTACTTACTCAACACACTGACAGTGGACTCCGAGGTCATTTGGACGTTGGTCGGCATCACATACTCTATAGTGAAACATCTGCCTTTTTCATCCCCTTCAAGAAAAAAACAAAAACATATATTATTAAATTAATAAGTAGAAACACTTTTTAGCAGGGACGGCTGGAATCACGGGGCTCGGTGCCTCCTCTTATTTTGCTGGAAAAAGTGTGATTGATTGGCTTTATCATTTTCATTTTGAATGTATTTATTTTCTTTACAATATTTACATATCTATTCTTTTGGCTGTATTATATATACAGCCAATACGTGGCAATAAAAATGATTCTGATTCTGATGTGTACAAAATAGTAAAATCTATATTGACTGTTTTTTTATTTATTTTTTAACTAACAACGAGTGTTTGTAAAAGTTAACTAAACCCAAATGCAGAACAATTCACATTTGGAACTGTGTAAAACTGTCCATCAACATCGTATTGAAATCCAGAGCCATCCTTATTATTTAACCAATAATCCACTTCAATAAAACTCACTTGATATTTATAGTTTGAAAATGTGTCATGTGCGCTATTATATTTTTATTAGTGAATGAAGCCCCGTAACACGGCTAGCTAAGAAACATGGCAGCTACTTATTTTGCGTGTTCCCTGTGTGATCTTACTACTGCAACATTGAAATGTCCCCACAGTGGGAATAATAAAATCTATCATCTTAACACACTGAGGCGTTCATTGTCAGACTGAGTCAAAGCCTCTGAGCTCAGACTGGTTTGTAACACTGACATGGAGTGGATAAACTTAATCATTGCAGCTTCTGAAAAGCAGAAGTTAATCCACTGTTCCAAATGTGGTTTCAATTTCACACCTTTTTATTTTCTCACATAACTTTAATAACATCTAAAACCAATTTACACTTGCACTTTAACAGTGGCCATCAAAGTAGTAGTCATAGAGGATAAAAAGTATAATAATATAGTATTCTCCAACATTGTTACGAAATATGGATGCATCATTTATAAAAGATTTTCTAACACTGACTGTCTACATACAGTAGGAGTTTCCAACTGGGAAATTAGCCAGGACAAATTGTGACTTCTTTTCTCATCTTCCTAAAACACATGGATAACAGCTGTGCGGGTGTATGATCTCAACATTACAGTTCAAACAAAGTCTCTGCTTCTTCAGCACCTCTCCTGTATCACTTTAACACAAAACCACTGAGGTGTAAAGTCTGCACAATGTGCAGAACCAAAAACAGCAGGCGAGCAACAGCACTGTGTTAGAAAATTATATCACACAAGTTACAGTAGTGAAAAGCAATACTTTTAACAGAAATTAAGTGTTGTATAAATACAATATACAAATGTAAAAAAGTTAGAACATAATTATTAACAAACACAAACAACTGGAGTTATTGTGCTACACAAATAAACTATGCAAACTCTATGATAAAAACAAAAAGAGTTTTTGTACACTCAAAAATGCTTCACATTATTCATTCACATACATGGTGGTGATAAACTAAAATTTAAACTTAAGTGTCTTAAAAGTGAAAAAATTGTTTATTTGATCTTGTTTGTAGGTAGGAGCAGTAACCAAAACGTTAGCAAAAGCTACAATGCAGCAGCTCAAATGTGGAAGCTAAAATGAAAAGACCGACTGTTGCCTTTTGTATATGGAGCATTAAGGGCCATATTGAGCTGATGCTGGGTAAAGATCCTATAGATTGTTCACACGCACACACCCAATACAATCCAGAAACATCAATAGCAGCAAACAGAAAGCCCTATTTAGTGGGAGTAACAGAAAGTAGATGTAAGAGCATTTCTGGGTCAGACAGCCGTCATCACGGGAGTTAAATGGGCAGAAAAGGCCACTCGATGTAACACGAAACACAGAGCATCAGACTGTTTCTGACTGCAGTGCACATGGGCTTCAACTACAGTGTGTTGAACAGATGAACACAAACATTCTAATACATTTTTTTTACACACAAGGACACAAACATTCTAATACAATTTTACATTGAGGTCGATTTAGGCAAACCTTAGATGTATCCATCCTAACAGTGTTTAGTGAAAATATGGGTGCAATATGTATTTTAGGTTTTGACCTCATTCAGGGGAGGCCAAATGTGTACACTCACTGAAATGCACATTTTCAACACCAGTCTGTTGAATGGACCACAAATGTATTAATGGAGGCAAAAAAAGGCTTATCTTATCTAAAGTCCAACTAATAAGTGTGAAAGTACCATCAGTCCTGAGTTAACCAGAGATCAATTCTGACGATCAGAGAATAAATCTGAATGTGTCACTATGGGTTCTTGCATTTTGAATTATAGATTTGTAAGCAGCAGAAATTAATAGTTACCTAATGTAACTTAAGTTCTACGAATAGGTGCGTAGTCCCTTAGGACTTCGCTAGTGGGATATCACTCGTGACCCCCAGGTCACACGCCAGAGAGATCAAAATAATTTGCTCCAATCACTAGCGACCCTCCTCTATAAAGGCCCCTGCACAAGGCCGCACCCCCTCTTTCACTCTGCCAAGCCGGGCTGGCCTGATGGGCTCGTAGCTAAGGGACTACGCACCTATTCGTAGAACTTAAGTTACATTAAGTAACTATTAATTCTACGTCATGGTGCTACGTCCCTTAGGACTTCGCTAGTGGGACACAACGCGGAGGCCGTAGGAACATGTACTCCCAGCAGGCCAGCGAAAAGTGATTTGAGCTCCGCCCGAGCAAGACCCTCACAAGTTAGAGGACTCAGGGCAGAAGAAGCAATTGTGTGTTACAGGGCCACTCCTCCCAAGGATACCCCCACGTAACACAGACCGTAGGTCACCCGTAGTCCCAGGACGCCTCTCTCAAGAGCTCCTGACGTGGACTGCCTGACTGACCAAAAGCACACATACAAATACCGCACCTTTAGGACGCCTCTCCCAAGAGCTCCTGAACCAGGGCGGAAAGTCAACCGAAGGCCACCTCAGAGGAGGGACCTAACGGTCTCAACTCAGTCCGCTGCACTCAGCACGGAATGGGCCACCGACCGGTCCGACACATCCAAAAGATAAGACCGGACGAAAGAAGAGGACGACGCCCAAGAAGCCGCACGACAGACGTCCTCGACCGACGCCCCCCTGAGGAGGGCCGTAGAGGCCGCCATACCACGCGTGGAATGCGACCTGAAGCCCACCGGGGGGGCCAGACCCTGCGCCTGATATGCCCGCCGCCCCGCCGTGGCGACCCAGTGCGCCAGCCGCTGAGCCGACAGCGGGGCGCCCCTGTTCTTGGGGCCCAGACACACAAACAGCTGGTCACCCAACCTGAATGAAGACGTCATGGCCAGGTAATGCCTAAGCATTCTGACAGGACACAGAAGGTGCCGCCGCTCCTCCTCGGGGGAGGCATGCGGTGGCGGATAGAATGCCCTAATCCTGATGACTCTCGACCTAAAGGCCGACGTGATGACCTTGGGGAGAAAAACCGGTCTACGAGGTTCCGCCTCTCAGCCTCCAAACCCAGAGCCTGCGGCCGATTATCGGGCGTGAAAACAGGGCTCCCCCCCCCTGGACTAGAGGCCCCGGCTCGTCCGGGAGGGCCCAGGGCTCCATCACCGCCATGCCCCTCAGGAAGGGGAACCACCGGGCATGCGGAGTGTCCGGAGCCACCAGGATCACCGACCTCCTCTCCTGTTCGATCCTCCGCAGCAGGACCGGCAGGAGACGCACTGGTGGGAAGGCATACAGCAGGCCCTCTGGCCAGGGGTAATGAGCCAGAGCTTCCACGCCTAAGGTCGGCTCGTCCGCGGCCCTTAAGGCGAACCAGGACGTGCACTGTGCGTTCTCTGCACTGGCGAAAAGGTCGACAACTGGACGGCCGAACCTCCGCCAGATCTCCGCAGCTACCCCCACCCGTCCTGGAGTGGGCCCCCCCTGGACATCCTGTCGGCCCCTACGTTCCGGACCCCCGGGACGTGGCGCGCCCTCAGAGACAGAAGGTGAAGCGCCGCCCACAGCAGCGTCACCGTCGCCATGCGATGGAGGGCGGGGGACCTGGTGCCCCCCTGCCTGTTCAGATAAGAGACCACTGTGGTGTTGTCTGAGCGCACCATCACGTGTCTCCCCTGCAGCTGAGGAGCAAAGTGCAGCAGTACCCTGTGCACTGCCTCCATCTCCAACAGGTTGATGTGGCGGGCTGAGTCCGACCAGCAGCCTCCTACAGAGCTCTGGCCGAGGACCCCGCCCCAACCTTCGAGTGACGCGTCCGTGAACACCTCCACGTGAGACACGGCGCAGGCCAGAGTCACTCCGTCCCGCAATAGACCCGGAGTGAGCCAGAACCTGATGTCCGATGCTGCCACTTGGGGAACCCAGAGAAGCCTCCCCCCGTCCCGGGAGGGGTGAAGCCTGAGGCGTGAGAACCACCTCTGAAAATTCCTCATGTGGAGAAGGCCTAGCCGCACCACAGCATGAGCCGCCGCCATTACTCCCAGCAAGGACCTGAGGCGCCGAGCGGGGACCCTGGGGCCCGCCAGAACCTCCCTGGCCAGACGGGTAATGTTCATCCATCTGTCCACGGACAATGCAGCACGGAATGTCACAGAGTCTAGCTGCAGGCCGAGATAGATCATGCGCTGAGCCGGCTGCAGTTTGCTTTTCTCCCTGTTCACCACAAAGCCCAGGCGCTGTATGTGGGACAGGACCCAGTGCGTGTGACTCACGTCCACTTCCCTGGATGAGGCCAGTCTTAACAATCGTCTATGTAGGTTAATATTCTTACCCCTGCGCGTCTGAGCGGCTCCAGTGCCGCCCCCACGCACTTGGAGAAGGTCCGAGGCGCGAGTGCGTAGCCGAAGGGGAGACGGCAGTACTCGTAATTCCTCTCTCCCACTGCGAAGCGCAGGAACCTCCTGTGTTCCGGAACTATCGGCACGTGGAAGTAAGCATCTGTCAGGTCTATGGAGGACATCCAATCTCCCTGCCTGACACACTCGAGGAGCTGTTTTGTGGACAGCATCCGAAACTGCCGTTTGGAAATGCACTCGTTCAGAACGCGCAAATCCAAAATGGGAAGCACCCCGCCTGACTTCTTTGGCACCAAGAAGTAAGGGGAGTACAGCCCCCTGGTGGCGTCTTGTGGGTCTACCTCCACTGCTGTAGTGCCTCTAATGATCCCCGTACCTGAGAGCGTGCTGCCCGTACGCCTCGGAATGGTGGTGGCTTTCGGGAGAATTGCAGTGCGTAACCCTTGCGCAATGTTTTCTCCAGCCATGGATCCGTCAGCAATCCCTGCTCCCTCCAGATGCTGTAGAAGTCTGTGAGGGGCAGAACGGGAGCTGGAACACGAGACGTCACGGCCCCGCCCTTTCCTGGTGTTCCTAGCAGGGAGGGGGCGTGGACGAAAGGGCCGGGGGGCCCCCTGCGTCACACCGTGAGCGCCGGGGGCGGTCACGTGTCCTGCAGGCCCGACGTCATAAGTACGGGTCTGCTCATACCACGTGACTCGACTGCTGCGCCCCCCCCTGGCTCTTGCCTCATGGAGGGGGGGCCGAGCCCCTGAAGTGGGAAACCCCGTGTTAGCCTTGTAGCTCAGAGATGCTAACACGCGTTCGGCTGAAGCGCACACATCACTACTCACCAGATCCTTCCGCCTGACCTCTCTCTGGGAGGGCATAGCATGGATCAGAGGACCGGAGCTCGTAGCTCGCATAGCGCACTGCACACTCTGCTCTGGGGGCTGCAGGCCTAGCGAAGCAACGTTATGTGCCCGGGAAGTAACACAATCAGATTGCACATTAGACATGTTACGTACCCCCAAATGAGACTCAGACAACGAGTACTGACGAAATGCCGGTCGGCCTTTATTGAAAGAATTCTTGCCACCCCGACCTCCTCTGCCATAGGGAGGCCGGCGGTGGGTGCGTTGCTCCTGCGAGCCACCCGTGGGTCTGTCTGGACCCGGGGGCCTCGTCGAGGGGAGACGATGGACCACAGAGCGCGGATACGGGTCAGGACACCTCCCGGGCGAACGCTCTCTGCCTCCGTCCCGGCTCCGTGATGGTGGGCGGGCCTCGCGCCTCGGTGCTAGGTGCGGGGCTAGCCTAGCCGAGTCTTTAGCTGCAGACTCCAGTCTCGCCACCAGGGCCTGCATGTCCGGGCCGAAGAGGGACGTCTGGGAAACAGGCAGGTCCAGCAGCTGCCTCTTCTCCGCCTCCCTGATGTTAGCTAGCCCAAGCCAAAGGTGCCTGGCCCCGACTTGGGCTGCTGCCATGGAGCGGCCGCCATCCACGGCTAGCGCCTGGCACATGCGCAGGATCGCCGCCGAGGTGGTCCTCGCCTGAGATAGGAGGTCTCCACTGAGCGCCTGGCCAGAGGAGAGCGACCTATCCAGGGCCCCCGTGATGAATGCCATGTTGTTAGCCAATGTGACGACCTGTGCCGCATTGGCATAACATCTATCCAGCATCGCCAAAGACATTCTGTCCCGCTCGGAGAGAAGGAGAGGTCTGGTGCCGGGCCACACTGATGCGGAGGGCTGCAGGGCCATACGGACTGAATCCTCAATGTCCGGGACACCACCGGTCCAGGACCAGTCTTGCACGCTGCAATACATGCCGTACCCCAGAGCAGGCCTCTTGGCTGCTAGGGGCTTTGGCCACTCACGTGTCGCGTAATGGACGATCGGGTCCATCCGCGGGCACAACGTGGGTTGTATCCTCTTCCTCCCTCGAGTGGTGGCGCCCACAGAGGTGAAGTCCTCCACCGTCTGGATCCAGCGACGACGTCCGACGGCGGAGGGCGAAGGGAACTCGGACGAACAATGGAAGACATCTCAGAATGAAGTAAGTACTGTGGTAGATCTCAATCGGCGCCAGAGTGAAAGAGTGGGTGCGGCCTTGTGCAGGGGCCTTTATAGAGGAGGGTCGCTAGTGATTGGAGCAAATTATTTTGATCTCTCTGGCGTGTGACCTGGGGGTCACGAGTGATATCCCACTAGCGAAGTCCTAAGGGACGTAGCACCATGACGTAGAACAATAGAAAGTGTTTGTGTGGTACCAGCCATGAAGCAGACCCTCCACAGGCCTGAGTGCAGCGACATGCGGATCTCTGTGCTCTGGTTGAGAGGAAGGATGACGCCTTCCTCCAGGTAGAGCCAGTAGTCTGTGCTCACAGCGATGCCCAGCAGCCCCAGGGCGCACACCGCAAACACGCTGCTCACCACCGTCAGCGCCTTCCTGCCACATAAGCTCATACCACAGCCTCAACAGCGGGGGGCGCTGCCAGCAAAATAAATAGATCTGAGGAGAGAAGAAGAACCAGGGGTTAAACTTTTTAACTTTTCTCTGCTCTAAACATCATCACCAGTGGTATTTGGCCTTCATACAGATGCGCAAAGTAGTTTTTTCATTGATTCCCTCAGTGGCGGCTGGTGGAATTTTCTACTGGGGGGGCTATGAATATGATGACTAGATATAAATGCACCACAGAATTTGACACAGTCTATTATTTTTGATAGGATGTGCCTATTCTTGTCAACCTCCTCATTGTGCTTTCTGATCCCTACCCTGTAGCTTTCATCCAGCTGGGATGAAATATTTATCTTCCCAAACATAGCTAATTTGAGGGCATTTTGCATGTGGATACCAGTCTGCTCATGCTTCTTTGCCTTTTCTAAAAAGTGCTTCAGATCAGTCATACCTGTCTTGATCCATGCTGGGTCAGATCCTGATGTTTGAAACAAGAGGCATGGAAAGCAAAATAAAGCATTAGCCTCGCTACATGCTGCTAGCCAAGATTTGGCGCTGAACCAGGTCCTGGACTGCTGACTAATGGTAATATTTTGCTGATCAGGTCCAAGCTCTTTAACCTCAACCTTCTCCTGGTATGATCTTCTCTCAAACGGTATTGTTTTGAGTGATCTAACTGAATTATTCTTTTTCTCGTTCTCCATTTTGCGTCTCTTTACGTTTGTCTCAAACTCCCACAGCTTGACCTGTCAATCACTGTAAACGGACGTCACAGACAGTGACAGTACAGGTCGCGGGCGATCCCGCCCCCTCAGGGCGCACTTCTCCTGCGCCCCCAAATCGTCTTATCTCTTGCATTGAAGAGGAGCTACTGCGCATGTACAACTTTTAACGAGAGTCCATAGACGGCTCAGGGCGCAATTTTTTGCGCCCTGAGGCGGAAATACGTCCTCAGTCCGACACAGACAACGCTGATGAGCTTAATCAATCCAACTCAGCATAAACTATAAAGTATTTCTTCCACATCTGAAATAAAACACACATAAATTTCGAAATATTTTAATGTTATTATTTTTTTTAACGTTTTATTCAAGGTAACATGGCAAGTTGTGAGTGGTGGGGCGGCACCCTAGCGCCCTCTATTGGCCGGCCGCCACTGGATTCCCTCAAGCTTTAGTTAGAGAGCGATATTTTTCTTTCATTTTTGAGAGGCGGCAAAGCGGCTCGATTTCACTTTGTGACGTGGCAACACTTTGTGACGTGGCACGAGCTGCAGAAGCACGCCTCCAGGAGTTGATTGACAAGGGACATATCAAAACAGAAAGACAAAAAGCTGAACTATCACGTGTCTCACCTCTATGCAAGAAACGGCTGTAATTTCAGTAGTTGTGAGTGTTGTACGGTGTATCACCCAAATTATTACTGGATGGACTGTGAAAAATTAAAGGCGCTATACCCGTTTCTGCAATGTTTGAATGTTTAGCACCGCCCCCCAACTCGCTACATTGTGCAGATTTTCTGCACACTTGTCTGTGTAGAGAAGCTAGCGGAGCTAGCCGAGTTAGCCACGCTCAATAAACAAATACATATCAATCAATCAATCAACACCATTAAATGTTAATAGGACAATACAGTATACATATACATCCTTAACACACATGCACGGACGATTTCAGAATTTGCTGTCAACGTTTTCATGACAAAAATACTGTTTTAAATTGACAAAAAGCGATCGCAAAAAACCCGGAAGTTACCATGAAACAGCTAGCTAGCTTAGCTGTTACCTGCCTAGTACGTATTGGTGAAACCTTTGGGAGCTAACTATTTTATTTGCAGTCATTAAATACATTTCGAATTATAAGGGCTGTCTAATATTTGGTCGAATATATATATATATATATATATATATATATATATCTACTCAGCACTTTTCACTGCTTGAATTTCATACACAATGGAATCAATGACCTCAAGTTTTCAATTAAATTATGTATTATGATACAACTTGTATGTAGTAAAAAACATTTTTATGAACTACTCAGAAAAAAATAAATAGCTTATAGCTTCTTTAAGGAGAGAGAAATATGCAACCTTTAAGGCAGTTTCTCAGGTGACGTCAAACTCCCACTCAGTTAAAATGATCTTGATATTTTCCAGATCATCCAAGCCCTTACATTCTGGGGACATTCACAGGAACTGTCCTTCTACTGTTGCCCAGAGCCACAACTAAACTTGGGTAGTCAGAATTTCAGATGATCTATTCTTCTACTCTGATGATGATCAAGTGCAATTGTTAGCTTAACTTCAATAAATAAATGCATAAATACTTTCTTTGTTTATAATTAGTGAACAACAATAATACTATCATACAAACCAAAACAATGACATTTCCAAAAATGTACTAATTGAAATGATCCTTGACCGGAGTTTACGGATGGCTAAGGCCAGTCTAGGTTGTAGAAGTAGTAGTAAATTATTTTCTCAACCATATGTACAATAAACATTAAACATTAAACAGGATAGGCAAAGGTTGGACACATTTGTCTATTGTGCAAAAAACTGAGAGATGTTATCTGCAATATTACATTGATTCACTTTGATTGATTATCTTTTAACATTATTCTTAAAGCACTTTGAGCCTTTCGCTATATAAATATACTTGTCAAGCTGCATGAAACAGAGCAAAGAAATCTCATTAGACCCTTTCCACATTTGTGCATAGTCATTTTAAAGTTGATATGCAATTTTATTTGTTTGGAGCACATTTATCAGGGGTCTGCGTGCCACTCTTGGCATTGGGGATAACTCATTTATGAGGCCTGTGCAGGACACCACAAAACTACACGCACGCCCAATTTCTACGCCTGATTTGATAAATATACATAATCATAATCCTCAAAATTTCCATATTTCACATCATAGTTAAAAGTTAGATTTTCAAAAATGAATTTGTCCTGCCTCCAGCTGTAAACAGTCCAGCACATTTTCTTGTTTATGTGCAGTGGAGCAGAAGTGAGAGACAGATGGTGAAAAGTGTCTGTGGACAGCGCAACAAATACTGAAGGATTTCCCACTGGAAGACACATGCAAGACTTCAGGCTGTCCGACGACTTTTGAGTTGGGACTAAATTCTTTGTACAATCTGCATTTAAAACATCACAACAATTGTATTAAATGGTGTAGTTTCTCTTGTGGCAATGACACAAGAGAATTGTTGATAAGAACTACTACTGAACCTGAACCACTTTTCCAGGTATATGATGATTTAACATTGACAATTTCAAGATTATTAAGAAGTGACTTGAGGACTTCTGCAGGAGGAATGTTTTGACCCAGTTTTGGTGCTGTTGAGTGGCCAAAAGGACACTGGCCTACAAACAACCAATTTAAAACGAATTCACAGGGAGTTCTGTTAGTGTTCTGCTGTTCTTGGACACAGACATAACCCATTACAAAAGAAGATTTCTGAACTCTCATCCATTAATATAAAATGTATTTAATATATTTTTAATAATATCTTAAAATGTATTTTAGTTAGTTTCATTATACACTAGGGCTGTGATTATTGATTTTGTGGTAATTTTTTCTGCTTTATCCATTGCCGGGACTTCCTCCAGCTCATTCGAGGGAATCCCGAGGCGTTCCCAGGCTAGCGGAAAGATATTGTCCCTCCAACGTGTCCTGGTTCATCCCCGGGGCAGCCTCCCAGTGGAATATGCCTGGATGTGGAAAAGCAGCAGCTCAACTCCGAGCTCCTCCCCCTATCTCTAAGGGAATGCCCAGCCACTCAGCAGATGACACTAATTTTCTTGTGTCCGGAATCTCATCCTTTCAGTCATTCCCCAAAGCTCATGGTCATAGGTAAGGGTGGAACGTAGATAGTTTGGTAAATCGAGAGCTTTGCCTTTTGACTGAGCTCCTTTTTCTCTACAACAGTCGGATACAGCGCCCGCATCACTGCACATGCTGCACCGATTTGTCTGACAATCTCACGCTCCATCCTTCCGTCTGGTCCCTGGCTGAGCGTAGAAATCTGTCCATTAAAACAACGAACAGAACCAGTGACATTTCCAGCAAAGGTCCCCGGACCCAGTTCTCTCACAGAATCTCCCAAAGGACCATCAAGGGAACACAGTCAAACACCTCCACCAGATCCACAAAGCACATGTGGACAGGTTAGGCAAACTCCCATGATCCCTCCATTATCCGATGGAGTGTATCAAACCAAAAACACTGTCCCCGACTTCCACAAAATGTGGCCAGGACAATCGGGACAGTCCCAAAACATCACAGAGAGAAGATGGTCAGTATGGGTCTCATCCATCCCCTGGGCTTTGCCTCTGCCTCTGACACTTGGAGTTCGTGACGGGGGGATTAAGTAGATTGACCGCTTCCACTGGCCAATTATTATTTTGATTAATTGATTATTTATTATTATTATTTTAGATTCTGAGGCTTCTCGGCCCCCACCACCCCCCTCCTCCTCCTCCTTACCAGCACCGGGTGAGTACTGTGGTGCAAACACTGACCCCTGTCAGTCTGGCAGTGTAACGACAGTCCTGCCACTGAACTGTGCTGACTCAGTTATGCATCTGGAACTTAACAAAGTACAACAGAGTTCACTTTTTAAACCAATAGAGACTGTGTGTGTTTCTCGCACCAGCTCAGAAATGTGTTTTAACTTGAATAAACACAAATTTAAAAGAAGGACAGCAGTTAGACGGTCCAACTCTGGAAATCTAATTCCAGTTCTTTGTAATCAATCAACTAAACCCACTGACACTGATATTAATTTTAACCTTGCTCTACTTAATGTCAGATCACTCACTAAATCATTTTTAATTAATAATTTTATCTGTTCGTATGATCTTGATTTTATGTTTATGACTGAAACATGGCTTGACCATAATACAGGAGATGCAGTTTTAATAGAAGCCTCACCACCAAATTTCAAATTTGAATATGAAACACGAGAAAATAAAAGGGGGGGGGGGGCATAGCAGCA